TCCCCCCACTTACATGATTATAAGTTATATGTTACAAACCATTGTGTTCACTCTTTTGTTTTACAGACTTGGAAGATATTGAGATGGAGGTATGCAGACAACCTGGACTGAACTGGTACCCGCCCCGAAAGAATCCCTGTTGCTTAGATTCACGACCATTCTTTGTCTTCTGTACGAACTTTCTACAGAAGTTCAGGCAGTTCACTTTCTGGAATAAATAAATCCCATAATCCCATGACACACTCCCATTGAAGCAATAATAGAGATTTTTAAAATAAATGGCTCCGAATCAGAAGGCGATTTAATAATCGGTTCAGCTATAGTCACTGACACAAAAAGAGCCAGTGACTATAAATCCTAGCCAATACTCAGAATCTACTCAGTACTACTCTGGAGTGGTAATAAGTGAAGATTTATTTAGAGCCAAGCGAAGGTACCAGTGCCCTCACGGCAACCGAGGTTCGTCAGTTCCTTTTGGATCGAGGATCGGGTGAATTCTGGGCCGAACGACTGCAGACTGGAGTGGGATAGCTAATGTTTGCATGCTGAGTGATGGATTGGATGGGATTATTCCCTGGAGCTACCGGTATGCTACTGTACCAGGCTGTACAACCTGGCTAGCTCCCGTGTCGAGACGGTACTGTGAGCAAAGTTACTGGAGTTTGCTCCCGGTTGCCAACTGCTCGTTTGTCCAGCTGAACTATTGGAGCTATCGCTTGTCTCATAAATTTCCACACCTCCATCCCCAAAACCCACACTGGAGTACACAAAGCTAGTATCATGTCTCAGACCATGAAGTTCCCCGAGATTGTGCTTCCTGTCTCCTCCTCCAATTGCTCTTTGGATGTGTCTGTCTTGTCAATGGGCTCCTCTTGTGATTCCTGTTCCTCCTTCAGTTCCATGGACCCTCCTCCCAGGAGAAAGCCTTCCCAAGATAGATTAACTGCTGGTATGCAGGTGCATCGTCGCAGAAAGTCGAATGTCAAGTTTAACTTCAAAGGAACCAACAAGTCGCGATGGACCAATAATATGGAGGCCATCAGCAGCGCCGGAATGACGTCCGTACCTTTCCGCAAACCCAGCAACCCTGGTCTGGTCCACATGCACCATGCTCCCAATCGACAAAGCGACATTGCAGCCAATCTTCCCTGCCGCAAATGCAGTGATCCTCGTCTCTACAAGTTGGTTGTGGACGCACCCGCCAGCGCACCCACACGCAAATTCAGCAATCCCACTCCTCTCTTCCATTTGGGTGGCTTGCGCAGCAGTCCCCAGCAAGGCAAGGCCGCCACGGCAGCTTTGAACCAAGCTTTCAACAACAGTGGTTCTTCCTTGTCTTCCTCAGGCTCATCCTCCGCAAACTCCAACTTTCGCTGGAAGACTGGATCTCAGTTCTGTGCGCACCCTCCTCTCCGCAGCACGAATCCACTCAGAGGCAAGGCGCAGCCTCCTTCAAGACCTAATCGCAAAGGATCTCTCATGGACTTCAACATTCTCTCCTCCTGGGATGTGTCTCCCTGCCAGTGTCCTCATGATGACATCCGCCACACGTCCATCACGGAAGGGCTCGATAACTCAGAGCATTCCACTGACAGCATGCCTCCACCTCTTCCTGCTCGCAAGGAGAGTCTCATGGACTTTGATGATGCTCTTTCCACGGCGGCCAACTCGGGCTGCGGTCATTTCCACCCAAGTCCAAGAACTCAGGTGCGAAGGTTTGTTCAACACAACCTCCAAAAATCCATGCCTTCCGTGCCGCTTCGACGTGGTAGCATCATGCCACCACCCCCAGAGTTTGCCAGGCAGGTGAGCTCCGCCTCATCGGCCCCTGTCATTCCAGCTCGACAGGAAAGCCTCATGGACTTGAATGACTTGTAGTCATTGCATGGATCCATGTCAGCCATGAGAGAAGAACATTTGTACAGCTTTGAATACCTTCCTTCTCTCTCTCTTCGTTTGATAGTAGTGATACTTGTCCCATGTACAGCGGTGGAATGAATACCGAAAGTAGTAACAACTAAAACGAAGTATGCAACGAAACATTACACCTGTTTATATCCTAGCTAGATCTCAGTACAGGAACATCCCTGCCAAAACCACCCCAAGGCATCCCACCACACCTCACCTTGGAGGAGGACGTATGTCATAACTGCAGGAAAAATGTTGTGAGTGGGAGGTGAGCCATGAGGGAGCGACCAAAAGATTCAATGTGGCGTAACACTTGCAAAACTTCGCAGTGACTGGGTTCTGATGAGGGGCATCTGCAAGATGTGAACAGAGTACGAGCCTTGTACAGTCCTGCCTCCTACCATTATGGATAGCTACAACTGGAAAGAAGGAATGCCAATGTAGATAATTGATTTCGCGACAAGAATGCATTGATTACCTTGCGCGTCTTGGTGTTTGCCTTTACCGGATGGGACAGTGAACCCCATAGTTGCTTCGTCCCAGCCAGCATTGGCATTTGCAGCCACATAGCATGCTGGTGCAGTAGTACCATTCCACTTTCTTCGCATGGCAATTCGCTTCTGTCAACACAAGGTACCATCGAGGATGAAAACGCCCTCTGGAATAGTTGCTGACAAGAGTGGATTCCCCTCAAGTCTGAGTATAAAAGAGCGAGATTGATGCGAGAGCTCTGGGCACAGTTCCAGATAGCAACGTGTTTTGGCAAAATTGTGGTGAATGTAGGTCCTCGCTGATGGCGTTCATTGTTTCCTCTGGGAGGGTCATCAAGTTGCTTAGTGGCTTACCATATACTCTAGCCAGCTAGAGCCATCCAATGAAGAGTCCTTGGAGAATACAAGCGACAACGCCTCATGAGCTGCCCTTTACCTCGGCAGGTTAACTGCCTGAGTCCTCTACCCCTTTATTGGCAAATATTCTGTTTGTGGGATCCCCCTGGTTTTTGTCTGTGGGATCCCCTCGTTTTGTGTCTGTGGGATCCCCTATTCCGGTGAAGCCAGGATAAGGATAGAGATAATGTAAGCTGGCAAAACTGGAAATTGAAGGTTCAATAAAAGTTAGGGGTAGGAATATATCAATGTAATTTAAGGTTAGTGCACTCAGGACAAAAACACAATAAGCCAGCAGGTGTTGTAAATTTAGAGTTACACAATCAAATGATAGCTGTAATTATGGGTTAGCCCGTGGCTACGCCAATGCTAGCTTAATATAAAACAGAAGGTTACAATGAGGGAATGATAGTGGGCGGCAACACACAACGAAGTCGGGTGTTGTCGCCAGGGCTAGCTTACATAAAAAAGAAGGTATAATGAGGGAAGGCTACCTTGAAAGAAGGATGCAATCTCAAACACGATCCTCTTTCTTCTATTTGTCTTTCTGCCGAGGTATCCCAGCTCCCGCTGACTTAGTTGGCTTTCCCAGTTCGGTTGAAAATGAGCATGAAGCCATCAGAGCTATATAACATATTGCCAGCCGTACTCTCACGGAACCGGAAGACCTCAGAAACATGATGGGAGATATTAGCCCTGATTTGCTCCTGGACGACGGAGAAAATTACCTACCCAGACACTGTGTACCCCACCACTGGACTAGTTCACTTTCGAAATCTGCAGAGCTGCCACGTGTTAAAAGCAGGTTTGTTCTTGGCTTCCCACGCAAAATCGTGGCAAAATCATCTCTGTTGCCCTGGGAAGACAACTATGATGAACTCAACCAATATAGCACCTACACACCCAAGATAACTATCTAGAGCTGTCTACATTCCTTGCTTGTTACAGCCATGTGCTGGTTGTAGTGGTTTGAGCCATGTAGCAGGCATTATCTTATGTCAAACTAAAGGCTTCATTGTCAAAGGGGGAAATGGTAAGAAATTTTCAGCCTTACTTTGCCAGCCATTCGTTGCTCCCGTGGCCACCAAGTGAACAAGCCACTACCACCACTGCGACGGGCACGTCCAAATTATGCATTCCCTATCTCAAAGTATTGTCAGGTTGACTCTATTGGTCAAACGGCTGGGGGTATATCTGTCAGCATGAGGTGATGTCAAAAGTGAGTTTCTTCAAAATGTGAGGCAAATCATGCCATGACTGAACAGTCCAGTGGTGGGGAAAATCCAGTGGTGGGCCACACAGTAGCAAGCCAGACCCAAGCATAGGAGATGATTTGGGCATTTGTAGACAGTTCAATAAATGGGACCCTTTTCTTCGTTGCACACCTTTTGCTTTCACAGGCTCAGTTTGCTTGCTTGAAAGCAGCAGCTTTCCACCCAGGATTTCCCCATGGCTCACGTGAAATCGGTGCAAGGTAGCCAAGGGAACCACAGATTGGCGGGGTGAGAGCTGAGAATACAGTCAGTGCAGATTCGATTCGACTTGACTCAGCCAACCCGTACCGTGGCTACGGTACAAGAAGGTAGCGAGGGCCCTGTGAGCTCTCGGCAGCAAGTTTTCCTGCTGACCGCTTTCAGGAGCTTGGCCGCATACAGCAGTCTAGCAGGCACGTCGAATGATTATCGTCGTCCACAGTTACATGTACTTTTGATAGACCTCTTTTCGCGGTTGTCTGGTTTCACCCTCGGGTTGTCTCTTGGCTTCTCCCGGCCTGAGTCGAGTCTCTTGGCTTCTCCCACTTGCCAGCCAGATAGATAGGCGGCCTTGGGCGTGCCGGTTGGCCAACAGGAAACAGACAAGCAGAGTTCAGGATGAACGACACTGCGATCCCCATTTTGTTCTCAACTCAACGGAGAACGGGACGAAAGCTTGAGCTATGCATAGTATGATACATCTAGTAGCTAGGCTAGCAGTTGTTTGTGTGTGAAGAGAATATTCTCGTTACGTTTTGCTGTTTTACTTATATTATTTAATAGTGATCCCCATCAACATATATCCGGCACTAGCCATAGGTTGTGAATTGTTTTGTGTTGTTGTTTTCATTTTTACTCCTCTTCATCACCTTCATCAATCTTGGGAGCCAAATAGAACTTGACAAAACCGGTATCTTCAATGGGATAATCGACAACAATAGGTACTTCGGGGCTCATACAGAGAACGACCTGTGCACTCAAGGGAGTCGCCTTGGTGAAAAAGTTGAGATACCGAAGGGCAAACGAGAGTTCGACGGGTTCCTCCATTTCAATCTTGACGGAGTTTTCCTCCTTTTCGGCGTCGTGGGCGCGAATGAGGATATTTCCCGTCCCGATGCTACCCGAAACAGTGAATCGGATTCCCTCCTTGGTACAGGAAATGGTACAGGCGTCTCCCAGCACTTGAAGGTCGCGAATGATTCTCTGGAATTCGCCAGCGGGCATTTGAATGGTGCATTTGTAGGGAGTATCCGGAATTCCCAGCTGTTCATTGTCAATGTCCATGAGTTTGAGTTCTATAATAGATAAGATAATAATAAGATAACAAGAGAAGGAATTAGATACAATACAGTGTCACTCATGGTTAATGATCAATGTCATTGTGTCATTGGGTACTCACCAAAATCGGCAATGGTATCAGTCTTGTCATTTTCAAACATCATGGTGAGGTTATCCGGTTCATCTTCTGCCTTCAAGACAACCGAATCGTCCTTGCCCATCATTTTGAAGATCTTGGCCATATTCGCACTGTTGAGTCCCAAGGAGAGAGGACGATCGCATCGGTAATGATCAAACGCATTGGCCGCCAGACTAATCGATACCAGAGACACGTGCGAACTGTCCATGCATTGAATGGAAATGCCTTCTTCCGAACAATCCAGATTCGCATCATTCACAAGATCCTTGATGGACTCGATAATGTCCTTGAGGGTCTTGCCGTTGGCCAAGCGTGCTTCAAACATAGTGTTGTTGTTGCAAGGTGGTGTATTGAGAGAGTAGCGGATGGACTGTTATCTTGGTCGTCTTTGGTTGATTTATGATGGATCCAAGGACCACTTGTGAGGGTCTCGTTTCTGACAGAAGGCAATGCTGCGAAAGCCAACCTTTTTTCCCTCCGATGGCGGGAACGGCAGGCGCCAATACTGTACCTGCGCCAATTTTGAGAGGGAAGATATTGCAATAAGGTTCGGGAAATAGGAACGATGACGTCAGATGCTTTCTGGCTTTGCTTCCCATTTGCCATGATGCCAACAATGTCATGCCAACCTGTCTGCCGATCGAAGTCAAGGCGACCACCATATTGTACCGGTACGGCATGTAGCTAGCAACACCTAATCATGCCCAAACAAAATCTTCGTTATCCTGCTTCTTCGAAAGAGACTGGTGCTGCAAACAGGCAAAGAAGCCTGAAGGTCCCCCTTTTTGTACTCGCTTGTCTTTTGGTTACTTTGGACATTTTCCGACAATCCCTGCGGCAAGGACACCTCCCCACGTATCATTATCCAACAGCAACGGCCACAGCTCGAACACCCCGACTGGGAGATGACTGTCTGCTCGTCTTTCTCGATGTCGGTGCCAACATTGGTATCCACAGTCGCTTTTTGTTCGAACCGCAACACTACCCAACCGCCGTGCAAGCCCACAGCGTCTTTGATCACGTGTTTGGACGGCAGCGCGACAATCGTGATATTTGTGCCTTTGCGTTCGAACCCAATCCCCGCCATCGATCGCGCCACCAACAATTGCAGCAGGCATATGAAGACAGGGGATGGAGGTATCATGTGATTGAAGCGGGCGTCAGTGATGATCAAGGCAGCAACATGACGTTCTATCACAAAACCAACGATCGCGACAAGGAAGAATGGGCATTCAGTATGGTACGAGAAAAACCAGAAGAAACACCCGAAGTGGTACCCGTGATTCATTTGACCGAATGGATTCGGCATCACATTGTCGAACGACGGTTGCCAAGTCGAATTTGTGGTCAATATAATAACCAGCAGCAATCCACCAGAGGCAGCGTCGTCATGAAACTTGATATTGAAGGCAACGAGTTTGTGGTGTTGCCCAATCTATTCGCCAGTGGGATCTTTTGTCGACATTTGGATGTTGTGTTTGGAGAATTCCATCCGGGCACGGCCCATCTCTTTAACCGGCCTGGAAGCGACGTTGTCAACGACAATCATCAAGGGCAGATCCAAATTGGAAATGGGAGGGATGCCATGCTTTGGTTTCGGGGACTGGAAAAGATAATGCGAAGCATTCACCCAAAGGACTGCCTGGGGAGATGGCTGAATTTTGATGAGGAGAGTTATCTACACGACGGAGTGCCACTACCGGTGGGAAACATAAAGCAGGAGGAGCCAATCTGCGCGGGAGCTTGAGAGTTTTGTGGGAACAACCAACAACAAAATGGGGAAATAAACAGGGGCTCGTGCTTCCTACTAAATACATACATCCACGCATGACCAAACCAGAGGACACGCACGACCTTTGTTGACCCGCTGAAGCGACATACGTGCAGTGACGACAAAGTAGCATATCACAATGACACAAAAATCGCTGGACCGCGGGTTGCTTGACAAAGGCAAAGATATCGCTGTTCTTGCTGGTGAAGGAGAGAAAGGGAGTGTGTGAGGGGTATCACTATGGCTTCGTATGCATGATGAGGAGTTTCTCTCCAACGGTACTGGTTCCGGTAGGTTACGCTACGGTACCGTACCTTGGTAGTACACTGTACCCTGCGCACCCCTTCTACTCTTTGAACCTCTGGCTCCTTCCAAGTCTTCATTTTGTGCCTACCGGTAAGCTAGTGTTCATGTAGTGTGTCTTCGCCTGTAGAGTGACCAGATTTCTCCAATAAAGATGATACTAGTAGTGGGAATGCAATATCATGTGGTCGCACCGTTCGACGTGCGTTTTTGCAGCCGCGACCGAAAGGAGTTAGAGCTTCAATCGCACTTCTCATTTTTCAGCCTCATTTTTTCTATGTGGAACAGTTTTTTCTCTAGCTAAGCTACATCACTGGCTAGTAGATACAATGCAGGACTAACCACTGCATGTACCAAAACAATTATCTCGGCGTTGGATCTTCATTATTCTTGTAAAGTAATGATTTGCTGCAGGAAAATGATTCCTTACCGATCTTGGACAGCACTCTTGGTGCTTTTACTGGCGTCGTTGGTGGCAGATTGTCATGCTCGATGCGCTGCGACATCGTCCGACCCACGAGAAAGGTTCTCGGAATCCGACTTTGTGCTGCGACTCCAATACGATCCATCATCTACGGCTACCATTCCGTGTGGCGTTCGCACCTATCAGATAACGTCACAAGGATCAGAACAATCGGTGGATACTACGGGCTTTGAGCAATACACAATTTTGGACATCTACAAGCAGGATTGGGACAATTTCTTTGCATCGGAAGCAACACTTAATCAAGGCCAAGCCGTCATTACCCCGGACGCCGTCAATCTGCAAGTGGGAGATGCCATTGCCCTCATTTACTTTACCGACACGGGGTATTCCAGGAATATACCACAGTACATTCGCGATGATGCCGACGGATCCTTCTTGGCCTTTTTGTCGCCCCATCGCTATTGCAACAGTCCTTCCGATGGAGCCGTCACCACTCTGCCCGAAGTCACGCCGGAAAATTTGCAGACCAATCCATTCGTCTTGAGTCAATGCGACCAAGGCAATCAAGGGTGGTCGGCAGTGCCACAGGATGGACGCCTCTTTTTGGAATCGCAAGTGGTAGGAATAGAAACAAATAATCAGTTTGATGTTTCTAAAAATGCCACGACGCCAACCAGCAACTCGACCGAACCCGAAGAAGTTGGAGACAACAACAACGCGACTGATACCGAAATACTAGATTTACAAGACGACGTGGAGGAAGACAATGATTCGGTTTTTGTGGCGGAAGCTGCCGTTTCTTCGGTTGGGAGGCGGATGGTGTCCTTTCCGGTGCTTGCCTCGATGATTTTGGGTATCATTGTAGTGGTTTCAATCTGCTAGCTACGCTGGTAGATAACATGTAGTAGGTATTACGTTTGAAATGTAATTGATTGGAAGAAAGCCTTGATGGGTAAACAGAAAAACATCAGTTCTAGCTAGTAATGTTTTTTTACATCATTTGCTTCCTTCTTGCACTTCTGACGAGCACTTCAACAGTTCCAACTCCACCAATTTGATATCCATGTTCTGCAAAAAGTCGCATGAAAGCATACTGGTGGAGATCAAATGCCAGCTCTAGCAAAGTCCGCAGGTTGCGGAGTTAGTTTGGTTCACGCAATTATTGGTCATACAGTGCCCCCTACCCGGCCTTCTAGTTTGGATGTAACGTTCAAAAACTTCTTGTTTCCTAGCTAAGGACACCTGTATCCAATGTGGTTAGGACGTTCCTTCAAGCCCTGATGACAGACTTCTTGTCCATGCAAGCAGGAGAAAGGAATGCAACAGCCAACTTCCATCATCATGAAACCTATCGATGAAGGATGATCCTGGTACCCCCCAAAAGGGATAATAACTAGTAGTTCAAGGGGTTTCAGAGGGGAGGTTGGCTAGCTAGTCTATTTGCAAACAATTTGTTGTCCTGTGTGCATGTAGAGGTGCATGTTGTACTATACATCAGCCAAACATCAAAAGCTATACTCGGGCTCTATTCTTTGACCGTAGATCAACAAGCAGCTCTGCCATTTGAATTTGAATTTCAGGTGGTACGTCAGCCCATGGATCTTAGCCTGCATCAGTGATAAAGGCAATCGAGAAGGCCACATGCAACGAGTTGCAGATTCGATTGTTCTCTGGTTTGGACGTCTCACTACTTTGTAACTCTCTTTCTTTCTCGTTTGTTTGACACTCACTCAACCTTTCTTATACGAAGCTTATCAAGATGAAGTTTGTTGCTGCTACTTCGGCTCTTCTGCTGGTTTCCGGTGTCGTGGGCTTTGCTCCCATGCCAACCGTCCGGCACAACACTCAACTCGCAAGCTGGAATCAAGGCGAAGGTGGCATGGACATGTCTGGAAACGCATGGAAGCCAGACTCTGAAAAGATGGGGGTACGTGAATATAAAGTTGTGGGGATCAGCCTGGTTGGCCATTCGATGAAGTCCTCTTGCTTATGTTTGTGCGAATTCCTTGTTCTAATGTTTTCCTGTCTTTTCACTTCCATACTTTTTGCTGCTACCGTACATGCATGCAGTCCACTGACACTGGAGATTACTTCCCAGAAGGGTACGAATCCGATGTGAGCTACCAAGACGGTATGATGGGCTCTCAGGCAGGTGGGGGAGGAGGCCGTGATGGTCCTGCTCTTCCCGGAATGGAAAACCTTGGAGAAGATGCCGTCATGATGGGTGGGATTGAACAAGCTTCGGACATTCCCGCTGGCATGGAATTCGTCCCATCATCGGTGCCAGACGGAGAATACACAATGCAAGTCGCAGGAAGCTCTTCCGGTGAGTTGCTGCCTAACTATCAGAAAGAAGATTGGAAAAGAAAAATCTATGCTAGTGCCAAACCCTGTCTTCGTGGAAAGTGTCATCACTCATGATTGTTTCCAATATCTTTTCATTCATTCTAATTAAAAGGTGGCTCTTTGGATATTGAGGTGAAACCAGTTTGCATGACATTTGAAGACTTTTTCGCTGCCTTCTCGGCCGATTCTCATCCATCGCTATCGGTGTCACCTTCCACTGGCCGCATGGACCGACGAGGAGGAGAAACATCCCCATTGACAATCACCTGCGACCCCAAGGGTCAAGCTGGAACCTTTACCGGAGACTTGGTCATCAATCTGCCAGAAGATAATTCCAAGATTTGCTACAAGGTGACAGCCAACGTCTTCTAAGCCAATAACATCCATTCGATTCAATTCAATGTTGCCGTGGCATATATTATTCCGCCGCTCAGGATGTCACCGGCAGGATTCTGAAACCAAAAAAGGGTGGCCATAGGTGGCATGTTCACACGGCGGCTACCGTAGGAAAATCCAATGCAATTAACTGATAAATGAATACATTTGAGCAAGTGGCGCGTGATTTGAAGTTGGTAATGTTTATAATGTGACTTTACATTGTATGATCTGTCGAACCTGCATTTCTAGAGTTTAGTAGAAGAGGCCAAACGCAACGAATCAAATTGAAGCTGGCCGCCCGTCAGCAACAGTCTGGAATGAATCGAACCGGTTGTGAAGAGCAGAAGACTCAGAAAGGAAAGATGAACAAAAACTATCAAGTCTGTTTATTGGGATGACTACAAGAAAGCAAGGGTTTGTTTTTGACTGATTGATGATGCTATAGTTATGTTTACTTTCTAAAGGAAGTTGCTATTGTTGTCTGAGCATTTTGTGCCCCACAGCTGCAGAATGATCCCGTTGGTTCAAACTGCTTGTCACTGTGCCGCTGTGACCTTACATGAGAATCCAATCTGCTCCTGTCACACCTGGTAGCAGAAAGGATCTCACAGGCCCACTATTGCACGGAGTCTAAATCCCAGCATATTGGTAACAAGTGTCATTTTCACTTCCTCTCGGGAACCAGTATCACCCCCATTTTGGGGGTGCCAGAACCTCAGAGTTGCTTTGGACTCCTTCAGAAGGAGCCATCCCACAATCACCTCACCAGGATTTCCAACACATCTCCATCACCTTGGATGGAACAGAAAGAAGAGCAAGTCACACAGCATAGTCACTGTGTGCTGCCCCTTCTGTCACTTACAGCTCACCACCCCGACCAACCTCCCACTTGGAGTGTTGCGGATGAGTTCTCTCAGCAGAATGCTACAAACCAGTCCTTTTGTGGACCATCTTGCTCCACACCTACAGCGGTGTCAAAGCAAAGAGTCATGTGGTACACCTATCAGAACCAGGGAGGCTCTGGGTGCCCATGGCATGTTGATTTGCAAAGCAGCTTCCCTCTATTGTCATTGTCATCATCAAAAGTCAATCATGTTGTCATTGTGTAGTTTTCGTTGTAGTTGATGCCTTCACAGTTGTTTGGCACTCCAATTTATGAGCCTCATAAGAAGTGAAAGTGGGTCCTCGAAGAGTCGAAGAGAAAAACGGAACCAGCAAGGGTGGTTTCAATGGGTGGGCGGTTTCAGCTCCGTTTCGGCCGTCGGGATCCTTTCGTTGAAAATGGACCCTCCATCATGAATTTGCGGTGCCGTTTGTCGTGAATGTCCGTGCCTGTCTCGAAGATCCCTCCTAACTAGCTAGTTGGCTTTGAAGAGGAGACGATGGCAACAGATGAACACCGATGGGTAGATTGGTTGCCTCCAACCTTCTGAACACTCAAGCAAGGTCAAAGTGCAAAGTGCAAGCCGTTTCTTTTGGATTATGTACAGGGAAGACCCTACCTCTAGTGATGTCTCTAGAATGAGTCGAGTCGAGTCGAATAATGACTCGACTCGATTCAGTCGAATCGAACGTTAGAGAGGTTCCATTCAAGTACTAGCTAGCTAGCTAGCTAGCCCTACTGTAGTACATGTACAGGAGCACAGTACCGGTAGCCCTTTCCGCCATCGATCCAGTCTTTCACCTCTGCCCTCGCTGTGTGGTCCAAGACCAGCGTTGTCCAAGACCAACGAGCAAAGCTACACATACATGAGATGGGGTTGCAACAAGCAAAAGCTATCATCAAGCGCAAGGGAATTAGTCTGCATGCTCGTAGAGATAGCTAGCTTGCACTCGCCCCGCCATTGGATCATTCCTCAAGCAAGAATTACACCGTACTACATGTCATACTCTTTTGCAGGCCCGCTGGGAAGCCACACCGTACATTATAATCTTCTACGGCGGAAGCTGGGCTGACCGTACCACTAGCTAGCTACGTGTAGATGCTGTTGAACTTCTCCCTGGCCTGGAGGCTTCTTCTTGAACCGAAAAGGAAAGTACTAGCTAAGCCACCGCAGCACCCGGCATGGATTGTTGGAAGAAGGTAGTTAGCTAGCAGAATTTTAAAATCATCTGTTTATCTTGCTTGGCTGGCTGCTGGTCAAAACGAGGCACTAGTAGAAAAAAGTCAGTGGTTTGCTTGTAGTTGATTGCATACTGAGACGACTGGAGATACATACATGTGGAGATGATCCAGTGGTACCACCGAGGACCGGTCTCCAAGCAAGAAACTGACCATCATCGAAGGCAACTCCCGAATCGCAAGCAATCGCAAGTCGTGAGAAGAAGCCGTAGAGAATGTGGGTGGCGGGCAACTCTGACAGGACTAGTCTACAAGTAGTCTATCTGCAGACCTACCTACAACATCAAGGGGGCTACAGGAATGAACCAAGTTCTGCCTTTGGTTGTCGACCATCGTTACTAAGCAACTTGCTAGCTAGCTCCTATCGTATGGCAAAGCGGGGGTAGCATATCTAGTGCTATTAGCTGGAGGCTTGCATAATATTATTCAGTTCTTTGTACAGTCTAGAGTAGCTAGTTAGTATGAATGAATAGTCGTTAAGCTTTTTACAATTCCCGTATGTACTACTAGAGTAGATCCCTTGCTCGTTTTTTTGTTTCGTTCATGCTGCTTCTGCCGTTCCCGGTCTGCCGCAACATGGCGTGGGTCTACAGGGCGACACGACCTTTGGCAAAGGCCGTGTCTTGACGTTCGATTTCTTGGTGGCTGCTGCCGTATCCGCCGCCGCTGCGGCTGCCATGGCGAGTGCCATTTCCTTGGCGGGTGTAGTGGGCGATGCCACCGTGACGACCTCTTCTTCGTCTTCGTCGTCGTCGTGTTCCGAAGTGACCTCTTCCGTCACGGCCTTGTCTTGTTCTTCGTGTGAGGCGCGTTTCGAGTTACTCGAATTCTTGGGCTGGTTGTGCTGTCGAATGATGTCATCGAGCACATCTTGTACATCAAAGACATCGTCCATATCCAACGTGCGTCCCGCCAACGCCACAAAGAACAATTGACTAAGATCATCGAGTGTTTCCGTATTGGAATGTTTGCTGCTCGATTCGAGGGCGTTAAAGATACTCGCCAACGCGAGCAACGACGGCGGGGTGGTAATGAGCCGCGGATCGGACACGGCCAATTCAGTCTGGACTTGTGCTAACTCCAACAAAGCCGCACAATCTTTGCGACTGACAACGCCTTTGGGAACAATCCCCAACAATTGACGACAAAATGCGAGTGCGGTAGGAGGATTGACCCGCCAATCGAGCGCGGCCAGAATGGTCCGTTCCATGGCTTCAATATCTTCTACCGAACACAAATTGCCACTGAGTTCCACCACGAGATCCGGTTCGATGGCTTCGGGTTCGTGCGCTTTAATAGCGGTGTAGAGACACGTCATGCCGGCCATTTTGAATTGCCGCGGCGTCGTGGTCAAACAGACTTTGCCTTGCGGGGTTTCCAAGAATCGATCCAAAAAGTTGAGTGCAATGGCGACCGTTTCCCGTTCAAACTCGAGATAATCGACGACGGTAATGAACCAAGTCACCATGGCGGCACGGCATTTGCCACGACGACGGGAGACTTTGGCATCCTCTGTCGACGTCAAGTAGTTGCCACTAATCTTGTACGCTGATTCTTCTTGTCGACAGAGCGCTTGCAGAGTCGATGTGACTTCCCGCTTCTTGTTGCTTTGACTGTACGAGTGGTCCATGGTGGCTAACGAATGATTGAGCTAATGAGAATGTATGAATGTATTCTGTTGCTTGCTTGTTGGGACTGATCGAGATTGTGACCAAAGAAAGAAATGGAGTGAAGTGGATGTGGAGTGAGGTATACTGCCGAGAGCTTTTTGAGTCTAGTAGTAGTGGGGAATAGGGTCTTGCTTCTTTCTCCTTCCTTCTCCGATGTGTTGTGGGTCCAAGAGCTTCGAATGACTGAGAATGTGTGTGAGCCAAGGTGGCTGCTAATCAGCAACCTCCGGAAACATGGATGATGTTTGAAATTTTTCAAACAGTTTTAGTTTCTCATTTTTAATTTTAGTTTCTCATTTTTAGTTTCTCAAATTGAGAAACTAACAGTTTTAGTTTCTCATTAGATAAAATAGTTTCTCATTTCTGGCAGAAATCACCACACATGTAATAGCAGTTTCTTGTATAGTTTTTCATTTCAAAAGATAGTTTCTCATTTCGACCAAATGAAAAACTAACTTTCTCATTTCAGAGCTTAGTTTCTCAAATGAGAAACTACTTTCTCATTTGAGAAACTGTCAAAAAAGGATTGCAGTCTGGTTCTGGACCTTGCAGGGTAGACAGCGTCTGTGCTGCGGCTGCTGGATGGTGGTGGTTGCGAAACGAGCACAGTAGGGGGAAGGGTGGCAGCCGTAAAAACCAGTGAGTGTTCGTTTTATTGCTGTGGTCGGTGACTACGGTACGTTGCTACCACCTGCTGGTAACGCATACGGTAGGTGCACTGGACATGTTACAGGGATAATGTCCCTGACAAGGTAACCACTTGAGTTTTGAGTATTATCAATCAGTACCAAGGTCATTATCAAAGAATGTCATGATGAAGAACAAATGTCATGGTCATTAATTAGTCAAACCTTCAATCCTCCTGTGAATCATCTACTGAAATAGGGGTATCTTGGACCATCCCCAGCAAGAAAGACTTGTTAAGTAAGAAGTTCTTTTCAGGAATGACTCAAGCTCCTCTTTGCAAGTGGGAAGCAGTAGCTGAAGCAGTACAATACCAGTAGCAATTGCCAGGCCATGCAACTTAGACTACTTAGCTGACTACTTACACTGACCAATGGGAACGGTCATTTTGTCAATGGGAAGCAGCTGAGCAGCTGAGATCTTTGGATTTCCGATTGGTTCATCGAAAGGCTACGAAGCTACATGTACGAAGCAGGCAGAAATAATATCAACCGAAATGCTACCGATTTGTCCAGCCGTTCAGGTGTTCCAGCGACAACGCAAGAGCATCATGCATTTTCAGCATTCCCCCTTGTGCAAAGACGGATTGATTAGGGGGTATATACCTCATCCTGTCAGTCTCATAAGCCTGCAACCTGGCAGTCTACAGTATGGCACTTTGGTGGATCTTCTACTGTAGATTCGATTCTGTTGCTCAACAGTTACTGTTTCCCCTCGTCGAGCAAGATTCAGTGCTAGCTAGGCATCAGAATCTGAAACCCTGCTCGATCCCACAGGAACAGCACATCTCAATGCACAAAGCTGGGAGGTTTCTTCACACTGTAGACCACTTGACCTGTGCTTGGGTCCCCAGGGCATCGACGTTTGCTGGCTTGTTCCCTCCACCTTGCTTGCTGGGTCTAGAGGTTGCTTACATTGCCATGCGGCCCGATGCTGCAGTATCAAAGTATTGCATCTCTCGAGGCTTGGGTTGTCTTGTCAAAGGTTCAAACTGTTCGGGGAATCTTTTGTTAGGATTCGATTCTGAGATGATCCCGCAATAGTGAAGATTCTGCACACTGTTGTAGCCCACTTGACATTATTTGCTTGAGTCTCGAAGGCCTTGACTTTTCTAGCTAGCTACGGTAGATGTTACCTTGCCAGTTGCCGTGGTAGTACGATACAGCAGAATCAAAATGCTGTTTCTCCGTAGGGTTGGGCTGTCTCCGTCAAAAAGTCGAGTCCAGGCCCTGATTTGATCCTTCCAGAGTGAAGATCCCACTGTGGATCTTTGAACTGACCTGAGAACTTTCCCTCCAGAAGGTAGACTACGGAGTTGGGGTTTCTCGTCTCCCAATCCTGATCTAGAAAAAGGGGGCGGCAATTTCCTCTCAATGCTGACGAGCCACGTGTGTTGAGATCAGCGAAGTTTTACGATTAGGTACGTCCAAGGTTTGGGGCATCTCGAAAAGCACCGTCAATAACAAAGAGGTACCATCGTACATGTACTAGTACCATTGAAACTATAATACAGTAAATATGTTCCACTCCCGGATTGGTACCCATACTAAGTAAAGTGTTAGGGTCACACATTGAGTCCTTCATCGACTCAAGATGCACGAACACGCTACGAGTGTTACAGCGCCACAGCAGCAATGCTAAATGTTGGTAAATGTACCATTCCCAGGTCTTTTGGAAGGTACTTATCAGACTGCCCCCCCAATGTTTATTGCAGCAATGTTCCAACTTGAATGAAGGCATTCAATCTTCAATCTTCAATCCACCAGGTACATGTACCGATACTCGATAGCCGGCTATCTACTAGCCAGTACCGTACTCGTAGTGAGCTGTGAAGTGGCTGATCTTTTAGTCCACCATGTCCATCGCCCATATGCAACAGTGTTCTAGGCAGAAAGCCTCCATTGGTTGGAATGCCAAAACAGTGCCACGCCATGGCGAACGATTCCTTTCTTCGTTCAAGCTCGTCTTCAACAGAAGAGCCCAATGCTGCTTATCCCTCCTCAAGTTGCAATTATCCACAAAAACCATAGCTTCCTTTTGCTTTGGACCCAGTGAATCCTATGCTATCCAAAACTTACTATCCTTGGCCAATACGTGGCCAGTCTTCGTGGGCAACCAGTCATGGGATGGAAGGTAATCGTTGGAAAGCAGTCAATGGGTCTGTTCTTTTACCGGTTGCTGCCAGGTTTTCGAATCCACTTGATCGACTGTCGGCTTCTGGCTCAATTTGTTGCTACCAATTCCACCTGAAGACCCTTTCCTTTTCTCTCGGGGCGACCCAGTCATTACTAGCTAGTACTCAGTGTAGTCATCCTTGCAACTATTGATTACCGCCACAAACCGCACCGGTACCTCGGTCGATAGCCGTAACATGGGCAGCAGGTTGAGGTGCTATCGCTACCGGTACCCGTACCCATACCGGTGGTACCAGTACCTATGGTTGCAGTGGCAGCCCCGTTCGAAATAGTCTACTAGTATGCCTCAAGGGCAGATTTTGAATGTCAACAGCTCTACTGTTTTGATGAAGTACGTCAGTGCTGTCGCATCTGCATCAACCAAGAGTTGACTGCCAACAATACCAGTACCAAGCGTTGTATCTTGTGGAAACAAACCAATCCTCCACTATCGATAGCCAGCTAGCTAGTAGACTTCTGACACCATGATCAAGTTTGTAACGACGGTAGCGTTACTGTTCAGTGTTGTCGACCCAGTCGCATCGTTTGCTGGTGTCGCGCCATGTAGGGTAGCAGCTCCATCCGTTGGCAGCAACAGGAAACCATGCAGTTTCCGATCATTCCGGTCCGTCCTGAGAATGAGTGACAATCAGACTCCCACCAGTAGTGAGGAAGAGAAGAAACAAGACGATGGAGTCATTGAGCTCGTGGATTTGGAGGAGGTAGTCGCAGATGCGTCGGAAACGGAAGAAACAAGTCCTTCCCTGGCAGCACCATTTTTGAGCCAAGGAGAAATCCAGGAAGAATCACTGAAAGTGGATCTTTCCGATCCCAAACAGACCAGAGTCATCATCTACATCATTCTGTCTTTGCTTCCTGTATTGTTCTTGATTCCGTTAATGCTGGGATCTCGAGAGTTTTTGCCCGCAATAATTCCCATGGATGACCTTCCACCGGTTCAATTGTAGGAAGAAATTTATGACGCCACGCTTTCAAGCCAGCAACCAACCAACCACACGATCATGCCCTAGGATCGGTTGAGATTTGCATGAAGAGGCAGTAACATTTAAAAGCCGAAGCCACGCTGGGGATCTATGTATGTGAGGACCTCCTTTCCGATACATGTAAATATGACGGTTTTAGCCACTCATCGGTCGACGATAAGTCTTGTGATACTAGCTACTAGCTAGTCACGTCTTAACTTTAATATGCTGAATGATATCTTTTATTCGGTGCCTGGGGAAACTAAACGCGTTGTAAAAGAATAGGGGGCTATCGCACTCTTCTGATTATGGCTGGAGTATGCAATGACTTATCAAAGGGTACATGGCTTGAATTGCAGCTCGAGTTCTGTTTGGGTCTGCAACTTCCGATCTTGGTTGACAAGCTTCATAAACCTAAATGCACTTCGCGGCCCAGATCGGTAAGTACAAGGCTGCCATCCGTTGACTCTGTTATGAGTCCCTCCTGTTTCATCTGGGACATAGCAGCTTCAAAGGTGGGATGACATTCACCACCATCACAAAGATCTTCATGAGAACGATTGCGCTGGCGTTTGGGTTCCCTACTAGCCTTCAACTTGCCATCTTTGGTGAACCTCAGTGTGGTTTTAGACACCAATGACTGAGTGCCCCAATCAGACTGTTTTGAGTCCAAGTTCTTGCTCTTGCCACCATCATCATGATGTGCACACTGTCGTAGCGAGGACGGGAAACTTGTAGAATTCGACATGAGCATTACCCCTAGTGCATGCACACCAACGTCCGAAAAGCAAACCCGTTCTTCGATGCTATCATGCGGTCCCATACCTCGTTCAATGAGCCCCCGTTGTAACAAAAGCGAGACTACCGGGTCCCCGTCATCGTCACGTTGTTCGCTGAAGACGCTGACATGGTTGTCTTCGACATGATTGATGTCCGCACGAAACTTGATTGAGTTCTCTAGCTTCCCGTCCGGGCTGTCCTTCATGATGGAAGGCACTGTTTTCATATTTTGCTCTGGATTCCAAGGGCGTATTGCAGTGCAGATTGTGCTCGGTATGATCAAGCAAACCGTGCAACTGATGATCGCCACGCTGTGGACAGCGTGGAATAAACCTCGTTCGTTCATGTTTTGCACGTTGGGTTTGGTTGGAATATCGAAATCTTTCATCGTGCCGTTACGGTGCAACGATGTATCCGACAGCCATTGCTCTACTTGAACATTGTCCTTCTTTCTCATTTGACACGGATTCAAAAATTCCTCCAGAGGTTGAGAGCGAGAACCAAACAAAGTTACTCTTGCTCGTCGATCGGGATCATATCCTAGAGGATCCTCATTTTTTCACTCGCATTCCGAGCGATGCAACACCGGGGCCCACCGTCGCTCCAAGCAAACGACCCATTCATTGCTACTATCTGATACGGCCGCATCATTGGATGCGAATACAATACAATGATCTAGTTTGGAGACCTTATCTTGAGAGGCTTCACGCCCCATTCAGCTCCTCAGCCGACAAAAGCTGTTCCAACTCCGAATGTTCTATCCATTGAGGTGCATATATGGCTTTAGGGGAATCAAAAGTACCGGTACCTACTACCGGTAGCCAGGAGTTCTGGGTAGCTTGAGCTCCAGAACGGTGCGTGCTGCAGACGAGACGAATCCTGGCCATTCACAGTTGTTGTCTTGCTCCTTGCTCTCAAGAGCCAGTTTGCGGTAACATGAAACGATGCTATCACGGCTCTTCAAAGCTCGTCAAAATGCCAAGAGTGCAAGTCGATGCTCCAGCAAGAACTCTTTCAACAAGACCCTAAATCTATTTGACGCAGATGAATGTTGAAAATTTGGTCGGGCTGCTGGATCTTCAGTCGCGGTTCTCGAGTCACCTTACGCCCTTGAAATCGGAACGGGGGGTGCTTCAGTTCCAACTTCATCCAAAGCTCACAAAAAAAAAGTCGTCATACAAAACAACGTCCCAAGTACGAAAAGTCGAGAAAACCATGGTAATGTATTGGAATATCAAGTTCCCGATCGCTGTTGGAGCTCTGTGCAACGGGTTGATTTCCCGTGGCGTGGAGGCGCAGCAGGTCAGGCGCCCCGAATGGGTCGGCATCCCTGACGATGTCATGAAAGAATTCAAACTACATAATCAGCTCAGAGAAGGATTTGATGCCCCTTGCCAGCGTGTATCGAAGGACGATGAGTTTGCCATCGACAATGAGATCCTTTCCTTTCGCGACGACGATTTGCAGAGGTTGGATGATATCTTTGCTGACGGCGCCGAATACTATTTGGACGGTGTCAAGCAAAACGCGCTTCCGCCCACTGCGATCTACAAGAGCAAAGATAGTCCAAACGTACTAGTTACCAAGGATGGCCATGGTCAGCTTGAGCGTGCCAGCAAAGTCGACCCAGCAACGGGTGAGAGTGTGTTTCTAGTTCCATTGGAACTTGAGTCCAAGTTCTTTGTCGAAGTGGTAAGTCCGATTTCCTCTTCGTAGTGCAATGCAATCCAAAATGCAAGTTCATTTCATTGGCTTCCTCCCCTTCTTCCTGTTCGTGATAATCAGGGACCCACTGACGTCGACGAGCGGAAATTGCGCAAGTTTAGGTACGGAGAGGCTGAAGTTGTTGACTCGGGGGAGGCGGTCAGGAAGCGCCTTCTTAGGTCTACCAAACTCGCCATCGAAGAACAAATCCCTGTAGGTGAGCGCCATCTACAGACAACATGCCAGGCTTATGATGTGATTGAGGTGGCTGTGGTTTATGAAAGCAGGTTTTGCAACTTCTTTGGTGGTCCTTCCAGTTCCAACAACATTGTCCAGACAATTATTGCCGAAACAAGTGTGAAGTACCAGCAGTTCTGCAAGAAGGTTTCCATGTCTTATATTGAGGGTCACTGCAACAGCGCAACCGATCCTTATTTCTCCATGTTTTCGGGGTCTGTTTGTGGAGACTCTGGTTCCCTATTGACCCAGTTCCGAAACTATTGGCGTGCTGAACGACAAGGCATCCCACGCGATACCGCTCATTTGTTCCATGCCTTCACCCATCCGGCGTCAACCATCGGCTGCGCATACATTGGAGCACTTTGCAGCTCCCAGTTCGGATATGCTGTCAATGAGATCACGTTTGGACGAAATGACAACCAAAATCTTTGGGCGGTCTTGGGTAAGTCATTTATTAAAAAAATGTGGTCGCTTTTGTCAACTGGAATTGTTTCAACTCAACTTTTGTTCAACTTGCACACATGTGGCAGTGGCTCATGAACTAGGACACAACGCAGGAGCAAACCATGACTGTTGTGGCTTCATCATGAATGGAGGAATTTGTAGCTCTTGTCAAACTTTCAGTTCTCAGTCTGTTGGCGAGATGAACAACTTCATTGGGTCCGTCACCTGCATTGACCCCGAAGCAAATACCGCCACCCCTACGATTGGCAGCCCTGAAGCGCCCACCTCCGTTCCGAGCGTTGTCCCAACCGTTGCAACGGGAGAGCCTTCAGGAAGGCCTAGCATGCTCCCAAGTGTTGCCCCTTCTCTCGAGCCCTCCATGAAACCATCAGAAGGCCCGAGCATGATGCCAACCGAAAGCAGTGAAAATCCTAGCAGTAGCCCTACAGCAGCTCCCACAGCACCCATTGATTTTCAACCCACTGCGGTGCCCACGAATGCTGATGTTCCTACCAGTGCCCCTGCAACACCTAGCCCAAGGAACCCACTACCTTGCCCTACAAGCCCCGCTCCACCCACCAACCCGCCCATGGATGGCACGTGTGCAGCCCGGTTCCAGTATTGTGACCAGATTCCCTGCTGCCCTGGCTGGCAATGCTTCTATGGCATTGTGTGTTTCTAACTCAACACTTATCTCGCAAGTCCAGAACCTGTACGGAAAGGATCAATTGAAATCAGCAAATGAGGAGGAGACTTGGAACAGGCAGTCAAAAAAGGAAACCAGTATTATTGAGCGAAGAGAAAGGAATGAACAAGGACGCAGCTTCAACCGGTTGGTTGGGCTCTATATGTAAACATGAAAACGAAGCAAGGAAGCGATGGCACATGATGCAGCACTCTCGAGTTAGTTGCAGTTAAAACTGTGCCTATTATAGGAATCAATTGAAAGAAGTCGTGAACAACTGCTGCAGAAGCTATTTGCCGACGCAGTAGCTCTTTGAGTACTACAATCTAGACATGGTTTCCAACTTGGAGTTCATCAGGGGTTGAGCCGTGGCAATCTCCTCGAAACATGTGAGTTCAGCAGTAATGGCTTGAAATCGCCCAGCTAGAGAGTTGATTCGATTCGATGCAACAAAGCTAAAGGTCCAACAGAAGGGATCTGGCTGCCGCTTGGCCCTGGAAACTTCGGGCCCAAGGTGACTTCTGCAACGATTGACCAGGAATCCCCTAGCTGGTTCAAGTCTAGTAGAAAAGTCAGCAGTCGAAGGAGTTGGCATCCATGGTCCGCGCATGGCTCTGAGGCTTCGTCGTTTTCCTTGTCATGACCACAAAATTCTTGCAACTGGAGAGTGAGACGTGAATGTAAACCCAAATTTAGAGGTGTTTTGTTGCTACATCAAAAGGGACATGGGAAACTCCCCCCCTCCCTTTCCGAGGAGTTCACCAAGAAACCAAAATCACTTCCAATGAAACAAAAACATGGGATACAAGAGTACGTGTTGTCTTGAATGGCCAATGCACTGGCTTGTCGCGTCGCCTCATTGCATCAGGGTGTGCCTACAAGCTAGTAGCCACCCTGCCTTCTTCCGCCACCTCGACCGCCTCCGCGGCTGCCACCACCATAACCATATCCTCCTCCTTGGTTGCGGCCGCCGCCACCATAGCCGTAGCCGCCACCATAGCCTCCTCCATAGTACATCATGCTCCCGCTCCTTGAACCTGAACCTGACCTGTATCCATATCCATTGTTGTAGCCACCTCCATGGTTGTTGTTGTAGCCTCCACCATAGTTGTTTCCACCTCCATAGTTGTTTCCGCCACCATAGTTGTTTCCACCTCCATAGTTGTTGTTTCCTCCGCCACTACCATAGTTGTTTCCACCGCCACCGCTTCCGCCACCACCTGGGCACAGAAAAGACAACGATAGCCAAAGAATAAGTGTTAAATCCATTCTGTTCCGATGCAACTTCTTTCATGACCAATTCGTCCTGATTCAGATTGCATTGCTTTGGATTGCTTACCGTAGCCTGCGCTGCCGTAGCCTCCGCCACCGCCGCCACCACCTCCACCTCCATAGCTTCCACCTCCACCTGAAACAGAAATGGCAATGAGAGAAAAAAGCGCAAATGTGAATTCAAGTCTTACTTGCAAACTTTGTTCCTGCACTGGCTTGTCATCGTCGAAACAGGATGTTTTCAGGTCGCATCGAGTTATTCCTTACCTGTCCAAGCCCCACCTGGCAGGCAATAATCTAGACCAGCGTCTACACAGAAAGAAAGAGCGCGACGGTTTGAGATGAAATCGAATCTGCAGCCAACCAAACAGTATCAAAGACTTCTGTACTTACTAGGATGACCACGGCAGAATTGGGATAAGTCACCGGCGTTGGCACCATAGACACAGATCAAACTTCCACGGCAACGGCTGTTCTGACCGTGGCAGTCTCCTTCACAACGACCAAGATTGTACTGACGATTGACAAAGCGGAATTGGGGAAGATTATTATTGTAGCCCGTGAGGTCTCTCTCAGCGTTCTTCACAGCAGCAGTCTCATTGGTAAAGTCATGATGGGTAGCATTGCCTCGAAGCGTCCCACGTCCTTCGACACCAACCACAAGGGACGCAAGGAGCATCCATGGAGCGACAATCGTCTTGAGAAACATCATGGTCAACGTAACTCAAAGAAGATCACGAAAAGAAAGAACAAGCAAATGTCCTTCTTTCAAAAGATTTGAGTGATGGCGGTTGATTTGATATTTCGGTATTGTACCTCTACAGCTGGTACCGATACCGCCGATGGTACCCAATACCGCTACCGCCTCCTACGGATCTTCAGCACTATCATCCAAAGAAGAACCTCAAAGCGTGTACATGTTGGAGTTTCAGGCATAAATGAGGTGCCAAACATCCGATACCTTAGAGCAGTGCTCGGTGGTGGCTCCAACTAAATAGTGAGGCTGTGTCGCTCGGAGTACCTCTCCCAGTATCCAAGGTACGAGGAAGCATGCCAGCCATCGCACTCACTGGTACACATTGGATGACATCAATGCCACCGGTACAAATCAAAGATCTTTCGCCTCTGAAAGATACGGTTGTCACGCTGAGGTGGTTTGAGCGATGTCTTAATTTTAAAAAGCCAACAGGTCTACATGAATACGCCAGGTGGAAATGCTACCGAACCCTCAGACAGCGAAACATTCTAAAAGCCAACCGGTTGTTTGGGACAAAGAAATTCGGGAAACAGACGGGTCAGACGACGTTTCGGAGGCTAGCTAGTACTCTATGATACATGGACAATTGCAGCGTCACCATGAGTGGCGCCGATGATAGCAGATGGCAGGAGTGGTGACGGGTCCACTAGTGCGCCCCATCGCCTTATATTCTTGCCTCAATGACAGGTACTGTACATAGCGAATGCTACAGGACATACTATCAAGGTAAGTCTGGGGCATAGATTTTGCTTTTCCAGGCGAGGACGAATAATACAACATGTCCTGTCCATTGTGTAAGTCCGTCCTTGAGTGCTTTGCTTCCTTTCAGCCACTTTGTCCTCTTTCGCTTTTTCTTTTCCAAAGGCGATATTCTGTACCCTGGCTGCACATGTCCTGGCCTGCCAAACCAAGATGGAGACATTGGTCCAGTTCTAATGACTATTCAGGTATACAAGCAAAGAATGTTGCAACGACGGGATGGCCATTGCGGACGAACAATCAGTAGCTAATCAAAGGGCGGGCAACTGACAAACCAACGACGCCTACTGTATTCAATAGCAAGCTAGTAACACGGTGGCGAGGGTGCCTACTATGTTGCTACAAACTCAATAAAAGTGTGTTGTGGCGTTAGCTGTTGGGTCCACTTGGTATTCTATCGGTCGCTTCAACAGAGTTGCGTACGTGCTGTACTTCTCCACCTTGGTTAGAATAGAGAATGACTAACCTCCCCAGTTTCGGAGAGTCAAAAAGAGGGTAGCAGCTTGGATGATTCCCAAGTCCTCAAGATTGTCCCCATCCATGAGCTTGATACCATTGAACATCAATACCTGTTGGTCTGGGCTGATGTCTTCCTTCATGGCAACCTTTTCTCGTACGTCATCCAGCGTGTCATCTGGACTGCAGGTAATGGTGATCTTGCGACCAGATTGTATTTGAACGCCAATCTGTAATGTACGTAGTGCATCGTATGTCAATGACAATGGCTCGATTCATGAGACGATCATCTTTCCGTCAAGCAAGTAAGTGACACACTCACCTCGATTGGCTTTCGCCTATTCTTGATTTTCATCTCGATATATTCTTGCTGTTGTTTTCTTTGTTCTTCATGGAATCTGTCTAGTGATTTCTTCACCTGAAGATGGTTATGAGACGACCGATATACGGTCGACCCTTTGGTTTTCCTACCCATGGTTTGTCTTGCTGTTTGTCGCTGTCTTTCTCGTTGTGTCGTTGCGTCTTTTATATCGAAAGCCAACTAGCTAGCTAGCACGATATTGAGGCCCACTACTGGTATTGTGCAAACTACCACTACATGCTACTCTAGCTATTACTGGGATAAGTCCTTCCCACAAGGATTGAATGATTTGATTCCTGTGGGATGGCCAAAACTATTCGCAGATTTTGGGATGATGACGGATTCGAGTGAGTGTGGGGAGGTGTGGATGACACCAATGGCGCCATGATCTTCCCGCCGGCTTTCGGCTTCTCTTTTTTTAAAAAGAATAAACGGATATCAATCTCTAAACACGTTGGAAGCACTCGCCAACCCTTAAGAGGGCGTGTTTGCAAAGTGTCGCATCCTTTGGTATTTACATAAACGCACTGCGACTTGGATCCTGCCACAAAATAGATTGGAGGTATAATATCGTTGCCCTTTGGTCACTTGTCTTGCTCCCTCCGAGGTTCTTCTGCATCTGCATCTGCTACCGGTAGCTACTACAAAGATGATGAAGGTGCTGTGGACCTTTGCAACGGTGCTGGTGTCGCTTCTTCATGAGGTTGACGCTCATGGTCACCACCATCACCACCATGATCATGATCATCACGACCACGACGACGAAGAAAAAAGGTATTACCGCCGTCGAACGCTGGTAGGAGCAGACGACCGATGGTTTGGAGGAGACGACCGAACGTTTGGAAACAACGGTGAATTCACTAAATTCAAAGACTACTTTTTCTCGGGAGCATTTGCAACGGATGGATCTCGCTGTGGTACCACTGTCACTGAGGAACAAAAAGAAAAGAGTCAAGAAGCCTACCAAGAATGGTTGAGGCGGAATCCACGCCCCATGGACATTATTTCGGAACAAGTTGTGACAATCGATGTGTACTGGCAAAATATCCAGGCAAGCGATGGGACCGGTGGAAGTTCCACCGAGATGATTAACGATTCCATCGATGTCCTGAACGAGGCATATGCCGACAGTGGCTTTCAATTCAATCTGGTTGCCACGATCGACACGGCGAATGATGCCTACCATACGGCGAGTGTCAACACTCCCGAAGAATTCGCCATGAAGGAAGAATTGCGTCGGGGAGACTGTACCAGCTTGAATGTCTACTCGAACGCGCAGCAAGGCTTGCTTGGCTGGGCGACGTTTCCCAGCGATTGCGATTTTTTCCAAGAGGATGATGGAGTGGTGATTGACTACCAAACATCCCCCGGTGGCACCACGTCGCCTTATAATCTTGGAGATACCTTGGTTCATGAGGTTTGTTTCTTTGATTGTACCATTGGCTACAGTGGTGTTTGTGAAGCCAATGTGGCTGACGTCTCGTGCTGATATATTCTTTTGTCTGTCTGTTCAATCTTGCTGATGGTCGGGTTTTGTCTATAGGTGGGACACTGGCAAGTAAAGTTTTGTCCTTGCATTGGAAGCCGCTTCCCAGCAAGTTTCTAATGTTTCCATTGATTGTCTGATTGATAATTCCAGGATGGGTTTGTACCATACCTTTCAGGATGGATGCGTGTAAGATGTTCCTGTCGTCGTGTGCTTGCTTGAGTGATCGTTGCTTCTGGCCTTTCTGATCCTCTATCTATCTTCCCGCATTGCAGAGGCGATGGAGACTTTGTCGATGATACGCCACCAGAAGCGGAACCAGACTATGATTGTGAAATGAATCGCGACTCGTGCGGGGATGGACTTCCGCAGGACGACGTTACGAATTACATGGTGAGTTGATGTGGAAGAAGAAGAGCGCGTTCCTACCGTATTGAAACAGACTCACAGCTTTGCTTCGCCATGACAACCTGTAACAATAGAACTACGGAAATGACCTTTGCTTGAATCATTTCACACCTGGAGTGAGTTCGAGGGTTCCATGTTTTCGTGGCCTCGGTTTGGGCTTCTAAAGACATCCCCACCCACTTACTTCTTCAATCAACTCACCACATGATTCTTCGCCAACTCCTGCCTACCAGCAAAACATTAGGATGCGGGCTCAGTGGGAAATGTTTAGGTGCGTTGGTACTTCGTGCAGTTCTCGGTGTTCCGTGTTCCACTGGCTAGCCAGCAGAGGCATCTCACTATTCGCTATTTAGAGGTTCTGCTGTCGCCACTCCTGTACCAAGTGTTGCTCCAGTAGCAGCTCCTGTTCCTGCTCCTGTAGCGGCTCCTGTTGCAGCTCCTGTAGCGGCTCCAGTTGCTGCCCCTGTGGCTTCCCCTGTGGCTTCCCCAGTTGCTGCCCCGGTTGCTGCCCCTGTTGCTGCCCCTGTTATGGCTCCCGTTCCGGCTCCTACTGACGCTCCTATTCCAGGTAGGTCGAACAAGGATGACGCTTTCCCTTTGATCAAGTATTTTGCACGGTCTGTGTTCTAAACTTTCTCCTTTCTGACTTTCGTTTCGTTACGCCGATAGCACCGGTCCCAGGTAAGAATTGCTTTAACGCCATTCCAAGCGTGCCACGAATCCGGTCTCTAAAGTCGCTGTAAACAACCCAAACCAATCGCCAACTCAATGAACTCATGGTCCAATTCCAGGTACGTTGATGGGCACCATCGTCTGAATACACATCCAACGAAACAATCAATTGATGCTTTTGTCTGCTTTCCTCTATCACTGGTCCTACGGCAGCGCCAACACGAGGACCGTCTCCGGCCCCAATCCCAGGTACGACTACCGCTGGCATCATGAACAAGGAGAATCACAGAGGTATCATCGAATTCTGATCTTTTCCCGTGTTAACGATTTTCCAGCACCCAGTCCTGCCCCAACTCCTGGTAAGAGGAATGCCTGTATCTTGAAGTTCAAAAATGAGGTCGCGGAGCTCAAACCTTGGTTGATTCGACTCTTGTTGTGGCATCGGCATCTCAGCCCCTGTAGCTCCTGGAGATTGCCCCGCTGGATTTTCAAAATATAGATTGAGCCTGACAACTGATCGATTTGGAAATGAAGTTCGTTGGACTCTCCGATACAAATGCTACGGAACCACTGCACTGAGTGGTGGTCCATACGCAAACAGTCAAACGTTTACTGCGGAAAAATGCCTTGAAAGCGATGAGCAGTTCGAATTTACCATTCAAGACGATTCTTGTGATGGCCTCTGCTGTACTTATGGTAACGGGCGCTATTCCATGACATTTGATGGCACACCTGTTGGTGACGGCGCGCAATACACTTGTTCCGATTCACACGTCTTTGGGGATGCTTGCCAAAACACACCAGCCCCGACACTACCAATAGGGACATCGCCAACTGAACCAATCTGCTTCTCTAGCAATGGAAAAGTTTCCGTTCAGCAAAAGGGTACCACTCACATGAAACGCCTTGAGATCGGAGATGCCGTTCTAACCGGCAGTGGTTCCTACAAGCCAATTTACGCCATGGCCCACAGAAACACAACAGTCAATGCGGAATTCTTACAGATTCATACACGAGATCATCCTGGAGAGCCCCTTGAATTGTCCGGGGAACACATGGTCTTTGTCTCGGGCAAGACCAACCCTGTTAGAGCCGACTCTGTCGTCCCTGGTGACCAACTCAAAACCATTGACAGCAACGCTTCCACCGTGACAAAGATCAACAAGGTTCAAAGAAAAGGTCTCTTTGCACCTTTGACACCGGACGGGACCCTTGTAGTGGATGGTGTCGTTGCGTCTGCTTATGTGTCCTTACAAGAAAATGCAACTGAGTTTATTCAATTGCAAAATGGTCGAAACACGGGTATCTCCCAGCATTTCATGACGCACATGTGGTTGGCTCCAGTACGAATCGCTTGCATTGGCGTTTCTTCCTCCCTCTGCCAGTCCTACAATGAAAATGGACTGGCCCGGTTTGTAGAGTTGGGATTTGCCTTTGCCAGATTTGCAAACCGACAGATACTTCCTGTACAAGTACTGCTACTTGCACTCTGTATGATGACCCTTGGGCCATTCTTCTTCTTAGAATGGCTCGTTGGGCCAACTTGGGTCCTTCCAGTTATACTTCTGGGAGTTGCCCCCTTTGTGGCAAGACGCTGGTTAGGACTTCCAAAGAAACGAAAAGTTGACTAGCTGGCTTGCTGGCTTTGGCGTGTCAAGTTGTGGCTTGTGATATTATGCTAAAACAACTTTCGTTTGGTTCTATCCTCGTGCCTTGTGATTGCTATTGCGTTCGTTGCGTTCGTTGAAGCAACTTAGCGAAGTAAAAGGCAACTCTAGCTACTGGTACTTGGTACCCACAGTTGGGGTGAATGCTACAGCAGTTTCTTCATTTCTTTCCACTTACGAGGTTCCACAGTGCGTTGATCCATGAACTACTAAGAGAGGAGATTGTTGCTCCACCGAACAAGTTGAAGTGCCAAGCAATCTTTCAGGCTCGTTACTCTCCATTATTTGTGATCCGCTTCCACCAGTGAAATCGATGATTGGAAAAGCAAATGGATTGAATGATTCAATCATTCCATGAGAGGAGGCACGTTGTAAGTACTTCAGCCAAGTGCTTGGCTGGTAGTTTAGTGAGGAGGCGAGAGGCCGATGTTAGATATCTACGGCAGATATGCACGTACAATAGATGCCGCAGTTTTGACACAGCGAGGAGTGGATTTGTGACCGTTGTTTCCTCTTCGTACCGTACAACAAGTTTACAAAAGATACTTAAGCTGGTGCAAAAGATACTTAAGTAGACTGGTGTCAGTCCCAGAATGCCAACGAATTTTATTTCACCTCGATGAAGTTTGAAAGTCGAGGTCGACGAGAAACAAACCTCATCAGCTCCCCATCACAACAAGCCACCTTTCAAGATGGCGCCCCCCAGCGAAAACTACTACGATGAACAGGACGAGGAGACGCATGAGATCGAGGCCCTGATTACCTCCGACGAGTCTGCCGAGAGCCGATTGCAGCAGCAACATCAGTCGTCACAACAGAGACTACGCCGACCATTCAGTTCTTGTCTGGTGCTGATTGTGGCCCTCATCATTTCTGTGTTCAGTGGCTCGCTGGGATTTCTTTGGGGCCGTCGACAACAAAGTCCTCTCTCTGCTTCAACCTCAGTCAAATTGGATGAGGACAATGACACTCCTATCGGCGTCGCTAGCTCTAGTATCCCAGACAAGACTACAACCACAACATCTTTGTCTCCGTCAGCGCAACCGACCACAACTATTTCGGTGCAACCGACAAATACTATTACGGCTCCACCAACCCCGACTAGTACCATTACTTCCCAGACCATCAAACAGCAACAGATCGACAACTTTCGCCGCGGCAATGGCCTCATGTTGAACTTTCACATTGTCCATCACGGTGGGACGACGTTTTGCCAGGTGATTGGAAGACATCTCAAAGCGCCAACCTTTGCCTGCTTGGGGCCTAAACCAGAAGATCACGTTGGACCGGATTACCCAAAGATCAGACCGTGGAAGTATAATGACACCGATGACAGGATTCAGAACATTCGACAATACTTCAATATGATCTCCTGGGAATTTATGATACCGCCGGGCAGTGGCAAGAATCAAATCAACGAGACGAACTGGGAGCATCCACAGTTGGTATCCGTGTTTGTCATCCGAGAGCCCATCAGTCGAACTTTGGCAGGTAAGAAGAATGGGAACGTCGCTTTGCTACTGTGTTTATAATACCTGTCTTCCTGACGAGACGTGGACTTGCGATTGCCGTGTAGGCGACAGATTTGTTGACAACAACTGGCCCAATCTCCATACCAACGGGACTCTTGAGGAGGTAAGAGCGATCAGCTATGACACTGGTCGAAGAAGCTGCATCAATTGTACTCGTACTCATAATCATTTACTGATCCACAAAACGCGATGACACTCTAGTGGATGGAATTTGCCAACGCCGACAAGCACACCGACAACTACGCTCTCCGGGTATTGGCCGGCCCCGACTGCTGCAATGGAACGCACACGGATAGAAGTCACTTCGAGCGTGCTCGAAAACAAGTCAGTCGGTTTACGTTTGTCCTAGATATTGAGTGCTTGGATGCTGGCATGGCGGAATTGGCCAGAGTTCTGGACATTGACCTGGGCCCACCCGACAACAAACCAAGAAAGTCGCACAATCACAAACCACCGAGTGAGCGCATTCCTTACAGGGAGGTCTACGATTATCTCCTAGAGAGGAACAAGTTAGATATTGAACTCTATGAATGGGCCAAGGCTCGGAGCTTGGTAAATTGTTCCGAGTTGGCATTGGCACAAACGATGAATGTGACTAGTGGGGCACCTGACAATCAGTCTATCAAGGAGAGCAATCATCCATGACGTGTGCAGCAATCTTTGACTCTCCAGTCCGATGCCGCGTGAAAGATGCCGATGTAAGCACAACAACAGCCATTGCTTTGCTATGATCAAGACTTCAAGGACACATCTGGTGCAACGGAAGACTGCTCAAAGAAAAGAATGGAGAGAGAAGGCACATGAATAGTCGCAAGTTTCATTGAGGCTCACAATCAAAAGGTGTAGTAACAGTATATTTAAGATGTAATCGTTCTAGCCCTGGCTTGCTAGCTAGCTGCCGGCGTAGCAGCAAGTATGGTACGCGGCCCACCAAGGCTCACTGTGGTTTGATCTAAATAATCATGAATCTAAAGTGTTATAATACAGTACTACTACAATAGGACGCGAATTGTTGCCGCCGCAAACGTGAGACCGCCATGGTCCTTTCGCTCAGGTCCATAAATGAGATACCATCGCAGCAATTCGATGGCAGCCGGTTTTTGATACCGAGATCATGGTGAGTTTGTCTTCGGGATGTGTATACCAGGATCCCATGGGATGCCACGCCACCCAAGGAACCGCCGGAACTGTTGCGTCCAAAGCGAGGAGCTTCCACTGAAAAGAAAGGCCGGCCCTTCTGCCGTTGGACGACAGCTTGCTTTTGTTGATTGTTGAAGAGTCCTGTTGATTGTCCAAGTTGTCGTCCGCCCAATGATAGCGATGCTTTCCGCCACTGGGCAGAAACACGGGTCGGACATGGTCAGGCGGCGGTGGCCCACATATTCTCCACGGACAGCACTCTTTTGGTCGGTGAATGTGACATGGGCGTGTAGGGTTCCACAGGACATGCACTCAGAAGATTGTTTCAGGTCCTTCAAAGCTATGACTTGTTGGGTTGCTCCATGGACGGTGGTGAAGGTGATATCGCCCAGACGTTGGCTTTGAGGATGGAGGAGCCCGAAGAAGGCGGCAATGACGAGGTCCTTTGTGTGCGCGTTGATGGTTCCTTCGAAACTGCCACGGTTGTCGTCTCTCTCTTCCGTGTTGTTGTTGAAGTTCAGACAAGGAGTGAGGCAGTGGTGGTCTGCATGAACCACAAATGGTTGTCGGGTCGGTAGGATATTGCCAAAGTCTGTCAAAGCTTTGACAACGGACAACATTTCACGTTCAGCGGTTCTTGCCAGTGGCAGCTGGTTGTTGTTGTGGTGCGATGAAGAAGAGTGCTCAAAGGAGGACGTGCCAAACAGAATGCTTGCGTTGGCTGCGCCACCGAACGAAGCGCAAAGAGGAAACGCAGCAGCATTGTTCGCTTGGAAACCACCGTTTCCAGAGGGGGCTCCGCGACCAAAAGAAGAACTGGTGGTTGATTTGGAAGAAGCCTCGCCGTTGTTGGCTCTGACACGGTCAGAAGCGCCAAGAGAAGCCACGGCGTTGTTGGGGCGAGCCGCGAAAGGAAAACCAAAAGCATTGTTGTTGTGATTGTTTCCAAAGGACAAGGAAGCCATTTCACCGTTGGCGTCAAACAAGCTGTTGGATCCTAACAGTAAATTGCTCCATCCATGACCGGGACGATATGAAGGCGCTGGACATGCAAGGAAGATGGGCCCAAAGGAAGAGCTTTGCTGATAATGTTGATGGAGTTCCAACATGGCTTGATGATGATGATGATGATCACAAGCACCAATGGTGATCAGACGAAGGCCTCGCGTCTTGCAACTTCCCATCAAACACCAACAAGGGACGGCTTGGGATCCATTCACAAGAGCAGCCAGGTTGTTGTTGCGCTCGTCATCTGCTTGAGTAGCCTGGGCGTCATTGGCTTCCAATCTTAAAAATTGTGGTTCCCACAGCTCACTTTGCCAAATGGCACGGACTGTTGCGAGCGTGGCTGGATCAGATCGACCACGAATACGCACTCGGTCAACAAGGTTGTTGTTGTCATTGTTGGGGAAGTTTCCTGACAACCACAATGGCCGCGATAGCAAGAGAAGCAGCTCATGGTCGATGATGCGACGACGCCAAAAGACTCTTCCTGTATCTGCTGTATCGACGGAAACCCGACAAAGACACATCCGCTGTCAACACTCAAAGGATTCACTTCCTTGGACAAACATCTTCGTGCCGTTTCTCCTCAGTGATGTAGTTTTAGTTTTCTTGATCTATCCGCAATACCATGCAATGGCCAAATTTCGCGAGAAATGATTTTGTGGCGCTTCGTCGGAGACCATGGCACTTGGTACGGGCTCTACCGTACCATGTGTCTAAGCCGCACACTTGCTCTATTGGATCTTTCGCCTTCCGTGAAGCAGCAGCAGAGCGGAACAACGACAACGATCGAGCAACATGGAAGCTGACCATGGAGAAGATTTTCCCTCCGGTCGCAGCCGCTAGCTAGTTGAGACTCCCAATCCATAGTACTACGCTACTAGCTAGTAGCCAGCTACTCTGTTTGTTATTGTTACTGCCGAGACGGCGACGACGAGCTTACGTACAAGCCGAAAAGGACCGCTTCGATCACCGCGACAATCCGAAAGGGACATCTTTGCTCCCATCTCTTGAGCCTCTTGCGGTGGAAAGATCTTCACAAGACAACTCAAGCCACTCGGCTCTTCTTGGGTTTGTTCACTCCACCATGCACGAGACATTCCTTCTTCAGATCGTAGCTGTGACGATGCAGTGAATCTTATCTCAAGGCAGCAAGCACGACCTCCAGAGGCAACAGTGGTGTCTGCGATCCAAATCTTAAAATGGAACACAACAACAACAAGCCACGTCCAAGGTGGTTCCTCAGCGATCGACGCTTTGGCTTCCGTTCTTCCAGTTGGCCACAATGGCTAAGATACTATAATGAAAAGTAGTACCATATCTCTTTGGTGTCCTCTTATTAGAAGGATCTTCACTCAATTGAAAGGAAGTCTGCTCCTCCAAAATCTGTGGCTCCTGTGTTGTCTTCTGAGCCTGAGTTCAGATAGATCTCCACTTTCCTCGACTACCCTTGTGGCTGGTACGGTACGACCAAGATCTCCAACCCAACCATCTTTTTCTTCCTCGGTTGCCGTGGAGCCACGGTCGCAATTCACAACAATTCTACGGTATGTCAAACAAACCGAACGACAACCAACCAGCCACATGCACGATCTTCTCCAAAATCTCTGAGCTGACAGACGATAGAGCTCTGCACTTTTCCCATCTCTGCACTTCTCCCATCTTCCCTGAGTTGAAAGGAGATTCAAGGACGGTATAATCGTTCTAGTCCTAGGTACACTGGAAGCTAGCTAGTAGGTTATGGTACCAAGGCTTGCTGTGGTTTGATCCGAAGCTAAAGTTTATAGTATTATTACTGACAAAGGGAATCGAATCGAACGATGTTGTCCACTCCTCCTGTCCGAATGATTGAATCGAATCCAACGAAATCCAAAATAAACCAACAACAACAACTCCCACACCGTCACGACCCTGTATAATTCCTTCCGAAATCAGATTACATAGCCTTGATACATGGATGCGTTCCATCCCCAACTTGTTGCGTAGTCTCGAGGCGGAGGATACATATTTGTAGGTTCCAAACGTTCATTGGGGTTAGCTGGTAGAAAGCCAAGGCGCTTTCGCTCCGGTCCGTAAACCAAATACCACCGAATCAATTCAATGGCCTGCAACTTCTTGGTCTTCCCCACAATGATGGGATGGGCACTGTTCCCGTCGCGAGTGTGAGTCACGAAAGATGCATGCTGCGCAAACTCTTTGGTCTTGAGCTCCCGGAGTATTGCCCACAAATCAACACATGAAAGATTGCCCAAGCCGTCCACCCAGCGGTCTTGGACGCGCTTGATACCGTAATGGGCGCGAATGTCGGCGATGTCTAAATGTTTGAACGACAAACGGCGGTTTCCAGACGGGGCTCCACGACGAAAAGAACTGGCTGAGTTAGATGGAGCTCCACCGTTGGCTCCGCCGCCGACAGAAGCACCAAGAGGAGCCGTAGCGTTGTTGGGGTTTGGGTGAGCCACGAAAGGAAAACCGCTGGGTCCAAAGGTGGATCCGACTCCAAAAGAGAAGTTGTTGTTGTGGTGTCCAAAGGAAGCCATTCCACTGTTGGCGTTTTGAGACGCGAAAAAGTTGGCCCCTTGAGAAGAGCTCTTTCGGTGTCCGACACGAGGCTTGTCGAGAGTAGTAGATGAAGAACGGTATTCAATGCTTGCGCTGCGACGATGGCTTCGGCGTTCTTGCTTGCATAGTTCCTCCTTGCGTGTTTCCTCCTTCATCTCCATTGCCATGTCAATGACGTCGGCACGCGATGCAGGTTTCTGGGTGGACTTGAGGTCTTTTTGTAGCTCGATATCGCGATCGCGCTTCACAAATCCGATGAAACGTTGAAGTTTTGCAATCCCATCGTCACCCCAGGTGGTGTTCAAAAGCCACTTGATATCTTGATAGTCCTCTTCGACTTCGTCCTCCTCCTGTTCTCTTTCGAGCTCCAACGTGCGTAGGCGATCATCGATGTCCGGGAACGGAATGACGGTGGCTTGAAGTTGTTCAAGCGTTCCAAAGCTCATTTCAGATGCCATTTGCATGGCCAGCAGCTTCATGGGGTCGCCGTCGGCATTGTTGCCGTCGTCATTGTTCTTCTTGTTGAATTGTCCTACGAGCAATGAGCCACAGGTCAGGCATTGTCAGGGTACGAAAGGTCTTTTGCATTTGGCACAACGACAGCGGACAAACAAATTCACTTACGAGCGCTTCCAATCATCTTCTTGTCTCCGTCGTGGCGGTTTGTTTTGTGCTCGGTGCTCGGAGGAAAGTGGTCGGTCTGAGCGGCTTTAGCAGTCAGTACTATTGGCCCTGCGAACGCATTTTAAGTCGCACACTTGCTGTTTGGACCAAAGGAAACACAAACGATTTTTAGTTGTTTCTCGAAGTGTTTTGTTCAATTTGCCGCCTAAATCGGATATTTTAGAAAATGATTCCAGAGGAAGCTTTTGAATGCCACGAGCAAAAAGTTTGACGACGGAGACGCTCCTTAATCCTCTTGCACCGCGCCCGCTACTACTAGTAGCTACTACTAGTAGCTAGCCGCTAGCTAGCTAGATGGCTTCTCTTAATGCTACTGTTGTACGAATGTACTACCGAGACGGCGACGAAGAGCAGCAGCGTCTGTCTCTCAGTGCACCTCCGTTCGAGACAATCCACAATCGAAAAGGGAGACGAGAATTCAATCGACGGCGCTCCAGCTCTTTGCTTCCATCTCTTGAGCCTCCTGGGGTGGAATGATCTTCACCTACCGTACTTGAAAGGAAGCCTCCTAATTCTGTTGGAAACACGCTACAATTCAGGCGACTCTTCTGGGTTTGTCGTAGCTTTGACGATGCAGTGAATCAAATTTTTCCTGGTAGCTCCTCAGCAAAGGCAGCAGCGTCTCCAGAGGCAACAGTGGTGTCTGCAGTCCATATTCAAATACTGGAAAGACAACAACAACAACCAACGTCAAAGTTGGTTCCTCAGCGACTCTAGACTACTTGGCCACAATCATACTACATACGATGACAAGTACCATCTCCCTTTCGTCTCCTTTGGAAGGATCTTGTGTGGAAGGAAGACATTCTCTCGATTCATTCATGCATTCATTCAGCATAGTGTGCGAAGTCTCACAGCAGCTGCTTCCTGTGGCCTTTCGTGCTCTTGAGCTCTTGAGACAACAATACAGTAGAGCAGCAAGAAGCAAGGTGGCTTCGTGGCTGCAGAGAATAACAATTAATCTTCAGTTAGAAAAAACACTCTCAAATGCCAGATTCACCTCGGACGTGTTGATAGATTTGCAGCTCTTACAGACTAGAGTCGTAAGGTACGGGGCCACAGGTTGTCTTACGATTGGTATTGCCAGCGACACAGGCATGTCACCTCATCCAGTCCGGGCACCACCATTGGTTGCACCTGGCACTGCACCTCCGGTACCATCAAAGATCTTACTAGATAAACTGCGGTGAATCGTAAGACCCTCATGTACTGGTAGGAACAACTACTAGTACTCAATAGTTTTACCATGTCATTGCGGGCCGGATGCTATGAGGTGGAATGGCTAATCAGTGATCGATTGTCGCTGGAGCCCGTCACAGGTTTGCAATGTTGTCTGTTGGGGATCGCGGATCACAGTGGTTCGGTCATTGCTCTCTCAACCATGATTGGCTGGCGTTTCGAGAGTCTTTAATGAGGACTGATTACTTATATGCCAAGACTTGCCAATGAGATGCCACGAGAGACAGGTCCCGTCCCCATAGCAATCGCTACTGTACGATACACGCGCAACGAAGTGTCTTGGTTAGGTCGCTCGGAACCAGAGTTGGTTTGCCGTCGACGCTTTTGCTCTGGCTGTTGTATGAAGCTCACAAAATCAACTGGCGCAAACACAAACAGCACTTGCAAAGAACATCATCTCAACAACACTTTTCACAACCGTCACCATGTTCAACCAACCCGAAGAAACATTCGAAGATTTGAACTCTTCCATTGCCAGCCTTGACCTCAACGATCTTCCTAAGCCGGCGGAGGCAGAGAGGAAGCTCTCTGGAATTCGACGAGGTGTCTTTGTCGCGTACGGCATGAAATCCCTGAATTTTTTTGTGGATGTCAATGAAAGTCTCGCGGAAGTCCAGAGAACTGTGGAGGCAAGGACTGGAATCCCCATGGACAACCAAGTTCTCGAATGGGAAAACACTGGTGTTTTGATTGATGGCAACAAGTCCTTGCGCGACTACGGGATGATGTCAGGAGGGTTCTGCGCGTTGTCCTCCAAGGATGCCTAGACAGGTTCTTCCAGCCGGCTGAAGGTTTCGGTATGCTGACCAAAAGCCAATGTACACGAGTGTGCGAAGCTCTGCTCAGCTCGCACAAGAAAGCTACCTGTTCAATCATTGTCTGGACAAGCTGTCCACCACTAGTGAATGCAAAGCAAGCAATAGATACATAAAAAGATACTAATGGGAACGTGATTCATACCTTGCGCAGCCTTTAGAGGAAGAAGCATCGAACTACGACTAGTAGTAGCTAGCTAGTACCGTAGTGCATCAAATGGTGCGCGGCCTTTAGACTAGGCGAGAAGCAACATCGCACTGCATGTAGCGCTTCTCAGTAGAAATGTGATGTCATACCTTGCGCAGCCTTTAGGAGGAAGAAGCATCGAGCTACTACTAGTAGCTAGCTAGTAGCGCATCAAACGGTGCGCGGCTTTTAGACTACTAGTAGGCGAGAACATCGAACTGCATGTAGCGCTTCTCAGTAGAAAAAGCATGCCGGGGTATCATCTGTAGTCATCCTTTCGAAAGCGTATTACTGGCATCTGTCACAAGCCCCGAAGGCCGAGCGGAAAGCTGATCGAGCGGAAAGCAAAGAGGAACTCTCAGTTCCGGGCAGCTTCTTGCCAGGACGGAGCCAAAAAGAACATCTGCCGACTTGACCCAAAACAGAAGCCTCCCTTCGCTAGCTAGTAGTGGACATCTACGAGAGGAATGAACTGTCTGTAGGAGCAAGACTGGACATGCCACATCTTTGATAATACGGCATTCCTTCAACACTAGTCTTTTAGACGAACTATCCTAAACATCATTATAAAACCATTCCAAGTCAACCTAATATTTGCTCAACCTAATCAATCTTGATGGAAGCAAAGATGACCTTGTTGAACCAGAGGGAACAAGCAACACCAACAAAGCCCATCATGCAGAACATTCCCAAGCAGACCAAACCAGTGTATCCAAAGTACAAGAAATAAGTGGCCATGGTGTTTGCTTGGAGTTGTTGGAAATAAACCATTGAGTACAAAAAGACCCAAATGGCAGTCGATCCAGCATTGCCAAAGGCTCTCCACCACCAGTGATAATTCTCAGAACAAAGCTGGAAATAGGTGAAAAGGACAGTAATTTCAGCACAAGTCACCAGCAAGATGAAAAAGACCATGAGAAGGAATCCAAAGACATAGTAGTAGTATTCTTGCCACACTGAAGCAAGAATGTAGTACAGCTCAACAAAGCAGGATCCAAAGGGTAGAATGCCTCCAACAAACAAAGTAAAGGGGAGTCCCATGAACCATGGCTGATCTGGGATCTGACGGGGAATGGATGAAGTGTTGACAGGGAACTCAATGGCATCCCGCTTGTATCCAAAGTAGGCTCCCACAAAGACCAAAGGTGTACTGATTCCAAACCAAAGAACAATGAGCACCAAGAGTGTAGTAAAGGGAACTCGGTCAGTGCTGTCCTGGGACCATGCCAAAATGTTCAAGAAAATGAAAGAGGCAAATAGAACACCTGGAAAGAAAACAGCTGTCATGGTAGTAGCTTGTTGCCAGGCCTTTCCTTTGAAAGTCTTGTAAAGACAGGCTGTGACAAATCCATTGACTCCTCCCATCAAGACAAAAATGATCATTTCTGCCATGAGCAACGTGCCTCGTCGAGCTGGGTTCAGCAATCCCAGAGCGGCAAAAATGACAGTGAAAAAGACCATGAGCAATATTTGAGCACCAGTACCACATCCCACTGACAAAAGCATGGGGTAGGTTGAAGGCGGACGAAAGACATCCGCATGGACCAGCTTCCACCCGAATTCTTCCAGGTCTTCTGCCTTTTCTTCATCGGTAGCCAATTTGTTGTATCGGGCAAAATCACGGCGCAGATTACGAACCAAAATAGCAGCAATCATGGCACTCAAGACAAAGACAATAACCATCGAGTTGAAAATAGAAACCCAATGGACTTTGGCTGGGATGGCACCGTTCATATTCAAGTAGACATCCCAACGAGAAGCCCAGGTTGTTGTGGGGTCTTCCGTCCAAGTAACATCATACGTAAACAGGGCCTTTCCAGAAGCAGGTTGAGGTTCTCGTCCAGTTTCCACCACCATGTTGTAGGTGGTATGAAGTCGCTCACTGTACGGAATGGATGAATCGCAGGAAGCAATTGGGTTGGCGATTTTTGCGACCAGTGGAAGAAGATGGTCCGGTCCAGTGGCAAGCGATTCCGAGTCGTCCTCGGTTTCCGTCGCATCATAGTCGTGTTTAATGGAAAAGGGCTCGACCATAAATTTGACAATCCGGTATTCTGGAATGGAATTCTCCCCTACCGGCAAATCAGTGGCTTTGTGGTAGAATAGCTCAATGTTGACGTGATTGTGAATGTAGGCTTTTTTGTTATCATCCGCAACAAAACCCACTGGGAACCCTTGCCAATACCGGGTGGTGACAACTTCGTCATTTTCAATCTTTGAGGCAGCAGACAAGTTGTCGACGATCCAGTTGTTGTGATAATTCTTGCGAATGACCTTGACCATCTTGTTGGAGTTCAAGTGTGGCTGTTCCCCCCGGCCAAGATTTGCCACACAGACTTGCTCACAAAACATGTCTTGTTTCATTTTGAGGAGGTAGGGAGAGGACTCGATGCGATCTCCCTCCAGAAACTCGCCCAGGTTTTCATTATCCATCTTGACTCCATCCTTGGGCTGACAAAAAGGAAATTTGTAGTAGTCCAAAGGAAATTGAGTCTGTGTCGAAGTCATCTTGTTCACTTTCAGCTTGATTTCGTCTCCTTCTTGGAATGAGTGGATGTTCACACCGGGTAGATAGTACGCCATGATGGGCCGACCCAACAGGGCCAGCGCCAAAAGGCCCGAGGACCCCAAGCACTTCTTCATCGTGAAAATGAAACGCCAAAAGAACTACACGTGCAGCTGCAGCAGAAGCTAATAGTCGTCGTTCGTTCAATCCTATAACAAAGCTCCACCCAGACAAAGCAGTTAGTTTCTCTAGCTAGCCGAGATGGTTTTGATGATGCTGTTGTTGCAATGCCGATTCGTTGCGCGGTCTTCGGTCTCCCTCTTTTGCTTTCTTGGCCAGATGGTTCCGTCCCGTTTTTTGCCGCGAAGAGCGAAGACACGAACGGAAGAGAAGCAATGACTTGCGCGGCATCGTGGACCGTGGAAATTTCAGCCAGCAAAGTGGGGAAGATGTCATCGACACCATTGAACTCTACGGGTACCGTCTCATGTAGTAAAAACACATCATGTTTCCTCCGTTCCAAAACGTACTACTGTACGTATGCTCAGTGAGGGGGTTTAGAGAAGGGAGCTTATCTATGGAAGCCAGTGAGGGCCAGGCTTAAACGCAACGAATGCAACAATAACCAAGACAAACTCCTTGTCTATAGTATAGGACCTTCCATTATAATGGTCTACATTGGCTGGCTAATCAATCGGTAAGCCTACGTCTGCGCTTGGACGCGGGCTTGCCTTGATCCGCCTTGGATGCCGAGCTTGGCGCTACCGCAGCAGCGGATGCTCCACTGGATTTTCCCTTTGGTAAATGAGGACGAGCCCTCTTCACCATAAAGCGAAGTCTTGACTGGGTTGTTCTCAACGATCGCAACTCTTCTTCCTTCTCCTGGATCTGCAATTCGATCGAATCCAAGTAGTTCTCCATATCTTCCAGCTTGCCAACCTCCAACGGTACACTGGCTGCTTCGGCCTCGTCAAAGCTGTCTTCTTCTTCTTTGACCGTTTCATGAGTCACAGACTCCTCCTCATCAAGTTCGACCCTGCGACTCCGCTTCTTTGCCGCTTTCGAGGCCTTTGCTGCCTCCGGTTCCTTCCTCTTCTTGTTTACTGCGACGCTGCTGGCTTTGCCTTTGCTCTTTCGGCGGCTCTCAGTGGGGGCAATAATCTCGTTGTCGGAATCGTCGTCGCTACTAGCATCCTGTTTGCCGCCGCCGCCGCCTTTCCCAGTCCCAAAATCAAAGCCAAGCTTTCGGAGAAGTTGCTTTCGATCTGCTTGCAAAGACCTTTCGCGGCTGTACTTCTTCTGTCGCCACACCCAATAGTAGAGGGATCGGTAGGACTCCTTGCTGTAAGTGACTTCTGTCGTGCCGTACTTCTTCTTGAAGGCACAAAGCCTATCATAGTTGCTCATCCACTGGTCCTGGAATACTTTGGACGCTGCAGCTTGTTCTCCAGTGCCATCGCTACCCTGTGATGACTCCTCGTCCTCCGAGCTGCTGATATCGCTATCAACTTCTCCTCCTCCCACATCGCCACCATCCGACTTCTTGTCTGCCTTCTTATCCACCTTCTTATCCACTTTCTTATCAGCAGTGGTATCCTTTGCCGCAGTATCCTTTGCCGTCGTGGTATCCTTTGCTGTGGTGTCCTTTGCTTTGGTAGTGTTCTCGTCGCCACCATCTTTGGTCCATTCAAACCCAATGGAATCCAATATCTTGATGCGATTCTTGGGAAGCTCCCCAAGTCGGTAGAGCTTTCTGTGTCTCCAGACCCAATAGTACAAACCTCTGTTCGCAAAGTCACTGTACTTGACTTCCACTGTGCCATGCTTCTTCTTGTAAGTCTTGAGGTCTTTAAACTGCCTCAACCACTTGTCATCGTAGCCTTTCTTGCGATCAGTAGTGTCATCACCACCTTCACTGCCATCGTCAGAGTTATCAGATTCGTCTTCGCCGCTGCTTCCACTGCCCTCTTCCTCTTCTTCTGCGTCCTGGGCTTCATCCGGTGCTTCCTCCTCCTCCTCGCCGTCTCCTTTCTTTTCATATCTGAACTCCCAATCAAAGCCAATATCATCGAGAAATTCCTTCCGATCACCTGACATTTTGTTGGCCTTCAAGGCTTGTCGTTGTCGTACCATCCAAAAGTAGAGCGCTTTGCTGTGCTTTGTGCTCACATTCTGATGGCCATGTTTTCGCTGGAAGGCTTTCAAGCTGTTGTAGTGGTGCATCCATCGTCTCTGGTATTCCGCGGCGTAGGCTATGATGGGTAGCTGGTCGTCCGTTTCCTTGTCTGAGTCTCCGGAAGACTCGTCGTCGGACTGGACCGCTTCTTGCTTTCTACTCTTTCTTCCCTTCTTTTTGTTGTTGTTGTCGTCGTCGTCCTCGTCGTTCTTCCTTTTGTTGCTCGCGTCCCCCTTCTTTTTGTTTTTGTTGTTATTGTCGTCCTCGTGGATCTCCCACTCGAACCCTAGATCCTCCAGCAGTTTCTGTCGATCGGGCATCATTGTTCTCTGATGGTAGAAGCCTCTCTGCCTCCAACACCATCGGTACAAGTTCTTGTACTCTCGGTGGTTGTTGGGAATAGTGGCGGTCCCAAACCGCTTTGAGTAGTCTTTGAGTTCCCTGTACTTTTTCTTCCACATCTGCTGGTAGATGGGAGCCAAGGACTTTGGGGCGTTTGGAGGGGCTTTGAGCGGTGGGTCCTTGTCCTTCTTTTTGATTACTTCGCTGCTGTCTTCGGAATTATTGCCATCTGCACTCTCGTCGATCTTTTCGTCGGCGGCAACGTCATTCGATCCTCGTGTTGTTGGCTTCTCGGGAGGTGGCGGCATCCTATCCCAAATGAAGTCGATCTGATCCAAGAGCTCGATCCTGTCGTCTGAAAGAGTACCTTCCCATCGAAGCCGACGTTGACGAGAGCTCCATTGCTGCAAACTGGAATGCTCTTCATTTCTTGAAACCATGGTAGTTCCATATTTTTCTTTGTACTCTTTGAGTTCCTCGTACTTTTCCAACCACATCTTCTGGTGACGTGGGGCCACCTTCTTCGATGAAATGAGAGTGTCCACCGCGTTGTTCACGAGTGCACGATCCTTGTTGCCAGCGCTGGCGTGTTTCTTTTCATCTGAAACATCGTCGTCGCCTTCTGGCTCGCTTGTCTTCGCGACTAGGTTTGGTCGAGTCTCCCAGTTGAAGCTGAGCCCGTCCAGAAGTTCTTTTCGATCCTTGTCCAAATCACCATCTTGAAGCTTTCGTCGTTGCTTCAACACCCACTGATACAAGCGTCGATTATCCGATTCTCGAATTTCTTCAGCGCCATTCTGCTTGAGCTCCCCGTGCATTGTCATCCATCGATTGTGCTCTTTTGCACTCACTTTCTTTTGAGAAGACGACAGGTCTGTGGACTTGTCGGGAGCACCTCCGTCGTCACTGTCGTCGTCAGAACCATCGACATTTTTGCTACTTTGCTTTTGCGCTGCGGCTCCTTCCGTTCGTGGACGGACGTTCCTGCTCGCTTTTTCTTGGCCGATGTTGTCAGCATTTGTTGGTCTCTTCTTTTGAGTCGTTGCTGCTTTCGAGCCACTCGCCGCAGCCGCTCCCGAGCTTGCTACTACCAGGTCGATTTGATCCCCATGTTGCAATCCAAGCGACTCGACTGATTGGGACGGAAGGAGTGGACCGGGTCCACCAGAAACGTAGAACTGGACATCACCCTTCCCTTTGACTCCGTACTTGGCGTATGGCAAATTGTCGAAGATCGCTCCCATCCGCGTACTGGGATTGACTTTGAAAATAGTTCGGGTGTCCTCCTTTCCTTTTTTGCAAACGGAAATGGACAATGTTGGACTTTTCCCTTTCGCGTCATCCCTCTTGCCACCAGAAGTTTCTTTATGTTGACGAGGAGCAGCTGGTTTCTTGTACAGGGACTTGGATGAAGTCACGACAAGGTCGATCTGATCTCCATCGCTTAGCCCCAACGAAGCTGGCGTATCGGTTGGCTGGATTGGGTTCTTTCGCCGCCGCCCCGCCACGAAGAACTGAGCATCGTCTTTCAGAATTCCATACTTGTGAAAGGGGATGTTTTCAATAACTTTGGACAGGCTTGTGTTGGGCAATAGATTGAACCAAACTTTTTCGCCACCGTCAACGCACACACATATTCCCATGAAGGTGCTCTTGACAATCGTTGCAGGTGTTGTGCCCTTGCTGGACTTTTTGCTCACAGCAGGCTTCGGTGCCGTCCAGGAAAATCCCAAGTCTTCGAGTAATTTCTTTCGATCGGGAAAAAGCTCCTTGTCTTGATACTGTTTGCGTTGCAAGGCAACCCAACGGCGAAGCGCTTGATTGGTCTTGACTTCGTCGTTCTCTGGGACTTCCGTAGTACCGGACTTCTCATGGAATGATTGGAGACGTTGGTACATGCGCATCCACCGTGCATCAGTGGTTTTGTTTTGAGAAGAATCCTGCAAGCCCTCCGATGACGACTTCGTCGGCTGGGTTGAAGTTGTTGATAAAGGTTTTTCTGTCGACGCTGCTGCTGCGGAGGCTGGAGGAGGAAATGCTGCTGCAGGTTTCGACGATGTCGAGGACACAACTTTGGCAGCATCTGCCGCAGTTTTCGACTCTGCCGAAGTTGTTGTCGCTGGTTTAGGAGTGGGCTCAACTTCTTTCGCAGCAGCTGTGGATGCTTGCGTTGCCACGCCAGCTGTGGAAGAGGTTGTGTCGGAAGAATCCTTCTTTGGCTGAGGGTTGTTGGTTTTCAGCCCAGTGGACTGAATCGCCGAGCTTGAATCTTTGTCTTTCACAGCTTCCATCGATTTGTGATCGATGTCCGTGCTGGTTGATGCTTTTGCAATATTCAAGTTTTGCTTACTTTCCTCTTGCCCCTTGCTTTCAGGTTTGGCAACGTCCGATTTTTGCCCAGCATCATTAACCGTATCCTTGGGAGTCGACTTTTCCACACCGACGCTTTGTACAGGATCCTTCGAATCCTTGCTTGTTGCTGTTGCCCCATCCGACGTTCGATTAGGATTATCCTTTTCCGTGGTTGTTGTTTTTTCCGCTTTCGCATCATCCTTCTCCTTTGCTGCTGTTGCTGCTGCTGCTGCCTTTTTTACTTCATTCGATGTTTTTTCCACAACTTTCTGATCCTTGAGTGCTGTTGCTGCATTTTCCAAATTCAGTGCCTTGTCTGTATCTGTTTTGTGCTTGGTCGCAGTTGCTTTTCCTGCAACCAACTTGGCAGGCTCCTTTTCCTTCGTGGAGGATGCTGCAACATCCAGTTTCGGCCCATTGCCCTCGTTTGGCGTCGTTGGAACGTTGTCTACATTCATTTTTTTGACAGCGCCGTTGGTTTTTGCAACTTCAGCTTTGTGGTTGGTCTCCTTGGATTTATCAACTTGAGCTGCTTCGCCAACTTTGATAGACCCACCTGATGCCATCGCCACAGAGGAAGAAGGCGCAGGAGTTGTGACTGTCTCAGCAGGCCCCTTATTCGATGCGGGCAAGTTGCTTGGAGGTGCGTTATCCTTGGTGACTGCCTCAACGCTTTTCTTGTTGGATGTTGGTGGTACGTTACCGGAAGGTGTCCCAACTTTTTTCGGTGGTGTCGCGTCCTTCGGCTTTCCTGCCGGTTGTCCCGTGCCTTTCCCAGATTTTTCAGCTTCTTTGTTCATTTTCTTGGGCACAGCTGTAGGTTGATCACTACTTGGAATGGAAGCTTGCAGCTTGGCTTTTTCTGGGGCTTTCTCCGTGCCTGAACTGGTTGGACCTTTTGCACTGGACGAGGATGGACTTGAAACCTTACTCTCTTTTTTCCCCACAGCTTCAGAGGGTTTCTTTTGCCCCGCAGTTTCAGAGGGTTTAATTGCACTTGTCTTACTGGATGTTTTCCCATCAACGACATCTTTTTTCACGTCTCCCTCCTTCGCAGCAGTAGCCGCCTTGGGCTCTGTGCCATTCTGCTTCGTGGCTGTTGCAGTGTTATTAGCCCCATTCACAGACTGATTTTTGTCAGTTGCCACCAAAGAAGACGCAGGTTGAGTTCCTGAAGCTGAAGGAGGCGGTTGTGATCCCTTTTCGGAAACTTGAAGACTTTTCTTTTTCCCCTGGTCCTTTGCTGTTGGCTCTGTGGCTGGGACAGCACTGTCCTTGGCAGGCACCACTGCATCAGATTTCTTGGCACCAACATCTTTGACTTGAGCCTTTGCAGGTTCAGGAGAAACTGAAGATTTCTTTGCATCCACAGCAACAGGTTTGCTGGTTTTAGGACTCGAAACGGCAACTCCCGATGGCTTCAGTGGAGGTTTAACAGAGCCTCCAGATTCTGATGGCTTCTTAGCATCAATTTTTGCAGTCTCTGAGGCCTTTCTCGTGCCAAGGTTTGCCCCTTTGGGGAGATTTCCTTTTTCAGTCGCTTGCAAAGTGTGGGTATCGGGCTTCTGATCACTCTTGATCGTTTTTTTCTCGCTCTTGACCTTATCATCGGATCCTTTTGCGGAAACCTCTGGAGAGCTGCCTGGAGCTGCAGCCTTGCTGGGAGCTGCAGCTTTCTTTGACTGGCCCTCTGTTGGTTGCGCCATGGTTTGTTGTATGATATTGCAGTTGTGACAGTCCTCGCTTCAACGATCTGATCCTTCAAGAAACTTGAGAGATCGCTTTTGCTACTCGGTAACGGCAACGAACGGGTGGTGAGACCATTTCACTCCAGCACTCCTAATGCATCGATAAAGTAAATAGGTTTAATCTAATAGTAGCTTCTTCCCTCTGAGGAGTGTAGCCGGGCCAGCTGGCCGCCACCACGAAAGATCTCGCTTCCCCGTGCAGCCTCTTTCGTGGGCCCACCACCGGTAAAGCCAGACACCGTACAGTACCGGCAGTGTGGCACCTCGGCCAGCTGCATTGCGCTCGCATGGAACGGGAAGATAGTGTAGGTGTTTGGTACCGGTAGCTCGTGTTGGCGTCAAGCAATACGTTTTGCACCCATCCAATTAGCTACGGCTTTTAAAAGACTGTCCAGGCCAGGCGCAGCTAGCTTTGACATTGAAAGATGCCGCCATATACATTGGATTCTGTGGTTAGCAACAAACTAACTTGGGATCCAGCCAACCAATCACATGCTAGAAATTGAGATGAGAATTGCATGCACCATACGAAACTTCTAATGGGTAGCGAGTGCAAGTTGTTGGAGCGAGCTACCGGTAATAAAAAATCTGTCAAGGGACCATCCATTGGGGGGCGCCCGTGCCAGTTTCCTTGCTTGAAGCGGCATGCAGCTAACTACGGGCGGCACAAGCAAGACAACAGGTGAAACAGAGCCTCCATTGTTACGCTGCCGTCGAGAACTTGAGTAGCTGCAGGTAATATTTGAATCATGAATCAGATGCATCTCCTGAGGCCACAAAATTTTGTCGTGTTGAGCTACAACCATGCGGATGAATCATGTCACCAGCTAGCCCACTCGCAAAGCAAAGCAAACAGAACATTGCTTGACTTACCTACGGTATGATGCACCTCCAGGCAAGTCCACGGTCGCCAGTGAAGGGATCCAAGTGTTGGTGTTGGTGTTGGTGTTGGGAACGTCACAGGGCCTCTGCTTCATTCTTGTGCAGGAGAGAGGTTGCTGAGAGCCCAAGATAGAGCACAAGACCTTAAAAGGCTGGTCAGTTGATTTTCTTCTCAATCGGTATCGTAGCAGCCAATCGCAGCAAACGCACCGTGATATGATATTCCTTGCACTATCCCTTGGAAAACACTCGTAGACCTCCAATTCCAACTTCCCTTTTGTTTCAAGGGCTCAGCCCTTGAAACCATGGTGAAAGGCTAGTAAATATGCTTGTTTCACAGAAAATCCATTGAAACCGAGAAGAATGTGGAGGTAGGGAGGTGGACTTTGAGCCCGTGGCCATTCGTCGGCTGCATGCAACAATGCAATCAACGACAGCAGCATGGACCGAACTCATCCGACCAACCCAAGACCACCGCAGCGCTGCAGACCAAAGCCATGAGAGTTGGATGGGAGTGTCAAAGAAATGCCTGACCTTACCGCCGCCAACAACGCTGAAACTGGAAAATACGGCTGGAGGCATACCGGTGCTTCCAGCGTGAAAGAGGTGCGAAAGGCTGCCGCCACTGAGCTTGACTGCCCATGGACACGATCGAGGAAGCCCTGAGATGGATGAGTGCCGGTGCATTCTATCATGCTGCACTTCCACGGAGCTGCAATTCCATGGGAGCTCATCAAGCCATCAGGATGTCATCCGATTTCGAAACCTTCACTAAACTGACGTGATGCTTGCATACATGATGTATTTTTGGAATTCACAGAGTGCGTTTCGGCACTTCAAGCTTGCACCAGCGTACCAGCGTACCAGCCGGACAAGCTCTTGTGTTTTTGTTATTACTCGGACAAATCTGTGAAAAGGCTTCTCCTTTTTCGTCATCATCGCTCAAGTTACAGTTCTGGGAGAACTTCTACTTCGGTAGCAAGTGGGATATCATTGCGTCATCACGCTCATTGCGACTTAGCACCAGCAGTCTTTTTGCGGACAGTTCTCCTGATGCTGGGATGATTGAGCTATGATTGCGTCATCATGCTCCAAATTGCGACTTGGGAGCCGAAGCTTTCTGTGTTCTTTTGGCGGCACTTCAACTTATGTTGTGCTTTGCATGCGTCGAAAGCTTCGAACTCGGCCGAAAACACGAGCGCAACTCAACACGTAGGCACACCTTCAGCTGACACTTAACAAGCCTGTTTCCGATGCAGTCCAGCAGCTGATTCTCAGCCAATCAGAACACTGGAATCAGTGCACAGCTGGCAGTTTCGTCAGCGAGAGGTCGACGAAAGAACAGAAGGTGCAAGCCAAAGGTCGATTTTCAAAGGTGGCTGTGGGCTGTGGTGCCACATCATTGCAGCATCTACCTCGGCGCTTGACAGCTTATTTTCGGCGCCGCTCTTCGATTTTGCGCTCCTTCATCAAAGCAAACTTCTTCCAATCTCACTTTTCTGTCTTCAGGAACCTCTCAACCCGTCTCCTCAATTAATTGTATCTTTTTCTGAACGAAAACAATCAAGTCCAAGCAAGACGATGAGCTCCTCCAGTATCAAAAGTCAAGAAATGCGTCGTGTTGTGAGCGCTCCCGAGTTGCGAGACCTTGAAAAGCAACGACAACCCAAGCGTCTCTCGTTTGGCACCATTGAAGTCCGATCGTACGAGGTGGTGCGGGGACACCCCGAGATTGAAATGGCACACCCACTCAGTTTGGGTTGGGAATGTGTCCAGAAACCCAAGGTTCTCTCGGTGGATGACTACGAAACGACGCGACCACCCCGTGTCACCAGTGCCAATCAGTTGCGCACCAATGTGGAAGAACGATCCAAGATCCTCAAGAAATCCCAACGTCGCAGCGGTAGCAAGCGTCGCAACAGTCTCTCTTCCTTGATTGTCAAGTGCAACCTCTTTCCCATGCGCTCTCTCCTGACTGTTGGTGGCACCAACTAAAATTTGCAGTGCATCTATCTGCCCTCCTCCTACCAAGTCCCAAAATTTTTATCCCTGAACAAACCTACACATTACATTCCAATTTTAGATCTCTCTCCCTCCTCTCCAATCTCCTGAACAAATCTTGACTGTGAAACTGAACATAATACTATACATACATACTGTAAAACACTGTAAATACCTCTTGACTCTCAAACTATCTTTTATGAAAAAGAAGTACATGTAGCATACGCATTTCGAAGACAGTTTGTTCAAAAAGTCAGTGTTGAACGCGAATATTACTTCACGAATCCTGGTTGCGAAGCAGACAATAATGTATAATGTATGGGTCTAGAAGAGAGCCTCACAGGTGCTGGGGTATCAAGCAGCCAAGACAGTGAATCCCAAGGAGACAACAACTACGTATGCCACACGGTGCAGCGAGACTGAATGCCGGGTTTTCTCGAGTTTTCATACTTCGAGATTCGATTCGTGATGTTGGCTCAAGTCAATACCGGTAGGGTGTATGGGCCAGGATTGCTTTGCTGTGAACTTTGGAAGGTGACATTTTGGGCTGATGGCGGCACCCAACTGTGGCTATACATTAGCGCGTACAGTACCTCTTGTTCGAACTGGACCCTCCGTTTACACCACTCTCCCTTCCACGGCAATTCAAGCTAGGGCAAAAATGGTGACTTCTAGCCATGAACATCCAGCCAATGATATCAATGCTCTCTTCTGGCTGCCTTCGTACCGGTATCTTTTGTGTGAACCGTCAACCTCTCGACAGCGCACTCGAGGATCTACTTGATAGCCCACAAAACACTGAGAAAGGCTATATAAGTTGCCTGTCCAATCATGCAATGGACAGCCGTAAGTCCTACTAGCCCATTATTGCAAAACCTCTAATCGACTCCCCCTTACCGATAGCCGCAGCAGCAGCAGCACAACTGTCCTCATTCTCACGAGCACATTGCAATGCGTCCAAGTCCACGCATCCCAAGGATAGCTAGTGTTTCATTGTATCCAAAAGCCCATTTCAAGCAACACATCTCCAGTGCCCGCCAGCCAGCTTCAGCACATGTGTGGTGGGACAGCCATTTTCCTGTGCTCATTCAATTCAGGATATAGTCTCCCTGCGCACGCACACAGCACTTTTTTCTCCATCCCACGGACCTGGCCTGCCATTTTCAGGGGCACTTTCAGCATCCTCATCTTCCTTTTGAAGACGCGTTGGCTATGAAGAGCATCATCGGTATAATAGGGTACGTACTACTTTAGTAGATAGATGGAGAGCTGATTACGTGACGTTGTGTTGGTGTTGGATCTTTCTGCTTTGTTGCGGGATTGCAGTGGCATTAAATAGGTCGCGCGTTGAAGACTGCGTTAGAGGATGCCTGGAAATATGACCGTCGATTAAATCTTTCTTGCGCCCTTGAGTACTCTTGGACACTTTGCGGGTTTTTTCGGCACCGACTTCGACTTCGACTTCACCTCGGAGTGGAAATTGTTGTCTCTTCTCGTCTTGGTGAGACGTGAGATTGTTATAGGGCAGCCGTACAAGTTAGTCTATCGTCATCCCACAAGCTTGCTTTGACCTGCTGGTAGAGTACGGTAGAATCGAGCCCCAACACCTCTTTGGATCAGGTCAGGTGCTGAGTAGAAAGCTGTGAGAACAAACCTCGCAATCTGCCAAGCTGCTCTCCAGAAGAGCATTCATCAGCTGCCGCCATGGATTCTCGGAAAAAGCCGCCCCCAACTGCCAATAACGGGAGGAGTACTAATGAAGCCAACCAGTCAGCGTCTCTCCGTGACGGTGGGATGCTGGAGCATGAAGTTCCCACGGCGGCTGTGGCCCGAGCCCCTCAGCAGCAAAACGAGCTGGACAAGTCGGACGATTCCAATAATCAATTGGCCGCTTCCAAACCCCGTCGAGGATTCTTTCGAGGAGGAGGCAACCGAAATTCCAACAATACAAAGAAAAAGCCAGAGGGCAAGAGCAGCAGCCGACGACGAAACAGTCTCTCTCCCTTTCGAACCACCAGTGGTGGAGGAAATCGAAGTCCCAATCAACGACGAGTGATGCGACGACCGGGAAGGTCCGCCACGGTCGATGAATTGCCGCGGCAGCGATCCCCATTGACCGCACAAGTCGAGCGTGTCGTTCCACCAGCATCTGCAGCACATGCATCGAACGTTCCATCTGCAGCAGCAGCACCGGCAGCAGCAGCACAGCCCCGAATGCAGCGACGAGAATCGGAAGATGACATTTTTCTGGAAAAACTCTTGGCCATGCGATCCAGGCAAGGTGATGACCAGGCAGCTGCTCGGCCAAGCCAACAAAATACTGACGCCGACGATTTGGGTCTCAATCCACTCGACTTGGCCATTCCTCTGGAACGGCAGAAAACACCCAATTTACCGGGAGCATGGAGCCGACAGGGCAATGCCATTCGGCGACGAGGGAGAGCCAGTTTGACTTCCTCCACCTCCTCCACCCACAGTCAGAATCATAGTGAAGAGGCCACCAATAAGGACATGAAAAAGAACCGCCGCCAGATGCAGGCGCCACGAAACAACAACGACCCACAATGACATCCGCCAAGTCTGGCCTTGGATTCTCGGTGGCTTCGTTTGCGTTAGATTCCGTCCGTGAGTTCCGGGAGGAAAATGATGACGCCGACGAAGAAGAAAAGCTTCCGTTTGGCAGCAGCAGCGCTGCCATTGCCAATGACACGGGCGAGGATGACATCTTCCTGGAAAAGATGCTTGCCATGAGACATGGGTCCGAGGCTGTGCGGAACAATAGTCAATCATCATCACGTAGTGCGACGGAAAGCAACAACAAACCAGCCAGCCGTCCCAACAACAGCGCTGCCATTGCCAATGACACGGGTGAGGATGACATCTTCTTGGAAAAGATGCTCGCCATGAGACATGGGTCCGAGGCTGTGCGGAACAACAGTGAATCATCATCGCGTTCAGCGACGGAAAGCAGCAAACCGGCCAGTCGTCCCGGTGCCTTTAGTGCCAAGAGCAACAATAACGTCGTCAAAAGACCCCGGTATTCCTTGACGGTGGGAGGGAGAGGAAGGACGAGCAAATCTCCCATGAGGACAACGTCTGCTACTTCCAGTAGTACACCTAAAAAGAGGACCGCGTCCAAGTCACCGAGAAGGACCACTTCGATGCCAGAGAAATCTCACCAACAGCAACCACGAACACCACCATCTACCAGGACGAATGCAGCGCGACGAGCGAGCATTTCTTCGTCTCATCATTCCGAGAGGGCAACCAACGGCACAATGACACAACCCAAAAAGGTAACGGCTTCCAAATCACCTACTAGAAGGACAACTTCGCTGACAGAGAGATCTCATCAGCAACCACCAACACCACCATCTACAAGGACAACTGCAGCACGACGAGCGAGCATTTCATCCTCTCATCCTTCTGAGATGGGAACCAACAGCACAAATAATGCATCCAAAAAGAGGACGGCTTCCAAATCACCTAGAAGGACAACTTCGCTGACAGATAGACCCCGCCAACAACCACGAGCACCACCATCCACGAGGCCAAATCAACCGCCATCCACGAGGCAAAGTAATCAGGCTGGCGGGGAACGACGAACCAGTACAACTTCTTCTTCCCATCATTCCGTAGGATCACAAAGACGATCCAGCATCTCCTCATCCATCCATTCGGTGGGAACCAGACGAACGAGCATGTCGGGGTCCAGTCACCATCAACGTCTACAAGCATTGGAAGAGGGTACCACCAGCGCGGACGACGATGCCCTCATGATGGAAAAGATCATTGCCACTCGTCATGGGAGCGGGTTCCTTCGCGGTCGACAACAGGCAACACAACCGCGACAACGCAGTGAATATGATTTGTCCACGTCGTTCCACTGCGAACCGAATAATACCAATGTGAATCATCATGCGGATGGCTCCGAGTCTTCCAACAACAGCAATAGTAATCCAGACAACGATATGGACGCTTCAGCTCTGACACGTCAAGTGACTCCCAACCAGCCTGGGGCGTTTCATCGGGAAGGAAACAAGATTGTCCAGCGTCGTAGAGCAACTCTGACAAGAACCTCCATGGACCAATCGCAGCAATCCGCGAACATGGACACCAGCCAACGTAGTCAGACAACAACACTGTCTGGTAGTAGTGCTGGTGGGATAAAACAGCCACCCCCCATGGCTGGCCAGTTTCCATCCAAGCCGCATCGAACACCAGGAAGGAGGGCAAGATCCAATGAAAGTCAATTGTCTAGATTGTCAGAGGATGGGATGCTTCCTGCACAAGAAGATGAGGACCCCTTTTTAGTAGAAAAGCTGGTTGCATCACGTCATGGTGACTCCTTTGTAAGAACTGGCAACCAAGGTGATGTACCTTCATCCGCCGCAAACGACGCCTCCAAAGGTGGCACTGTGGACTCTTCAGCTGGGTCTGCACAAAGTCGACCAGGCGCATTTCACAGTAAAGGATCCAAGTTGGCGCAGAGAGGGAAAGGTACCCTGACATCAAGTAACACATCTGCAACACCATCCATGGATCAATCCCGCAACTCCTTGGATGATGACAGTAGCCAACAAGGCGTAGCAACGCTTTCCAGCACCCAGCAGCAACCACCAGCTTCTGGCAAGCTTCCATCCAAACCACAGGCGACCTCAGCAAGTAGAAGCAGGTCCAATGAAAGCCAATTGTCCACTCTTGCAGAGGATGAGCAAGATGATGCTGGGGAAGATCCCTTTCTTGTTGAAAAGTTATTGGCAGCACGCTATGGCCCCTCAATGCTGAGAAATCAGGGTGCATGTGACACATCGAATGACAATGGAGCCAACTCGGAAGACCAACAGGACCAATCGGACGAACAGGCTCAACGCTTTTCGCAAACAGATTCTACCCATGCCGGCAGAACCGGCGGAGATGCGGCGTTTCAAAGAACCGGGACGGACGATAGTATTGATGTGGAGAAGTTGGCAGTGATGCGCCATGGACCCTCCATTGTCAGGCAAGGCCAACGCGAAAATTCCACTCGCGAGACCAGTGAAAGCGGAGAAGAGATACATTCCTCGACGGAAATTGAAACATCATTACAAGACTTTACGACGGAAAACAGTAACAATGCCAACAATGCATCGCTCAGACGACAAATGACTCCTGAGGGTCCCGGTGCATATCATCGAGACGGCTCGAGAATAGTTCCCCGCGGGAAAGGCATTTTGACGCAAGATCCGTCGCTCCGGTCCTTGGGGTCCGTATCCCAAAGGCGAGAGTCTGTGAAGTCGTTGAACTCCAGCAGCCACCACAATTCTATGAGTTCAAGCAACCACAGGTACAGTCGCCACGATCGCTTCAATAGACGCAGGTCAAACGAAAGAGAAGATCATATCCCAGAGGAGATAGGTTGCAGCGAGGAGCTCATGGAAACTGATTCTGGAGAAGCACCCGGAATGAATGAGAATCGTGACACAACCACTACCGAGAGGCGTCCAGATGAACTAAAGGACGAGAAGGCAAAAGAAGGGAAATCGCGAAGCTTTTCAGCCCAAAGCGTCGATCTTGAAGAAATCTTGGTACAGAGACACGGCAGCTCCATTCTTTCCCGAGACGAATCTGAACAAGACGATTTTGAGAGCAAGCGGCGAAGGAGCAAATTTCGCGCGTTCGAGGGTGAAGCCAAAACGTTGACGCCCGCAACAAGTATGTGTGGCGAAAAGCAACAAGCAAAGCGAGGCAGTGGGGTTAGGACGGTGCGCTCGATTCCGTCGAACAGTTCATTGGGCAAACAGACGAGCACCAAGTCTGATTTGGATGATATGGATGATTCGTTTTCCCGTCAGGTATCTGGTTTCAGCTCCCGTCAGGCATCTGGTTTCAGCTCGGGCAGGTTCAGCCGGGAATTTGCGCTGAGCGATATGGACGAGGAGAGTTCAGACATGAGTAGCGACATCGAGGAGGGGTACAGTGGGTTCCTATCTATCGCAAGCGGCCAAGGGGATATCCCTGCTTACGAAGCAGCAAGTCGCCCCTATCACGATCTGGTCGAAGCTCGAATTGTCACAGGGGAGTCTGAGCAAGCCCTTGCCAATGCCACACCCATGGACTTATCGGAACGGCCCAAAAGAGATGATTCACCTTTGTATCGCTGGGGTGCCTTTGGTTGTGCTGCAGTTGTCGTTATTGTGATCATTGTTCTCTTGGTATCAACACTTGGTGGTGGTGATCCGGAAACTGTAACGCAATCCCCAGCCCCCAGTTCGTCAGCACCTTCTCAATCGCCAACTGCTTCCCCGACTGCGAACATTATCTATGATTTGCCTCCGAAAACGCGGGAAGCAGTAGCGCTCGATAGTGATGGACCCCAGGGCAGAGCTTATCAGTGGCTCCTGGCTGACCCCAACTTGTCGACGTACTCCCAGGACCGCTTGTTGCAAAGGTTTGCGTTGTCGACTTTATACTATTCAACGAAACGTGGAAGATGGACGCGGGAGGGAGGATGGTTGAGCTATGATGTGCACGAGTGCCAATGGGATTTCAGAGCTGATGGTGAGAATTTGCTTCCGTGCGGTCCTGATCCCAACTCAGAAAAGTACGAGAATCTCCTTCTCTATGGAAACGGTCTGCAAGGAAGCATTCCAGAGGAAGTTTTCTTACTCACCTCCTTGAGAAAGATCGACCTTCAAGGCAACAGCTTGTTGGGAACATTTCCAGTTCCGTCGTGGTACACCACGTATCCCAACCTATGGCCAAACCAGCTGGATTTGATTGCCTTGGTGTCAAACGAATTAAGCGGAGCCCTTCCAAGTGAGCTTGGGTACTTCAAGTCATTGCAAGGACTCTATCTCGGATCCAATCGATTCACTGGCAGCCTTCCTTCTGAGTTAGCGAATGTGGCTGGACTTGTTGACCTTAGTGCCGAGGACAATTTGCTTACCGGGACGCTTCCAACTGAGTTCGCGGCTCTGAATCGATTGGTCCTGATCAACCTTGGTGGCAACGAAAAGCTGACCGGTGGGTTGTCGAATCTATTTGTCCCTTCCACAAACGCGTCCTTCCTGGATGCCGACGTGGAACTCAGAGTAGGTGCCGAAATACTCTTTCCAAACTTGAAGGCCCTTGATCTTGTGCACAACAGCTTCTCCGGAGGCCTTCCTTCGGAGATTGGCAGAGCTTGCCCCAGTCTGGAGCGGCTGGCCTTGGCGAACAATCGCTATTCCGGCGGCCTTCCTTCGGAGATTGGACTGATGTCGTCCCTGACATATGTAGACCTGAGGAACAACGGACTCACCATCACTCAACTTCCGAGTGAACTGGGACTGCTGACAGCCATGTCTGAGTTCCGTGTGGACGGAGACGATGCTGCCCTTGCTGGCACTCTGCCTACAGAGCTTGGGCAGTTATCTCAATTGGGCGAACTGATGCTGGACGCAAGTGGTTTTGCGACGAATCGAGGCATGTTGACCGGGTCAATTCCATCAGAACTAGGCAATCTCAGAAATGCAACGAACCTGTTTCTGTCGAGGCACCGGCTGCTGGGGACGATGCCAAGTGAGATGGGACAAATGACAAAGCTTGAGGTAGGTGCTCGGAGTATTGGTGTTTTCAAACTAGCTAGAGGGCATCGTGACACTGACACGACGGCTCGCACTACTCCCGCAGAAAATTTGGCTTTTTCAGAATGGAGTCATGGGCACAGCGACATATGGACTGTATGGCCCCATCCCCTCGGAGCTCGGACAGCTAACTGCATTGACAAGCCTCCTCTTGTTTGAAAATAGTCTGACGGCTACAATTCCACCGGAAGTTAAACAACTTTCAAACCTTGAGGGGCTACACTTGCACACAAACCGATTGCAGGGGCCTGTTCCGGACATGCAAATGCCCCGAATGAAGGAATTGATGTTGCACCGCAATTTCCTCACTGGGACGATTGCTCCAAGCATGATCGGGTCGATGACAAACTTGGAATACATGTCCCTGTACAGCTGTCGGTTCTCCGGCCCAATTCCCTCAGAGCTTGGCCTAATGACTGCTCTGACTTTCTTGCGAGCCGACAGCAATTACTTCAGTGCACTTCCAAGCGAGATTGGGAACAACCGCAATCTGGCAACCATAGTTCTTGCTGGAAATGCTTTGCAAGGATCGATCCCCAGCGAGATTGCCCAGGTTGGAAAAGCCTTGCTTCACTTGTACATTGGGTCCAATGCACTTACTGGAAGTCTCCCAACAGAACTGGGAGAATTGGACCAGCTCGCTGGTGAGTGTCCTTCATCTCTTGAAAATGTAACAACCCTTATTATTTGTCATTCTCTCACATGTCTGTCGCTTTTGTCTCAACTATTCAAAAACACGATGCAGCGTTGGATATCCCTAACAATCAAATCACCGGGCCAATCCCAACCGAGTATGGTCGCATGACTGCTTTGCAGGAAGTTTATCTGTACAACAACCAGTTAAGCGGCCAGGTGCCCTCCGAGCTAGGCTTGGTTGCGGGAAACATGACCAATCTCTATCTTGTAATCAACTCTCTGACAGGGCACGTTCCATCCGGTGAGTTCAAGGAGACTTATTGCAGGGTTCTATCCACCTCTTTGTGTGATGCTGCTTCAACACTCATGCTTTTTCTTTGCGATTCCCAGAATTTGGCCTTCTGTCCAATCTTCAAGGTTTCTCAGTGCAACAAAATATCATGACAGGCTCTGTCCCGTCCTCTCTTGGGCTGCTTACAAGTTTGACTAGCCTTTCTTTGGCTGAGAATGCCGCCACCGGCAGCATGCCCAGTGAGCTGGGCTCGTTGTCAGTGCTCGGGAAGTTGGTGCTCAACAATAATCAAATGTCGGGTTCCCTACCTTCTGAACTTGGTTTGTTGACATCACTCTCGGAGTTGGCGTTGGAGCACAATCTATTCAATAACACGTTGCCAACAGAGCTCGGTGGACTGAACCAGTTGGCAGTTCTGAAAGTCGCGGAAAACAGCCTATCGGGTCCACTTGTTTCAGAAGTAGGTCTTCTGACTTCGCTGGCAGATTTCTCTGCCGAATACAACCTGCTAAGCGGTACTGTCCCAACAGAGCTTGGCAAACTGACCAGCGTGCAAAAACTGAAATTCCAATCAAACCGTCTCACCGGTACCATTGTTTCCGAAGTGGGTTTGTTGACTTCTGTCGCGGACCTGTCCTTCAGTTCCAACCAGATGAACGGCACACTGCCCACAGAGCTAGCCAGCCTGTCTCAGTTGCAATTTCTCTGGTTGGCAGAAAACAGCTTCAGCGGGAGTATTCCTGGCCAAGAGCTGTCCCTGCTAAGGCAGAAGCTAAATGTCCTGTCTCTGCGTGACAACAGTCTCGAGGGTCGAGTGCCGAGTGAACTTGGTCTTCTCGGTAACTTGTGGTCACTGGAGTTGGATAACAATCCATTGACTGGGGAACTGCCAAGTGAACTATCGAGTTTGTCCAGCCTGTTTGATGGTCTCTCCGGTTTTTTGGGCACTGACTTGACTGGAACGCTACCCGACAGTCTGTGTGGAAAGGTTGTCTTCAGCTGTACAGGACTTCTCTGCGGTTGTGGTTGCCCTTGTATCGTCCCAACTGAGCCCCCAACCCCAGCACCATCCAATGGCACCATTATTACCATCTTTTCAAATGAGGCAGTTGTACCTGAGCGGGAGAAATTTTTGATCGACCCCGAACCGTGAGCTGATGGTAGCTGCTCACGTTGAGCTGTTTCGCAGCTAGCAAACCAGCCTATGTTTGGAATGATCTTTCGATAGTCTAATCCTCTGGGTGTAGCCTACGAAACAGTTGGTGGAACATGCTGGACAGCGAGAAAACAGCAGGGGAAACGTACCAAACGAGCCAGCTGCAGAGTCACCTAGTTCGACGGAGATGAAGGTCAAAAGTGCACAGCTGCGAAGAGATCGAAGCCGCCATTCAAAGGGCCACAGAAGCCAAGTGAGGTGCATGCCGGGATACCGCAGTAATGACGAAACCTGTGAAAGAACGGTACCCGGTATGCTGCCCTTCTTGCGTCTGCCTTCCTTTCGTTTTCCAGCCCTGCCACGAGAATACACATGCCCAATTCTGTTATTCGCAGCATCTTCACCGAACAAGGCGCCCCGTCGCAAAGTTGCATTGAAGAAAACCATAGTTAAGTGAGCAAAATACGCAGAAACTCTAGTTGTGCAGTTTCCACGGCAATCGGCTAAAGCTACAACTGTCATGTGGAGATGGCGATCTAAACTGGCAGTGCAATAGGATGCCATCATCATAATGGACTCAAGCAACAGCGACGCCAACGTGTCAAACTACATTATAGGCTTTAACAACCAAACGGCATAGGACAGTGTTGTCCTTCGGCCTGACCAAGTAACGGTATCTGTAGTGGATGCAATTTTGCAATAAGACCCGAGGAGACGAATACGCTTGCCGAATGCGACAGCCCCAGCATAGCCTATAGAACAAGACTGGAAGATCACAATGCCTTGAATCAATGCTTTTCTCCACGCACAGCAAGCCCGAGGAAATCGTTTGCCTGAGCATCATAAAATATACCATGGACAAAAATAACATATGAGCCACAGATAGATCCGTTACCACCCAAACGAGACATGCGATAGCTACGTCTGACCCCTCCCAAGTTGGTTGTTGACTCCTTTCTTTCATACTACCCACTGATCCATGTGATAGTCTTGTACTACCTGCCGATACAGAAAGTCATCTAATCGACTGGATTCCACCAAGAATTCCCGTGTACTTGGTTGAATCTTGGACAGTGACACAAATCCACCCCGTTCCGGAGACTTATTGTGTTGCTTGAAGTTCCACCCTATCGTTGAGTCGTTGAATATCATCTTGGTCAAGAGAGGAAGTGTCTCATTGGTGAGTGTATCGGTTCGACCAATCCAATCCATGGTTCTTCGTAGACTCTGATAGGAGGATTCACACTCCGTAAACGTCAATCCATGGCGCAACTCCGTGACATTCCAGCCAAAGGTTCGTTCTCCTCTTGCCAAGAATAGACATTGTGGATTGTCGTAAATGGATTTCATCATGGCATCTTCCAAGTCAATGCCCTTGTTTTTCTTTGTCGTTTCCCGAATGTGCGTTTCTTCCAGTTGTTCTGGTGTCAACTGCAGATAGGGAGCTAAAAAGGCGGCGTTTCGTTTGTTGCAGCGGGTGCTTGTCGTCATGGTGCCTTTGCAAAAGCGTTCGTCTCCAGGATGAATAAAGTAGCTGGCGGCAAAGAGAGAAAAAGACAGGATGGTGAGACATACATGCAAAGATTTGGAACTGTCTGTCCATGGAGGCACTACCTACAAGTTGAAAAAAGACACTTGTTCCGCCAATGCTTCCCTCATAATGGTAAATGTAAAGAACGGCACTTTGGTTTCTTGGGCGCGTTCTCTCCATGCGTGCAAGTACGGCTCCAATTCCCGAGTATGGTAGTTATCCATGCCATGGACTTCCACAAATAGAATCTTTCGCTTGGTGGTGGGTGCCGTGAGATACCGGTTGATTTTGGGCACGACCCTCTCCAAAAAGACATTGAGTCGATTGGCCATGATAAAGCGGACTCTGGATTTGAACCTTGCCAGCTTGAGTTGCTCGGCACTGTCCATGATAAAAGTGGTACTGGGATCGGGTGGTCCTCCAAAACTATATCGAATGGTTTGTCCTCCCGTTTTGGGTGTATGCAGAAAGAAAATGACTCCTCCCTTTTGCGCCGTCATGTCCGGTAAATGCCGATGGGATGGCAGGACTGAATAATTGGAAAAGTCCGTCTTGTTAAACTCAAACGACTTGCTCAGCTCCATGCCTTCCACGTAGTGTCGGTAGTCCGTGTCTTCCTTTTGGGTCTTTCGCTTGTGGATCTTTTCGCGGACTTTTTTCTTTCGCTCCATTTTCGCTTGAAAGTCGGCGTCCGAAGTTACAGAGCGAATAGCGTCCGTCAAGGCAAACTGTTGATTGCGTCGTTGTGCCTCTTGCTGCAATGCTTGAATCTTTTCAAAGGGAATGTATTCCTTTCTGGATTTCAAGCCACGGCGACGATGATGATAATCCGCCATACTCATCATGTCTCCGCCTTCCAACCGTGACACCAGATCGGATTCCACCCACAGCATGATAATGGAGCAAACCAGCATGGCCCACAGCGTGAACACCTTCACATTCATCTTGGAGGCTCGTCCAAGACCTCTCATCGTCGTCATCTACTGTATCTATCTTGCTTCTTCCTACCTGACAGGTCAAAACCATGCATTCAACCAGATCATTTCCTTGGCATGATGCATGTCATGTCAGTTGAACCTGTGTGGAGCGGAGGAGCAAACGAGAAAATGTGGTCGTTTGGAGGCAAGCGGGGTGAGCTCCTTTTAGATAACCCCACCGATGCATCAGCCTCCCTTCTTCGCGCCGCGGGAAGCACCGCCAGAGAGCACCTATCGGTACTGGTACCGAAATATACCCAAACATACTACGGTAGACTACATGTATCATACCGGTATTGTGTTTGGAGACCCTACCCATTCATCCATCCAGTCTCCCATCAAGCGTATCCGCTACTGGCTTGGGTGACTTTGAAAATGGCGCTGGTGCTGCTTTTAAAGTTTGGGCTGCATGACTATTGGGATGCATCGTAATCAGTTAAATAATATTGCTACAAACTTAGCTCCATGATAGGAACGACCATACCACGATGACAGCACCGCTTCCCGTCTGCTCAGCGAAGTTAAGCATCGTCGGGCCAGGTTAGTACTACGGTGGGGGACCACGTTGGAATACCTGGTGTTGTTCTTTTCTTGCATTATGCTGGTCTTGATCGTTTTGGAGGCTGTTGCTCCATGGACGCAATGCTGCTGCTGTACATCGCAGGGTTGGAGATGGTTGATGCAAGCATGGGCTAGCTGTGGGAACTACAGTGCTGGGGGTACATATCTCCGCTGCTGCAACCAATGTGGGGATTGCAGTGCTCGGACAGATCGGGTTCGCCCGTGGTTCAAGTGGTACCAGCCAGACGGCGAATAAACTGATGCTGCTACCAAATCTTGATCCTTGCTCAAGCTGCAACGGTACTGTACGTGTACGGTAGCTTCCAGCCGTTGTTCAGGCGCAAGGTCCGCAGGCATAAGCTAGCTGCGGTACCAGTTGCTACCTTTCTAGAGGTACGATTCGTCTCGAAGACGACAGCAGCAAAGACGTCACGAGAAGGATTTAATCTGAGCGGCACTATGGTGGCCACGTTCCTTACGACACGAATAAGCTTCCAGACGAATGGCACGATGACAAGCAGAAGATGACACGGAAGAGAAGAGGCTTCCCTTATAATAATATAAACGTAATGTAAATGAATCTGTTTGTTGCGTTTTGCTAGTTCTGTTTGCGTGTTTTTTGTAGGTTTTGTTGCGTGTTGCTTTTTTCAGTTTTTGTAGGTTTTCGTTGTGTTGTTATCTCGTTGTTGATTGAATGGCTCGTCCATGGCATCAACGGCACATCCAAAGCATCAGCCAGCCTTAGAATCCATCCACGTGGTACTGGTCGAGCAAAGGATTCCACCAGGCCTCGTTCAAGCGGAAGACGCAACGTTCTGTAGGAGATGCCTCAAGCTGCGGCTTTTTCGCGGCGGTACCTGGCTTGTCCTTGCTGCTTTGTGAATCCTGTGACGGTGACGGTGTCCGTTCGTGGTGATGGCCGTGGTTTCTTTTCTTGTCCCTGCTGCTTTGTGAATCCTGGGACGGCGACGGTGTCCGTGACCGTCCCACGTGGTGGCCGTGGGGTTTCTTCTCTACCGTTTTCCAGCCGTCGTCTTCCTTTGCTTCCTCTTTCTTTTCTTCCGCTGTGGTAGTCGTTGCTTCCTTCTCCTCGGTCTCCTTTGCTTCGGTGGCTGGGGCCTCCTTTGCTTCTTCAGCGTTGTTTGCTGCTGGAGTTTCCTCCTCCTCCTTGTGAGGCCACTGCGGTTGTGGAAAGGACCATTCACAGCACTGCAATGCCAATCGGTTCCAACCATGACGATGTCCCCAGACTTCACAAGTACCTCCTCCGTGGACGCCATCGCCAACCAACGGGAATCCCAATGCGGAAAGCTGTCCACAAATCAACTGTTGGGGTGTGAGCCGACTGGCCTTGTTGAGATGGGTATGAAGCTGCTCGGGATCCACGACCTGTTCCACTTCCAACTGTGCCACGTAGGTGACCCCCAAGTTCAACGTCTTGGATTGGTTCTGCACACCACCGAGGCCCCACAGTCGTTGGGCCAACCGAGTGTCCCCCACGGTTGCGTCGGGGGACACATTGGCGGCGTAGAGTCCATGGTTGGTTCCAATCTTCAAGAGACGGAAATGACACGCTCCATACTCGTGGCGGTGCTGATGACTGGGAATCTCCGAGACAAAGTTGGCATGGTGCTTGTGGTTGGGATTGTGATGGTAAAAGTGCTTGACAATGGCCCGGGACTCTTGTAGGTTATTGAGAGTGGCCATGTCTTCTGGCGTTTTGACACAAATGAGGCACTTGTACTTTTTGATGACGCCCTTTGCTGACAAGGGTGGATGCTCGACCAAGTTGGTCATGTAGGAATTGAAGGGTCTCTTGGTGGAGATAATGACGAGGCCTTGCGTTTCGGTATCCAAGGGCAGAGGCAAGTTGAGATGTGCCGATCGATGGTGAAGGTGTTTGTAGAGCGGATCATGACTGTGATCCGTTCCCTTGGGTTCACTTCGGGTTTCCTTTTCTCTGTCGTGGAGTACTTGTGCAAAGACGGTGAGTACATCTTCGGCATGGTTGTTGACCGTGGCATGGTCGGGAACCGTTCCCGGCTTGTTGATGACGGCAAATCCGTGTTCGGCGTCCTCGTAGACAATGACTCCATCCTTTTGATCTGGATATCCGGCGGTAGGAACATGTTCGTAAGCCGGCAAGAGCCTGTCTCCCAGAAAGACCTGAACCGACTGGTCTCCCATGAGCAATCCTCGGCAGTACTTGGACCAGTCCACTTCCTCCATGGCGTGGTACCTATTCAATAAAAGGAAGAGACAGTGAGTGAGTGACAACTCCAACAACAGCAGTCAATGCACACAACACAAACAGCAATCTCACCTCGACGGGGCATAATGCACCCGCAGGACATAATCTTTCCAATCGGGGGTTCGTTCTCCATCACTTTCGTGGGTCAATCGCTTTTTCTTGGTATGATGATGCTTTTTGCTGTCCGTGTGTTGCAAAAAGGACGTTTCATTGACGAGCCACACCGCTCCCAGTTTCAAGAGTTGTGAAGCCGGTGGAAAAGCTCCTTGATCGCGATGATCTAGATCAACGCGTTTCATTTCGTCTGGATCGTGTTGTTCCAAAATATGCTTGGCAATGTGTTTCCATGCCACATCGACGACGGCATCGACGACTTGTTGGACACACGGGGATGGATGCTTGCAATCGGCCGTTTGCACAGCCCTTGCATAGACCGTATGCATTTTGGAATCCAGTCCGGTCATTTCGACAATCCAACCCTCATTGAGTGTCTTGACCTCGGCACCTTTCCATAGATCTTCCTTGGTGGGGCCACTGTTGTGGCTGTTTTTGCTGTTGTGGCGACTGGGGGTCTTTTTGTGATTGTTCTTTTTGGGGTGATGATTATGATTATGATTCTTGTGGTGGTGTCGAGGCTTTACCTGATGCGACGCCGCGTGCTTTTGGTCTCCCATGGTTTCGGTGGTTTGTGTTGTTGGTAATAATGGTATCATAGAAAGTAAGTATGACCGATGGATGAGATAATTGATTGATTTTGGTTGCTCTGGTTGCTTTCTTTGATGGTGTCAAGGCAATTGAAGCAGTGAACGCACTTGAAAGCTCTTGAAATAAATGTGATTTGTGGGAGCAGATGCCAATGATCCATGGTGGACGCCGAAAGCCCATTGGACGTCCTGTTTGAATGCGAAGTCTTCGCGTTATTCTGCCTTGTAGTTCGGCTACTAACTCCAGCTTCGTTCGATCTTTAGAAAAAGAGAACGCGTCTCATGCATGCGAACTGGTGTCAACTCTTCGCGTTCGGTTCTTTCTCGTTGGGTGGAAAAGAGAACGCGCTTTCCTGTCGAGCCAGACGAGCTGCCGGAACAGTTTGATGCCGCCATCATTGGCCGTGCATGCACTCGTGTCGGGACACGGAGAGTGCCGAGTTATACAGAGTTCAGAGTTGTTCTTCTTCTTTCGACCCTCCATTTCATTTGTCTTGTTGGAGTGTTGGATGAGGCAACTCTAGCTAGTCAAGTCAGTTCTGTGTTGTGTTGTCTACCATACCATGAGCAGCCAGAGACTCCCTGTCCCACCTCCCTTGTCTACCAGTCACCACAAGAAAAAGACGGCGGACCGGTACCGCTCGGAATTTGGGTTGGACAGCAATGACTTTGGATTGAATGGTCAAGATTTCGGATTGTCCCAGCTGAAGCAACATAAAAAGAAGCAACAACAACAACAACAAGACAAACACCGGAGAAGTCTCAACAGTACCACTCATACGGGCAACAACCAGAAACACTTTGAGTATCCACCGCAAACTCCTCTTCGGACGCCGCGCAGCAAACCGGATCAATTGACGGCCACCAAGGACACATTGGAAGCGTTTGCCGATGATGTCGCTACATTGTGGTGTGGCTTTGGAGGAATTCCCGTCTTGGATGAACCACCTTCCACATTAACCTTTCTACGAGACTATGTCAGTCGCAGTCGACCCTGTATCATTCGCAATGCTCTCATGGTTCGAGACGACAATCCACACAAAAATACAAAAAAGATTGACAAGCAAGGCAGTAATAGTATTTCCTCATCGACCAGTCACTTGACATTGGTCTCTCCCACATCGGCGGTTCACAGTCATGCCAACAACAACGGTTTTACGCGCAATTCCGACACACGGCCGCTCCATTTGTCTCTCGACGATCTTGTCGACATTGATCCGGAATTGGAAGTGGTCGTCGATGCCACTCCCGATGGCCACGGCGATTGCATTCGGACCGTCTTGGATTATCAGACTCAACAAGTTCATCGGTTGTTTATAACGCCGGAACAACGGCGCATGAGTCTCCGAGAATTTCGAAAACAATTGCGGCAGGGAAGAAAACAACTTACAGAAGATGATGACAACGAGAGTCAAGAAAGTGATTCGGACGAAGAACCTGAAGAAGAAATCTACGACGAATTGGATGGCAAACGCATTTATCCACTCAAAGGAACGCAAAAATCACCACGGCGGAAATGTTCCACTGGATTTGACGATATTCTCGATGGCTGTGGGACAGCACCGGGAGTGGCGGATGCTACGCAACGTGCCAGCGGCATGATTGCCTCGTGCAATGCCATGGATGACATGCAAGACATGATTAGCAGCATGCCCTTTTTCAACGATCTCATTGACGGCAGTAACAGTGGTGGCAACAACTCCAACCCCAATAGTTGCAGTCAACAAGGATTCGAAGTCAATGACAACAGCATGGTCGCCACTCCTCCTCCACCACCGCCGTCTGTCTTGTATTATTCCCGTCAAAATGATTGTTTCCGCACTGAGTTGCCTTCCATTTACAAGGCCACACGGCATGTCATTCCCGATTCGTTGCCGTTTGCCGAAGAAGCCTTTGGGACGGGCAAACCCGAAGCCATGAATTTGTGGATGGGAGACGAACGGGCCGTTTCGAGCATGCACAAGGATCCCTACGAAAACATGTTTTATGTCGCCAGTGGGGAAAAGATTTTTACCCTCTGTCCACCCGCGGATGCTCCGTATCTCTATGAGCAGGACTTTTTGTCCGGATCCTTTGATTCGCAACCCTCCAAACAACCATCCGTCTTTCCCACTACGGCCGGGTATGAAGCACGGCGGCGCAAATGGACTGTCCAAACCGATTTTCACAAGGACAACACCAAGGAAGAAGAAGAAGAAGACGATGACATTCGACTCAATCACAATCTGCATTCGCCGCAACTCATTCATCACAATTTCACCGGAAACGATTTGGAGCCAATGTGTCCCGAAGCGGCCATTGACCATACCAACAAGGACAACGACGCCAATAAAACGACGCCCTATGTGAGATGGATTGAAGCCGATGTCAATGCCTTGGCGGATCCACGCTGCGAACGAGAACAACGACGAAAATTTCCACTCCTCCAATACGCGCATCCCATTCGACAAGTCCGCGTTCAGGCCGGGGAATTGCTGTACTTGCCGGCACTGTGGTTTCATCGGGTCACACAAAGTCGGGAAACGATTGGAATCAATTGGTGGTACAATATGCAATTCTGTTCCCCGCAATGGTGTTATTTTCAGCTCCTCTCCAAATTGCAACCGCGGCCTTCCGCACAATTGCCCGCCACTACTCCACTGCTCGATCATGATGATGACGACGACGACAACAATCATAACCAGCAACGCACCAACAAAGATCGAACAGCATTGTTTGTGGAAAGTGTGGAGGAACCCTCCAGTCTCCAGTTTGCCAACAACTTTCCAAGCAGTACAAAGGCAGCCGAGGCATTTAAAAACACCAGTCAGGCAGCCGAAGCCACCATTCGAGGTGTGTTGGGTACGATCCGAAACAACTGGGAGTAGTCTAGTTAGTCAATTTTAAAATTGGAGAAGTGTGTGTACGATAGAAAATTTTGGATACCATTTGTACAAGCTGTCTAGTTTCGTAGTTAGTCTAGCTAGCTACTGGACGATGATCCACCATAGGACTGTCTTGATGGTCGCTGCTACTCAGAAGGCCCCAGAATGAAAATCTATACTTTATTGTTCTCATGTCTGTGCTTGTAATAAAACCAAAGCTAGAGAAAACAGGGGCATGGCCGTCAGCCACTCGGGAGGGAAAAGCAAAGGAGGTTTTCCCTTGGAGCTTGCCGGCCAGATGGAGGTAGAAGGACTTGTGTGTCACACGAGCAATCAATTTGAGCAATCAATTAATTGGGCAGACGGTCCAAGCAATGGTTTGAGCACGAGACTAGCACTCGATAATAATCTCGTGAGACGTGAGACCTTCCTTCTAAACAGATGATCACTACCAGTTATCCTTGTCCTTGTGATCCTTGACAAAATGAATGTACTTCATGAGATCCATTACTTGTTTCTTCTTGCGGTCATAGGCGATCTGGTTGTTGAGTTCCTTTTTATAGGTGGTAGGCTTCGTGTGTCGATCCGACTTGAACGTGCGAATCTCGTCTCCTTTGGAATTGACTTCCACTTGGATTCTCCCAACCACCATCTCCGGATCTTCGTGTTTCCAGCTTTTAGTTCTCGGATCAAAGCGCCGATCCACAACCTCCACCCACCCAATCTTCGAGAGAGGTCTGCCCTGATGAAATTGTCGTTGTGCCAAAGCGGTGGTGGCACAGTGTCTTGTGGAATGAGCGCCTCGGCGCAGAGCTATGGGGAACATCTTGCAAGCTTGTGGGATAAGTGTTGGTACCTGGTATTAGGACCGTCGGGAGGGTATGGTTGGTTGATGAAGCCCAAGGCGACGAAGACATCAACGGCGGGGTGTCGGGCGTCGGGTCAAGCTGCTTGATGCTTGCACCGCATCATCATCGCTCCTCCTCGTCCATCCATCCATCCAGAGCTGGACTTCGTTGGCCTTTTGTTTTTTCACAGCTTTCGCAGCTTTGGAGTGAAGACTTTTGCAAGATTGCACACGTCAGAGTGACATGGGCAACCGTTGGCATCAAGCAGGTAAACTGCTTCCGATTTCCGATTGCACTTCATTATTGTCACAAAATAAATCATCACAAATTAGTCGACCATCAAGACAATAGAAGAACAAGAAGATGAAGCTTTCAGCCCTTACCCTCTGCATCAGTTGGTTGCTGTTTCAAGCCCCCTCCATCATGGCGAAGAGGAGCGTCAAGAAGCCGTTTGCTCGGGATTGTACTATTGGTAAGTGTATGAATGATGAATCATCTTTGCTTGGTGGGAAGAGCCCCTACATCCTTCGATTCTCTGACATTCTTCTCCTCCATTCCCACAGTGGAAGACAAAGACGAAGTTGCCTTTACGTGCAAATCTACCAATGCACCTGAAGACTACAGCTCTGACTCGGCTGACTCGGAAGATGCTGCATCCACCAGAGGTATCGTATTGGAGCCGGCCATTGAGATCAAAGACAAGATCAAATACAAGGTGGAAACTGGGAAGAAAGGAGTACAAGTCAAGATTCAATACGAGCAAGAGTATGAACAGGAATACCAAGAAGAAGATGGCTCCACCGAAGAGATCTCGGGTGAAAGTGAGACGGAATTCGAAATCGTCTTTGATAGCATCATTGAGTATGCCAAGGGCGAGACAAAAGTCGCCAACAACACAACCGACGAGCAGGCGTATGATTGGGAAGCAGATACGGTGGTTCAGACGCTCCCGTTGGACGACTGGAATGACCTTTCCACAGTGATGAGTGCCGGCGTTGTTTCCTACTTCTTGGCTTCCACCAGCGACCAGATTGTTGCCTTCAACTTTACCATTAGCAGGACAGGCGAGGGAGAGAAGCTCGGTGCCAATGCCATGAAGATCGATGTGCACATTGTAAACTTTCCATGGCAACGAAATGATACCTATCTGGCGCTCGTGAGCTCTGTTAGCTCCGAGCTGGAGGTCGATGTCAAACATGACGACGAAGCCACAGTCCTGCTTGCCCAACAGGACGTTCAGATTCCGTTTGCCGGTATTGATACCATCGGATTCGTCCCATTCGGCTCTTACAGCTGGGAAACCATGGCGGAAGTGGTGGAAACTGACGCCGTCATCATGGTAGACGAGGAGTCCACCAGCTCGACCGTCCAAAAGTCGGGTATCATTGGATCAGCTGTGGGCAAGCCGTATCAAACCATTCAGGTTGTGGCGACGTCTCCTGTGGACGCGTCGTCCAACGAGACAACCTCCTCCTCCTTTGAGATGGCAGAGACGATTGCTTACTCCTTTGTAGGCTCCTTGGCGCAGAACGCTTCGTACATTTATTGGGACCCTTCTGCTGGTGTCGGATACAGTGAAAGTGATGATGCCGAGTATCAAATCATTGGCGAAAACGGGGATCCTTTCGAATACACACAAATGTCCTCTGCTGCAGCTACGATTGGAACGCATCATGGCCAGTTCTTGGGATTGCTTAGCATCTTGAGTTTGACTTTCTTCGTCATGCATGGCTGGTGAGCAAGTGTGCCTTCAATCTACAACTTCCGTGTGGCTTGGATGGGTGGATGACTCTGTGGGTAGCTACGATCTCCTTTCTGATCTGATGTGGTGCAAGTATTGGGTTCTTGTTCCTAACTTATTCAATCAACTAATACTGTAAAGATATGTTTACGTTACTACTACTTCGTATGTGCATGTAGATCAAAGCATCGCTTTGCTGGAGTCGAGTCCAGACAACTTCGTGGGCGCAGGAATACGGGTTGTTTGTACGCGACAACTCATCCTACTAGTTGACGGTCGACATGTACCCAAACACAGAGCGCGGCATGGATACACATCAGTTTGAGACCACTCGCTTTGATGTGTTGAATCAAGGAGTTGCTGTGCAAGGAGTGAGCCGAAGGATCAAGGTTTCGGCCGTCGCGCATGTTCGAGTCCATCGAGGAGCTCCTTGGCCCTCAGCATATGAACTGCCACTCAAGTCACTGCCCGTTCTTCCATACGACCAACGGAGTGGTTCTTGCCTGCTACGGTACTCCCGGTTAGTCACCTTTGCTCAGCATCGCCGTATCATCATCTCAAACGGGTCCGCATTGGATGCCGACTCTCTCTGCCGGACTGTCGGATCTCGAGAGACGAATGATCAGTCTTTGGCGTTGCTTCCTGCCCTTGAACCTCCGATCCAAGGGAAACCCAGCTACCCCAGCTACCCCGCAGGACCACAGGATCACCCATGGGCCAGAACCACCGTCCTCGAGCCCTCGGAGCACCTTGGATCCACCGCTTCAAGGCATCCGTCGGATTCCATCGAGGCACATCACCACGACGACTGCCTTCTTTCCCAGCTTTTGACGGCCGCCGTCGTTCCATCTTTCGCACAAACCCTACATTGCAGTCTCCCAAGGCCATCGTGGATGCCATGGGACGCTTGGATCTCCTGCAGACGACGAAAAGGACTTAGGGTAGGGTCAGAGGGTCATCAACAAAAAAAGTCGTGTATCCACGATTGAAGATTCTTCGCCACGTACCCCAACAACAAGAACCGGAACAACAGCTGGACGATGTCATCAACATCTTCCTTCTTTCGGAGCCGCAACGTCATGAAAGGAAGCACCATGGCGGCGGGAGGAGGCGTCCTGAGGCTTGGGACGCCTTCCTTCCTCCTCTTTCCCTACCGCGGACCGATCGGTCTCGATTCATCAAATTTCACGACTAAACAGCAACTATACTAATACCCTCCAACCATGACGACAATGGCATTCTACCCAGATCCAAGCACAGCGGAACCTCCGTACACATGCCGCGGATCCTCTGGTACCATCACAAGGCCGCTACCGCCCATTGTCCCGAAGAAAATACCACTAATCAGTAGGCTGATGAAAGAAGACAGGAGACCAATCCCGGTTTTCACCATGGTCGTTTTTCGTCACTGATGGACAAGGATGGAAGAGGACATGACGAAAAATGCGACAACACCATGTCGAGCTCACTTTTTCTTTCACCTGAACTTGTTACGACAATTTCAAACGAAAGAATTCCTAGACGTACTATTGCTACTGTATCTGCCTATTCTGCTACATTTGCCTACAAACACTACTACTCTTACTACCAATTCTTCTGGAAACCCAAAAGCTCTTCTTTAAGTTTCCACCTCAAACATAAATTGACCATGGCCGAGGCAAAGAAGAACGGACCGTCGCCGCCACCTGTGCCCACAGCAGGCGCGACAATGTCCCACCTAGATACTACTACTATTGATAACATGATGACAACGCCCATAGAAAACGCGGCCAACAACACCATCAACAACACGACGATCTCAGAAGCGAAGCAGTCGAAGGATGTTGACTTCAAAGAGACGTTGGCGGCGATAAGTGCTCGTGGTGACGAGCTGCTGAAGACAGCCAAGGCCATTGCCGCTCGCAAAAAGCAAAAGGCCATCGCTGCGAAGAAGGAGGCGAAGCAGTTGGAGGATGTTCGCTTCAAGGAGACGATGGAAGCGATCTCTGCTCGTGGTGACGAGCTGCTGAAGACAGCCAAGGCCATTGCCGCTCGCAAAAAGCAGAAGGCTGTCGCTGCGAAGAAACAGGAGCAGTTGAAGGATGTTCGCTTAAGGAGACGATGGAAGCGATCTCTGCTCGTGGTGACGAGCTGCTGAAGACAGCCAAGGCCATTGCCGCTCGCAAAAAGCAAAAGGCCATCGCTGCGAAGAAGGAGGCGAAGCAGTTGGAGGATGTTCGCTTCAAGGAGACGATGGAAGCGATCTCTGCTCGTGGTGACGAGCTCCTGAAGACAGCCAAGGCCATTGCTGCTGCTCGCAACAAGCGAAAGGCCGCCGCCGCTCAGACTGTGAAAGAGGAGAGCAAGCAAGTCGTCATCAAGACTGTTGAAGAGAATGATGATGACGACAACAACAACAACCCGCGATGGATCCAGTGGTCATCGCCAACAACAACAATCAGTTGGTTGTCGTCGAGACTGAAGAAGAGGACGACAACAACAACAAACCCGCGATGGATCCAGTGGTCGTCGCCAACAACAACAATCAGCCGAATGTCGTCGAGACTGAAGTAGAGGACGACAACAACAACAAACCCGCGATGGATCCAGTGTCGTCGCCAACAACAACAATGAGCCGATTGTCGATTTGGACTCGATGACTGATGAAGAGCTGATGAACTCGATGGAACCATTCTCGGAATACGTCCAAGACTTTCAAACCGTGCCAGCCAAGTTGAAGAAGGCACCTACAACCAAAGGAAAGTCGAAGAAGAAGGGCCAAAACCGACGAGGATGGGGGGCATGGGCCACCAGACGCTGGCAACAAGAAGGCTACGGGCGACAGTCGAAACAGCGCAATGTCCCAGGGCGAAACCGAAAGGGACGCCGAGTGGTTTTCGATGAAAAGGTGAAGTGCATCGTCCACCACAAGCCGTCTGCCGAGCGAAAGCTGACAACCAGAAACTGCAATACAATTTACCGCAAGGTCGAGTACCATCGTGGTATCGTCGAATGTGCAGTGAAAGCCAATGGAGGAGAGCTTCTTAACTGCTTCCCTGGCCTGAAACAAGCGGAATGGCGCAAGATCCGCGATGAAGTCGCTGCGGCGCGTGTCGACTTCATGTTGTACAACTTGATGGCCCTTCTCTGGAGAGTTCCACTCTTCTTGATTGGGTTCGTCATTGGAAAGCGAACATTTGGCGAAATGTTCTGCAAGAAACTGACACCATGCATCCGGCGGGATACATGAATAGCACTGGCAGGTGCAGTCGACTAGTGTGATGAATTCTCAGCCAGTGGTCATCGAAAGCAGGTAAGTCAATCTCGCGTGTGCTGTTTGCATTGCCATTGTCAATTGACTACTGTTGCACATGACCCATTGTCTCTTTCTCTTTCCTCAGATGCAGCCAGTGGTCATCAAACGCAGGTGAGTCAATCTCGTGTGTCCTGTTTGCATTGCCAATGTCAATTGACTACTGTTGCACATAACCCATTGTCTCTTTCTCTTTCCTCAGATGCAGCCAGTGGTCATCAAAAGCAGGTGAGTCAATCTCGTGTGTCCTGTTTGCATTGCCATTGTCAATTGACTACTGTTGCACATAACCCATTGTCTCTTTCTCTTTCCTCAGATGCAGCCAGTGGTCATCAAAAGCAGGTGAGTCAATCTCGTGTGTCCTGTTTGCATTGCCAATGTCAATTGACTACTGTTGCACATAACCATTGTCTCTTTCTCTTTCCTCAGATGCAGCCATGGTCATCAAAAGCAGGTAGTCAATCTCGTGTGTCCTGTTTCATTGCCATGTCAATTGACTACTGTTGCACATAACCCATTGTCTCTTGTCTTATAGGCCTCCACTTGGAGCTGAACTACTGACACCTTTCTCTCTTTGCATGTAGGCTTCTTATAGGCCTCCACTTGGAGAAGAACTACTGACACCTTGCTCTCTTTGCATGTAGGCTTCTTTCATAGGCCTCCACTTGGAGTGACAATTTGCTAACCACTTGTCTCTTCCTACCACAGCCTCACCCTTTCTTCAATCTATTGCTTGCAGCCTCCACTTGGAGTGACAATTTGCTAACCACTTGTCTCTTCCTACCACAGCCTCACCCTTTCTTCAATCTATTGCTTGCAGGCCTCCACTTGGAGTGACAATTTGCTAACCACTTGTCTCTTCCTACCACAGCCTCACCCATTCTTCAATCTATTGCTTGCAGGCCTCCACTTGGAGTGACAATTTGCTAACCACTTGTCTCTTCCTACCACAGCCTCACCCATTCTTCAATCTATTGCTTGCAGGCCACCACTTGGTGACGGCACAACACAACCAACACAAGTCCTGGCCAGGCACCCAAGGTAAGTTCCCAATGGTTTTATTTGTGTCGTGCATTGCTATTGCTCATCCACCCCAACCTCCTCCACTTGGAGTGACTCCTTACTACTAATGCCTTGTTCACTTTTCTTGTAGGCTTCCACTTGGAAATGACACAACACACAAGTCCTGGCCAGGCACAAGGTAAGTTCCAACCTGCTGTGCATTGTATTGCTCGTCCCCCCACCCTCCTCCACTTGGAGTGACTCCTTACTACTAATGCCTTGTTCGCTTTTCTTGTAGGCTTCCACTTGGAAATGACACAACACACACAAGTCCTGGCCAGGCACAAGGTAAGTTCCAACCTGCTGTGCATTGCTATTGCTCGTCCACCCCACCCTCCTCCACTTGGAGTGACTCCTTACTACTAATGCCTTGTTCGCTTTTCTTGTAGGATTCCACTTGGAAATGAGCAACACAGAGGCCGGCCCCCTCCTTTATGGGGGACAAAAGAAACGAAAGATAAGTCAATTTGTGCTGTGCCATTGCCTTCCAACCAACACATGTTCATTCATTCACTAACATTTCTGAAGCCTTTCATTTACTACAGGTTATGTCACGACACGACACAAACACAACACATTGAGTGCAACACTGGCGGGTGCATGCAACTATTCAACTTTCGCGTTGAAGCACTGGTGGGTGTATTCAACTTTTCACGTTTCGCGTTGAAGCTGCACTGGTGGGTGCATTCAACTATTCAACTTTTTGGGTTGAAGCACTGGTGGTGCATTCACTATTCAACTTTCGTGTTGAAGCACTGGTGGGTGTATTCAACTTTTCACGTTTCGCGTTGAAGCTGCACTGGTGGGTGCATTCAACTATTCACTTTTTTGGGTTGAAGCACTGGCGGGGTGCATTCAACTATTCAACTTTCGTGTTGAAGCACTGGTGGGTGTATTCAACTTTTCACGTTTCGCGTTGAAGCTGCACTGGTGGGTGCATTCAACTATTCAACTTTTTTGGGTTGAAGCACTGGTGGGTGCTTCAACTATTCACTTTCGTGTTGAAGCACTGGTGGTGTATTCAACTTTTCACGTTTCGGTTGAAGCTGCACTGGTGGTGCATTCAACTATTCAACTTTTTTGGTTGAAGCACTGTGGGGTGCATTCAACTATTCAACTTTCGTGTTGAAGCACTGTTGGGTGCATTCAACTTGTCACATGGAGCACTGGCGGGTGCCTTCAACTTTTACTTCATGTTGAAGCACTGGTGGGTGTATTCAACTTTCACGTTTCGCGTTGAAGCTGCACTGGTGGGTGCATTCAACTATTCAACTTTTTTGGGTTGAAGCACTGGTGGGGTGCATTCAACTATTCAACTTTTGTGTTGAAGCACTGTTGGGTGCATTCAACTTGTCACATGGAGCACTGGCGGGTGCCTTCAACTTTTACTTCATGTTGAAGCACTGGTGGGTGTATTCAACTTTCACGTTTCGCGTTGAAGCTGCACTGGTGGGTGCATTCAACTATTCAACTTTTTGGGTTGAAGCACTGGTGGGGTGCATTCAACTATTCAACTTTTCGTGTTGAAGCACTGGTGGGTGCATTCAACTTGTCACATGGAGCACTGGCGGGTGCCTTCAACTTTTAACTCAGCGGAGGTGAGTGCAGTTGGTTCAAAGTCTAATCCACACTTGAAGGGTAGCCTGGTTCTGTGGTTCCAGTGCTAAGCGACATCTCTACTTGTAGAGTGTTGTCTGAACGTCCCATGATGCTTGCATCGAAGTTAATACCTGGTGGAAATCTGACTACTAACCTGCCTTATCAATGATGCTACACACAACAATCAACCAAAACCAATACAAACAACAATACACAACACATACAACAACCTTTCGTAGTAATCTAATAGCAACAACAACTAACTCATAGTAAAAAAACTGTAGCAATGCCAGCTTCTTGTCTTGTAGTTCAAAAATATTGTCCACGTCGTGAAACTTGGGTATTGTTACTCATGTTTCCACCTGGGTACGGTACCGGTACGCTGCGCACAAACCAACAGAGTGGTACGAGGGTTTTGGCAGCGACGAATGCTGCTGATGTATGCATGCCATCCGTTGTCGAGGTGGCTGTCGCCCATGTCGTTGCAAGATTTCTACAATCGACTTCTAGCTAGTTTAAAACGCTACTACCGGAATGAGGATGCCGTTTCTCCGGCTCCTTGGCAGCTTCGAGTGCAAGGAGGGATAACCCCTTGAGGTACTCTTTTTGACTTCGTTCAAGTCGCGTACCCTGATTCACTGCCTGCTCTAGCCGGATCGGAACCTTGTGGTGATTCTTTGCCACTCCTTCTTCGTACAGAGTCAGCTTCGACAAGGGCATCATGGAATAGGCTCGCCGGGGATCCTCGGTTCCAAGCCAATGGACCAAGCATGGGGGTGAGAGTATGCGGCTGGTATTTTTGGATCGTTGTTGCCGTTTGAAAAATGCACGGATATCCTTGGTCCATGCGTCTCGAATGGCACCACTCGGTACGCTGAGAGGGGAGAGTATTAGAACCGGCCGCTGACACTTGCCCCAAATCGCAAACCCGAGACGGTTGAAAAGGTCCTTCGCTTCGGATGGCAAGGCATTTAGCATGCTGGGAATATCGTCGAGCTTGTCATAGCCAACGCTTGAATGGTCTTCCAACGTCTCGTGCAAGGTAGCAACTGCACTCTTGGCTTTTCCGTCTGGTTCCCGTTTCTTTGGTGGCAGCGACCCATCCACCACCGCAGCAGCCACCACCACTTCGTTTGACATACTACTCCCAGAATCACCCACCGGCTGCGACTGAATTTGCTTCGCCAGCCGTGGTCTCTTGGTCAGTTTTGGGTTGACAGCCAAAACCGTTCGCTTGTTGCTGGAGGGCGCTGGCATGATTCGATAGGACCATTCATTGACGTGTCCATCTCGGCAGAGACAAACAATGGATTGTCGTTCGTGACAGATCCAAGATTGCACCACGGCACAGTTCAATCGAACTGGGGGCGCCACCGGTGTCGGTGACGCCATGACTCTTCCCGGATGAACCGACAATGACGTCAACGGCAAGCCCGAGCGCAAATCCATGGCCTTGACGACGCCATCCTTGCCTCCCGTGGTAAACAGCATGTTCCCAATGCGTTCAGCCGATTCGACGCTGCCACAGTGCGTCCGTTCTTGGCTGGTGTACATTTGCAACTGCGGAGCACGATTTGTTGTTGTTGTTGTTGAAGAATCATCGAGCACTAGATCCCACGTGAGGATATGCCCTTGACTGGTGCCGACAACCAACAAGTCCTTCTTATGATTGTCACGACTACTACTACTACTAGCAGTCGAGGACGTTGTTGGCCCAATGGTCCCGACAAAGGAGACGAGTGTAATGGCATGATCGACTTGATCCTCTTCCTCGTCGTCTTCCTCCACACTACTACTCGTGACATGAGGTTCGTATTCGAATTCTTGATGGCTCACCACTTCTGCTGCTGGCTGCGACGTGGTCGTTGCTAATTGCCAGAGAGACAATTTGAGTCCTTGTCCTCCCAGACAGAGTACGGCTTGTCCCGGCGCCACCGACGAGGCGGACATGTTGAAAATGGGAAATCGCGGTACATCGTGTGGATTGAGACAAATGGCCTTGGTCAAGCTCAGTTGCGATAGAGAATCGGGGTACAAGTAAACTTGTCCATTGACACAGGCGCTGACCAAGTATTTGTTTGGTACAATGGCCAAACAAGTGACTTCACTGGAATGTTGTTGTTGTTGTTGTTGTTGACACGATGTCGAGAGGACTTGGAATTCATTATTAGTGTCTTGTCGTCGTGTTCCTACCGCCATGACGACCCCCGAAGCAAATGCCAAGAAAAAGGGACTATTCGGCAACAGCGATGCGTTGGGATGCACCACGAGATCCATCACTTGGGATTTCTTGTCATCGTGTACCGACACGAGTCGATCGCGATACCGAGATTTGGAATTGACCAGTGCTTCCCAACAGGGTGCCACAAACAGGCCCGAGTAATCTCCCCAAATGGCAATACCGCCGTCGGGGAGTGGCTGAAATCCAAAGTATCCCACGCAATTGGGTTGTCGTGGTTCGTCGTCAGTATTATTATTATTAGTAGTAGTCAAATCAAAGTCGTGATTGTCGTACAAGATGGCTTCGGCTTCTTCTTCGGGTGGCAATATTTCCACCGTGTTCAAGGGCAGAACTGGAGAATTAGTTGAAGTAGTAGCACGGCAGCAGCAATCACAGCCACCACACCGCGTTTCTCCTCTTTGCTTATTAGTGCGTGCAGGATGACAGCGTCGCTGTTTGTTATTCGAAATGGCCACGCACTGTTTCATGGCATGCAATTCCTTCCAGGCATCTCGTCCACTTAGTTGCAATTTGCCTCCCAACAGAAATGGTTGCGTCTTGCCAAACTCCCGTCGATACAACTCTCCAAAGACGCCATCGGCAGCGTGCGAGCCAAAGACCCAGTGTGACCATTGCCGATTGGTTTGCGCCAAGTTCCTCAAATCTTGGCAGGAGGGTAGAAAGGAACAGACCGTACAGAGCAGTTCTTCACTGAGGGTATCCAATAATGGGTAGCATAATGATTCGGTAGTAGTCGTCATTTTGGTTTGCTTTCGTTATCAACTAACTGCACCACGGTCGAAGGAAGGAATGAATCTATGTTTAGCTGCTGCCTGCTTGGTTCTGGCCAGTGCAGTCATCTTATTTCCGTCGCCCTTTCATCTTGATTTACATGTACCATATTTGATAGTGTTATTAACATTACTCGCTCTGGATAACAACACTCAAGGCAACATTCCTGGATCTGAATAGGAACATACCTTCCCGAGCGCCGGCACATACTGATGGATCCAAACCAAACGACTCAAAGAGTGCAGAGTGAAAAAGACACAGAAGATTTAGCACATGATGTATTTTCAAAGTAAGAACTTCCGCGAGAGAATGTACGTCAGTCTAGCTTTTCCATGTCATCAAGAATAAAGTGGAGGAGATGATGAGGGTTTGCCATCACAAACGTTGCTGGAGATCTCAAAAACTAAATCATCGTAAGAGATAGCATAATAGACAATAATGCCATCCCTGTCGTCTCCTTCCTTTTCTCGCTTGGTGGCAGCCTTGAAGCAGCACAAGAAGACTTGCACGGTCATTGAAAGTTCCTGTGGTGGACTCATCAATGCTTCCATTTTGGCACAGCCGGGAGCCTCCAACGTCTACTACGGAGGATCCGTTGCCTACAATACCCGTCGTGCCAAACCACTGTTGCTAAACAATCCAGAATTGCACAAGACTCTCACGGCTCCACTTACACAAGATAATGCCGAAAGCGAAAAGGAGCGCTACATTCAATCCAAAGTGGCATGGACCCAACAAACCGCCATTGCATTTTGTGAAGGCATGGACACGGATATTTGCATTGCCGAAGGCGGTGCCACCGGACCCACATTTCGTCCGGAAGGATTGGACACGGGGTTTGCCGTCATTGCCATTGCCGCCAAATCATCACAATCGTCAACAAAAATCGTTATTGTCAAACAAAAATTGATCGAATCCACCCATGCAAATCGACAAGTCAATATGAGACTCTTTGCCGATCGAGCGGCCGAATTGGCATTACAGGTAATTACCGGAGGGGAAGAAGAGGAAGCAGCAGCAGAAGACACAAGTCAAGCTACAGTCGACAAACCACATTTTGATAGAGCCACGCATTTGCGAGCCGATCCGGAACAATTGGAGGCATTGGCCCAAGATGCCCACTATGTCATACTCCACCAAAACGCGACGCTCTTTCAAACAATACCTCCTCAAACTCAAGAGGACGACGACGACAATACGGCACACAATCGAAAGCTCCAACTATTATCTCAAACACAAGTCCAACAAGTCATGGACTCGCTCCCCAATGGCGCTCGCAAGGAGACTACCTTTTTGGGACTCCTCAATGATCACCAGGCCATATTTGGTGTGGACATTTTGTCTTGCAATGACGACTCCTCCAAAGTGGAAACCGCCATTCACACGACACTGAATACGGACGAGTGTCACTTTCAAGATACGCGCACCGTGGCTCCCTTGTTGGCATCGTCTTGCGAAAATGAAATTGTCCTGCATGCCACGGCATTGGCGCAATGGCAACGGCGGGCACCGCACTGTACCGTCTGTGGAACCATCACGCGTCTCGAAGATGGCGGGACACGGCGGGTCTGTACCAACACTGATTGTGGCCACCAAAGTTGGCCACGACAAGATCCCAGCATGATTGCCGTTGTGTCCAATCGACAAGGTACCAAAGTATTATTGGGACGTTCCAAACGACATCCTGCCAAAATGCACACGGCATTGGCGGGGTTTGTGGAAGCGGGAGAAACCATGGAACGGGCGGTAGCGCGAGAAGTCTACGAAGAAACGGGAATTCGAGTGGATCTAGATAGTGTTCGATATGTGGCATCGCAACCGTGGCCCTTTCCGCAATCGACCATGATTGGATTTACAGTCGAGGCAGATGAGCAACAAACGTTGAATGTGGATACCAATGAATTGGTGGATGCCCGGTGGTTTGATCGATCCGAAGTGGAATTGGCGTCCACGGTATTAGGACCCGTCATGCAAGTACCAGTGGCCAACGAAGCTCTGGCCGACAACCCGGCCCTCACGCTGCTGATTCCTCCCAAAGGTGTGCTAGCTCGACAGCTGATTGATACGTGGCTGGAGGGGTCGTCCAAGTAAGTTGGTGAGAAAACACAATTATGGTGCGCGAACTATCCGTGCAGGCGCAACCAGAAGTGCCGCAGCTACAAGCTACAGTCGTACTAGTAGGCAGCAAGCTACAACAACCGATATCATGCCTCTAGTAGAGCTAGCAAAGTACTGTAGAGATATTGGTCGGGCTCCTGGTTGTGGCAAGGCCGTACACGGACAGCAATCCTACTCGCCTCCTTGCCACCAAGCTAGGCCACAGCTAGACTACATGTATGTCACAAACAAAAGCCCTACCGGTATTTTAAAAGTGAAACAACTAATCAGCATTTGGACGACGCTCATCCATGCACTGCACAATATCCTCTCTCCCTTGATGCACGACCTTATCGTATGTTTCTTCGTTCCAAGGGCAGCCCTGGGCTACAGCCCATTTCAGAAGATGCCATTGCCCAGACTGAACACAACTAGAACATGTGTCCTCATCCCAAGGACAGCCATGCTGATGAGCCCATTTCACTACATCCAGATGCCCTGCCAAAGCAGCCTCAGCACATGTTTGTGCATCCCAGGGACAGTCATTATTTGCACGAGCCCACTTTAGAATCTCCAATTTCCCATAACCAGCAGCAAACCTACATAAACCTTCATTCTGCAGATAGTCATTTTCCCAAGCCCACTTGAGTACATTCAAATGTCCTCCAAGGACAGCATCATGCCAACCTTGGTTCCACGGGCATCCATTTTCGAGAGCCCACTTGAGCACTTCCACGTGACCAGCTGCTGCGGCCCTGGCACAGGTTCTGTCATCCCAAGGGCATGGTCTCTCACGTTCACGAAGCCAGATGAGTATATTGAGGTGCCCCCCTTTTGCAGCAGCAGCACACGCATCTGCACCGATTGGACAGCCCCCTTCATCGACAAGCCACTTTAGGATTTCGAAATGTCCACCTTTGGCAGCACCAGGACACGCACGTTCATCGATTGGACAGCGCATTCCAACAAGCCACTTGAGGATATCAAAATGTCCACCTTTTGCAGCAGAGGCACAAACATAAGCATTGATGAAACAGCCATTCTCCTCATGCAAATACTTGAGAATGTCAAAATGGCCTCCTCTTGCAGCGTCGCAAGATATATTGTCCCGCCAGGATTCGTTCAACCAGGGACATCCATTCTCATGGGCCCATTTCAGAAGATCGAAATGTCCATTCCTTGCAGCATTGGCGCACGTCTGTTCATCCCAATGAAATCCCTTGCGGTGAGCAAACTGGAGCATTTCCAAATTTCCACGTTTTGCAGCCATGGAACAGGTCGCTGATTCAAAATCTTCAAGTCCCTTCTCGTGGGCCCACTTGAGCACTCTGATGTTCCCAAATTCAGCAATTACTTTGCACACGGCTACCACCCCAGGCAGGCAAAACTCTAGATCGAGCCAATTGTTCACCAATCATGCAGTAGTCGGAATACCAGTGCTCGGCACACGACACATTGTAGAAGGCAGCTCTGAATGAGGTATGTTGCTGGAACATTGTACAATTCTGAAAAAAAGTCTGCCAGTTTCAGCAGTGGACGATCGGGGAGAGGTACACTGTCACAGAATGCCTTGTAGAGTTGATTGAATTGTTTGTTGACGGCTCCCACAAAGGCATAGTGGCCCATCCCGACAAAGGAAAAGATCTTGCAGGGATTTTGGACAATGAGGATTCGGTGGCTTGCCCTATGGCGGCTTTCTGGGCCTTCTTTTTGGCGGCTTGTCGCTCTTGGAATGGTTTGAGTTTCGTGTAGATGGCCTCCAAATGCTGATTGACCTTTTCGTCTTCTCCGTCAAGCTCCAGGCAGATGAGAGTCTCCTCCACCATGGCAAGGCCATCATCAAAGGCGGCGTTGCTGGTGGTCGTAGCCATCGTGCTGTAGATTCGTAGCTTTGTAATTATGAACGTAGTTAGTTGTTCTCTGGTGTGCTGCCAACTGCCAACGTGCACGATGGTGAAGGCCAGTTGCTTGCCTTTTTTTGGGTTTTGACGCGTCTTTTTGAAAATGAGGAAAAAAACAAATATAAAATATCATTTTGAATGTCAAAACAAACTTTTGCACTTGTGAATTGCAGTGCCGGATCCACGGAACAAGCTGGAAGAGGAAATCAACCATTTCGCAGACTGCTTACAAGCCCTTTAAGCCTTCGTATCGCTCCGGCTCTCAGGGATAAAGATTTCTGACTAGGCTTTAATTCATTTGTATGAACCACCTGGTTATCTACTCAGTATGCCATAGTGAAAACGTGAGAACGGAGAAGAAACGGAGATAATTACTGGGAGACACAGTCAGGGCAGAGCACCTTTGCTCCCCGTGCACACGCATCCTTTAGTCGAGCTGTTGTAAGAGTAAAAGGACCATCCTCTATCGTCTTCCTGTCGTCTTCAGCAGTCTCTCTGTCCCCGCTCAGTTAGTTGTTTGTTTGGCTATTGCTTGCTTTATGCGTACAAGATGGAGGAGCCACGAGACGACGAGGTAGCCGAAAGCCCTTCCAATGGCGATGCTACCCCCAACGGATTACCGCTGGGTAATAATAGCAGGAACGGCGACGGCGATAACAAGCAAGAGTCGGCACCCCAGGATAATGGCAGCAGTGCCTTAATGATGAACGGCCGTGGTGGATCCGTGTCATTTGCTAATACTACCAAATTCGATAACGACGACAACAAGACGGAAGAACTGAATGCTCACATTTCCAGAGGATCGGGCGACGAAGACGCCAACGCTCCGGAAGAATCCCACGCCATGACCTCGGGAATACTGGACTCGACTGCGGTCACCAACTCCACGTCGCGTCGTCGAGGTAGCTCGCTCGAATTGCGTCGTCTTCCCGTGAACGTGCTATTAAGACCGGAAGAATCCAAACTCTTTGACGAAGACTTGTCCGTCGATGATGGCATCGATTTTGACGAACAAACGCGGACACGCAGTTGGCTGCAACGGGCCTGTTTGAATTCCAAATTCACCCTCAGGTCCCAAATGATGTTGTCCTTTGGAGTTATTAGTACCTGTACCATCTTCGTGGTGGTGATTGTGTGTATAGCGGTATCCGTTATTTCGGGTGAAGTCGTCAAGGAGAAAGGCCGGGAGACATTTGATGATGTGCTCGCCGTGTTGGAGGGACGAGCGGTACGCTATATTGCCGAAGATTTGTCCCCGAGATTAATGATGGATGATGTCGTTCAAATATTGACAGAAGCGGTGCAAGATCGATTTTATGGGTATCCGGTCTATCTCAATGATTCCATGGTACCTTTCGTGGATACCCTCTCTGGGGAGAGAAAGTACCCCATAAACGGGGAGCCTCTGCCTTTGGATTGGCAGATTGATCCCAATGTAAATGAGGATAATCAAGAAGAACATGTTCAGGGACGGTATCCTTGGTTCGGTGGTGGCAAATTGACTACCACCAACGCTGTGTATTACATGCAAGGAAGCTGCGATGTATCCGTCACAGATCCCACCGACAACACCTTTATGGACAATTGTACACAAGCAAACAATGATATCGAAACGGGCGGTGTCTACTCCCCCACTCCCACAAATCTACACGTTCACAGGGCAGCATCTGATCTGACCCCTCTATTCAAGTCACTCTTCGAGTATCACACAGATCTCAAGGGTGTGGCTGCACTATTTAGCAATGGTGGCGCTGGAGCCACCATTAACTACCCTGGAATTCAACTGCCTGGTGGAACCGAGTATACTTCCATCGGCTGTGACTGGCTCAAGGGACCGAATCCCTTTGATGAATCGAAACCCATCTTGACACCCGAGGAAATTGACCGTTGTGAACGTACCGGATCCATCCGCCGTAAAGATGGTGTCAAGATACCCGCCCGTTTATATTCACCCCTGGACCGAGGCTGGTGCCGCAAATTCGTCCAAAACAAGGGAAAGCTGACCCTGGATGGGCCTTATAAGGATGCTTGGTCCGATAGTTGGTTGCTTACCATTGGCAGAGCTGTCCATGATCGCATGACAAAGAAGTTTATTGGAACCGTACAGGTAGACTTGGTGGTGGGCGCTTCGCTGCAAGATATTTTGATGGACACAACAATCACCAACAATTCGGAGGTCAGCGTGGTTGCATTCGATGACGTGGGCACTGTTGCACTCTCTTCGGCATGGGACATCTCGTCCGCCAAGTATAGTGTTTCCATTTCCGAATTGAACGTCGGAGTCAGTGAAAATGCCTTTCAGGAATTCCGGTCTCTTGTGGATTACGATGACAAGAGCATAATGTGGGACCCGAGCGAAGTGAAGGAGAGATATGAAAGCTACATGGTGAAAGAACAAGGCTTCCAAGTCAAAGCTTATCCAATACCTCCTGTCCCCGAGGAGTACGACCCCGACTACAAACCAAGCTTTTTGGTTGTGTTCTCGGCAAATGAATTCGACGCGTACGCAGCGGCAAGAAATGCCGAGGAGCAGGTTGATTCCAAAGTCATGTCTTTGACCATTTTGTCGATCATTGTTGGGTTAGTAGGACTGGCGGTTGTTTTTATGATGCTCTTTGCTGTGTCCAATTTCATCACACTTCCATTGCGACGCATGAACGAGACGGCCATGAGAATAATTGACAACTTTGGCGGCGGCGGCGAAGACGCCAAGATCGCTCCCGAAGATGCCATTCCTCGTAAACAGTTGGTTCAAACAGAACTCGGTCAGATTGTCAAAGAGTTCAACAAAATGGTGAATAAGTTCAGCGGAGGGGCAATGGCCAAGAATGCCAAGGTTAGCATCACCGAAGTCGACAATCAATTCCAGTTACTCAAGGAGTTCTCTGGCTTGTATGCCAGCCGTGGCGACCCCAGTTTCAAATTCAGTGTAGAAAACGCAAGATCAGAGGTCGCTGAAGACTCAAGAACAGATGACGAGGACGAAGATACGGTACCACCACCAGCACAACGCCTCCATTATGGATCCAACATACTATCGTCCGGAGCCTCGACTGTGAAGACGTCGCTTACCATTTGGACGAGCGAGGGGTCCTCATGGTTTTCCTCACCTTTGTTCCGTTGGATTCTTGGGTTGATCGTTGTCCCCTTACTCTTGTCAACGGTAACAATCTCAACGATTGTGACGGCCAGTGTGTCACAGGAACTCCCTGAAATGATTGACGTTGCTGGGGGTGGACTGGTTAATTTGCAAGTGTCCGCACTTATTTCCTTTGCAAACCTCCGTGCTGGATACGCAGCCAAGCTCAGTGAACAACCAGTTAGGGATACTCACGTGCTGGTACGATATGCGAGCTGGCTATTGTTTGGTGGAATGGACTTTGATACTTTCACAGAGTTGGAAGTCCCCGGAGCGGATGAATGCAAGCATTACGAAGAGGACCATCTCCAATGCCCGTACAATGAGGAGCATTATATTTGTGACTGCGACTGGAGCATGAACAACCCTGACCGCCCATGTACCGTTTATGACTTCGATACTCGACCTTTGCAGAAAAAGTTCTGGGTTTCTAGCTCGCAGGATGTCGAACCAAACGGGGATCGAAGCTCAACAACACATCCTTTAGTTGCAAATGCTTCAAACGAAACTGAGTGGTTTCGGAGTGTCGAGGAAGTCCCAGGGTCGCCAGAGAATCCAATTGACGGAGCTCCCAGTTGGTCGAATTCCACCCCGTCCTATCGCAGGCATGTCACCCCATATGGCAGGCTTCGTGCTGGGGCAGCTTCACCGATAGTTTTGCCAATGTTCAACTATGACGTACACAGAGAGATGATAATCAACAATTATCTTTGTTTCGAAGCGGACGGCATGTATATGGGCTACGCTGGATGCTCCAATGTTGGTCATGCGAGAGCCCCTTTTTTTGAATCAGATGAGATGAATCGAGCAGCCGAAGTGCGACCGGAGTTATGTCCTCTTGGGAAGGTAAATTGCAGGAATCTTCGTTCCACGCCCCTCACGCCGCCAGCGTGATCGTTGCAATCTGCTCACATATCGCTCTTTCCTAAATCTAGCACGGTTATGACCCTCGCTGCCGTGGATGGTATGGGGATGCAAAGAGGGCCTATGACACTATAGGAACTCCGGCACATGTTGCGCCCCCGTACGTTTTCTCTGGCGGGGGCAATATTGCGCAGTCTTGCGTTGGAATAATTGTAGATCCAAACACGAAGGAGTTTGTGGGGGAGACTTTGATCGATTTTGAATCGACAAGGGTCTTTCGAGCATTGAGCTCCAACCGCACGCCACTGGCCACTGGTGGCTTTCATATACTGGTCACGACGATCGCGGATGGAGGTGGCGGGGATGGTGTCATTGGTCCCAATCATACCGTCAAAGATGCAGCGAGACCGATTGGCGAAATCGTGAATGCTCACAACGAAAGCTGTAAAAGCAGCGTCTGTGGCTTTGCGGCAATAGTCAAGTCCATGAAGGCAGGCGAGGCTAATTCCGACGTGTTTACAATGGATGGCCCAGACGGATTACCAGTCACCATGCACATCGCGTACAGCCCCGTTAACGTGAAAATGTTCCGACAAGTAAACGCTTCAGACTTTACGAGAGGCGTCGAGGAGATCATCCACACGCTCTATTCGGTTGCCCTGGTTGAGCCTGAAGCCTCCTTCCTTTTACCATTCGAGCAGGCCGAGGAGGATATCCAACAAGTTATTCGCGTTGGCCTTGCTGTCTTGGCTATTGTGATTGTCATTGCTGCGATTTTGGTTATTATCTTGTCACAACGCATCACCGTTTCCATGACGGAACCCATGCAGTATCTCCTCGAATTGATTCGCCAAATCAACCGGTAAGCAAATTGTTTTGCATATGCCTACCATGGTCGGAGAGCACTTTCACTTACGTTCGTTTCTGCCATGGAACTGCAGCCTGGATGTCGGCGAAGAAGCACCCACCTACGACATGCATGGGGGATACGGGTCCAGCGAAGTATTACACGTTCGTTTGACAATGGAACGGCTCTATAAGATTATTCAGTGTGCCAACGCCGCCTACTTTGCAGGAGAAACTGACCTTGCCTACGAAGTTTTCACAGATGCTCTTCAGCTGTTCACAAGACTTGACAATAAGAAAGCCATGGGAGTGGCAAGCAACAATCTGGGCAACACGATGCTGACTGTATTTAGGACCATGGAAGCGACAGGAGCGAGCACGTCTCTTGGGATGACCAAGCGACAGATCATTGGAAAAGGCATGTCCTATTTCCACCAAGCCATTCAGCTTGGCGAACAATCATACGACATTTTCTACGAAACGGAAGGATGGGGACCGAATTGCCTTCACTTTATGCAACACCTTTCCAACCGTTACTTCAACCGGGCCATGTTCTTACTGACAGTCAAGGACCACCATGAAAAACCAAAGGAGATAGAAGATTTGGGATTGCGGGATCTGCAAATCACAAATGATATGGACGTTGAGATTGTAGATGAGGGCACTCAAGTCGGATGGGGTGTTCGGTCTGCCGCTGCGCACTTTGATGTGAAGCTGTCTAGAATACGAGGCCACAACAGCCTCCTGGAAATGGGCTACCCAGATGACTGGGATGTGGAAGAGATGCTGGTGGATGCCTTCAAAATCCTAAAGTCAGAGATTGCCCTGGAAGAAAATTGCCTGTTTACCGATCTCAGCCCTGCGGGCCGGATGCAACAGATTGAACTCGAGCTGATGAGATACTATTCTGTGAAGAAAGATATTGCGACGGCCGCAAAGGTAGCCATTCGAATGATGGTGGAGGACGAATTCGTAATCCCCGAGGCCCAGAGGAAGGCAGTGGATGTTTTGGAGAGCTGGAGTGCCCATGCGAAGAACAAGATTCCAGCGGAAGTTCAGAGACGGTTGAAGATGTACCAAATATGGTTGGAAGACGCTTGCGATGAACTGGATACTCAGAGATCTTCCAGGGATGCTTTCTCTGTGGACAAGGAGCATCTTTCCTTGCGAGGCTCCATCGTTTCCAAGGTGTCGCGAGCGTCGCAGGGCAATGATTCTGGTTTCTTTGACGAGAACTCGACCAAGGGCGATCGATCCGACAAAATGTCTTTGTACTCGGTTCAATCATTTCGACAAAGCATGCGAGGTGATCTCACGATGGAGGCCTTTTAGCTGTGTAGCTACCACTATGATACCTCCATGCGACACCAAGATCAACAGTGGACATCACTGTTTCTTGTAATCAACAACTTTTTTAGACCATTAATGAATAACTTTTAATTTATAGCGCCGTAAGTACACAACACTGATACAATCACTACTGAGCCATGAACTACAGTAGTGATAGGGGCAGAGCCAGGAGTGCACAAGAGCCATCCAAGGGTTTCCAATCTTCTAGCTAGTTGATTATTTGCCACCACCCTGCGAATTGTTGGCAGTGCGTCGGATCCAGTTGAATTCCTCAATCCGCTCTTCTCGTGTGAAATGATGACTGGGATGATTTCGTGTCCCGAGATACTCCACTCCAATGCTTTGGGTGAACTGTTGAATATGTTTCTCTTGAACGAGGTCCCTCAGACTCTTGCCCAAAACGACAATTTGATGGGGACGGTACGTGGCCAAATAGGGTTTGATGTACTTCTCCCAGGAATGTCGGATAATGGCCCGTTCGGGCCCCCCCTTGATGACGGCCTTGCGAGTGGTGTAGGTTGTTCCTTTTTCCTGGTTGGTTTTGGTAATGGTTTTCGAGGAAAGATAAATGTGCACAGGTGTCAAGTCGACGAGTTTGATGCCACGTTGTTCCATTCGTTCCAAAATGTCAATTTTTGCCTGGAGACGTTCAGCATTGACCTGATGCTCCTTGTTCAATTTTTCCTGGCGACGTGCCTCCTTTTCCTGGAGTCTTGTCTCCTTGTCCTTCTTTTGCTTCTTGACCTTCACAACGGATGCCTTGAGCGCCTCCATATTCTCGTCGGCAGTCGTCTCCTTGTCTCCGCCGTTCATGACCGGGGCCTTGAGCGCCTCCATAGTCTCGTCAGTAATCGTTTCGTTGGCCTGATGGAGTGTTGTCTCCATGTCATAATTTTTGCCCTTCATGACGGGTGCCATGAGAGCCTCCAGATTCTCGTCGGTAATTTCTTGTTGGATTCCCGCGAGAATGTTGAACACTTGCCAAAACTTGTAAGTTCCGGCCGCGGCACTCTTGTCGTTTTGAATACCGGCCAACCAGGCTTCTCCGTAACTGAGCGAATGAATCAAGTTCAAATGCCCCTTTTGGTATTTCGGAGGTACCAAATGTTGATACTGCGGTAGAATGGGTTTTCCCACGAGACTGGGATTAGTGCGGGCATGCGATTCGCTCAAAAAGATCAATCGGGGCCGATCTTGTTCTGCCACTGGTGAAATGACGGGAGATTGTCCCGGCAGGTATTCGCGGTAGTAATAGTCGGCGACTTGAACGGCATTATCTAATCCAACCAGATAAGGATAGCACCGAGGAGGCCAGTGGGCTTTCGCAACCTGGACGATTCCATCCAAAATGGGATCTTCCAGTTTCTTGAGAACGGGAGGAGGACCCAGAACAACCTTCTCGGATGCAGTGTCTATCTTCTTTTTCTTTTGTGGTTTCAAAGTCTTGCGATACTTGTTCAAGGGTAGATTGGCCTTGGTAGCAAGACGCTTATTGATACTGAGGCGAGGCTCCTTCATCTTCTTCTGGACTTTCAAATACTAGTAGTCTAGAAGAATAATGAGGGTATCTGGCACCGAGACTGCAACGAGGGTACTGTATCTTTCAGGTTTTCCGGAGAATGGGAGACACAAGCAAGGCTGGACGAAGGTGTCAAAATTCAAAGGATGGATTGCCGTTTGGAGGCACGTTAGATATCTTCCATCAATCGCTAACCCTAAGGAGATTAAGATTGGAGGGAAATTCAAAAAACTTGACACCGACAGACGGCACTCGGAAGCCGGCTCTCGCAGGCAATGGATCCACAATCACAAAACTGGACCTGCATCCATCTACCAACTTCCTCCCCTTCCCTATTCTAGCTAGAGCCAGCTATCACCCCAAACAACTCTCTTCTCTTCTTGATCTTTAGTGTTTGACTATCATGGCGACACGTCGTTCTACCCGTGATCGCAAACCTGCGCCGTCCATCTATGATGACTTCAAAGAGGAGCTCAAGCGCACGCCTCGAAAGACGCCAAGGTAAGGATTCTTGTCATTGTCAGTCATGATGGAATATATATATAGCTGTAGTTGTGGGTGGCGTGGTGGTATTTTCTTGGCGTTGTCTTGGAAGTCATCCTGCTAATGGCTCCGCAATCTCCTAATTTTCTTCTAATTTTTCTGTATATTTTTTGTATTCATTTTCTTATGGCATTTTCAGAAAGAGCAATGACGACCATGACAGCGAGGACGAAGACGACGACCATTCGGGTTCGGACCACACCAGCCCCAATAACAACCACAACAACACTCATGCAAACAGTGACACGGAAACCAAAGAAGACACTACCAGCAGCGACGAAGAATCGGAAGCTTCGGTGGCGCCCAAGAAAAAGCGCCAAAAATCTCCAAAACGCGTCACGGTCCAATTCAAATCCAATACGAAAAAGCGCACGACAAAAAAGAAACAACAACAACCTCCCGCAGCACCAAAGAGCAAGACCCGAGCTTTGGAAGCTTTGCGCAAACGGACACTCCAAAAAGAAGAAACACCCGACAATTCCTTGACGGCTGCCATTTTGATGGCCGTCACTCCAGCTGCCAAAAAGGGCAAAAAGAATACAGTGCCAGATGACGATACGCCCACTATTCCACCCACACGCTATCCCGATGCTTTTGCACCCACCATTTACACGCCCGTGTTGGAACCCATTGCGCAAAGTGTCATTGCTGTCTACAAACAAGACGCCAACAAGGCCCACATTTCTTTACTCAATTTGGTATTTCGGACGGTCGGAGGCGCCTACACTACTCTTCTCCAAGAGGACCAAATATTGGAAGACATGGACGACGAAACATGGGAACAAGTTGTCACTAGTATTGTCGATGACATGCGCCGCACGCCACCCGATGCCATTTTATTTTCCGCCAACCCCCAAGGCGCTCTCTTGGAATATGCCAAGAAACACAATGCCGCGCAAGAAGAATTCCGACGCATTCTCGATCATTTCTGGTATCTCCTTGGGACACTCGCTTTGACGAGTGTCCATTCCGCCAATAACAATACAGAGTCGTTTGACATTGAAATGGTCCGCGATTTGGCCCAACGATTGATGGAATTGATTACCGTCGGACAACCCGATTTGCGCGCGGCCGCATCGGTGGCGGCGTTGCAATTGGCATGGGCGTGTTGCGATGGGACACTCGCGTTGCATTCGCGATTGGCCACGGCACAGCGGCAATGCAAAGCGGCCAAAATGGCACGCACAGCCAAGAAAGAACAGGCATTGCAGCAAGTGGTGGAATCGATTCAACGATCGCTGTCCGATCTCGAAGAGGGTGTTCTACAATCGATTGTGCAATGCATTTTTATGCGACGCTACCGCGATTCCGATCCGCAAATTCGAGCGTCTTGTCTCAAGGCCATGCGACAAATGTCATTGGTACGACCGGATCTGTTCTTGACGGATACGTATCTCAAGTATTACGGATGGATGATGTCCGACAAGGAAGCGGTAGTGCGGGTGGCGGCATTGGAAGGACTGTTGGCACCGTATGTGCGGGCCGAAGAGCAGGCGGAAATGAGCGGTAGTATCCACCCCCTACAAGTCATTCATCTCGGCAGTATGGACAAGGTCGTGGAAAAGTTTCTCCACAACATTTCCGATCGGGTCATTGATCTGTCGACGGATGTGCAGGAACAAGCTGTGCGGTTGCTCTTGGCGTTGATGCGAAATGGAGTCTTGGATGATGTCGATGACCTCGAAGTTTGGAACAAAATCAATCTTCGGGCTCTGGCGCCGGATACGTCTCCGGCGGTGCGACGAGATGCCTTGTACTTTGTCTTGGAGCAATTGGAAGCCTTCGACACCAACTCGCCGCTGCCCGATAATCTGTCCGTTCGTCGACGATCCCTACAGATTGATTCCCTGGCCGCTTGGGTGGGACATGCCCTGTCGGATGGGAATGTGCCATTGGATAACATGCGCGTCCACTTGACGGATTATATTGTCCAATCTCTCAAGGACATGCCGCGGCATGCCCATTTGACGACCGACTGGGGAGCCATGTTGAATGCCATTCAGCACGATACAGAGGCCGCTCATCAGCAATCGCAGCCACACCGGTCCACCATTGCCAAACAGCGTGTCTTGCTTCACATGTTGGTATGCTGTGCCTCGTTGGCGTTTGAGGATGAAATCGATGGAGGCGACGGCAACGACGACGAGGAACGACTGCTGGCGCTCGAGGACACGACCTTTGTCAAGGCACAGAAACAAAAGCTGCAGTCCTCCGCCACCCCAGGAACAGGAGCAGCCAGCCACGGGGGGAGCAAAAAGAAGACCAAGAAAAAGTCCTCGTCGAGCCACGAGAGTCTAACAGTTGGCCTGCTCAAGGCTCTTCCCCAGTTGCTGCTGGCTTTCAAGGGAGATATCACCATGATGCGGAGTTTGACTCGGCTGCCAAAGTTTCTCAGTGAGTCCAGTTCCAGTCTCTGTTGTTTGTATTTTTTCTCTTGTGGATGTTGTCTAACATCTTCTTGTCTTGTCATTTGCTTTACACATCTCATCGATTGCAGTCATCTCAGTGATCACTCTTCCCCAACGCAAAGACGACGTCCAGACCTTGACGAATCTGCTCGCTGAGATATTCATGGAAGCGACAGACACGACCGTCCTCCAAAACATTTGTATGGCGCTGACGTTCCTTGCCAGAGGCAACCACTCGCGTAATCAAGAAGCTTATTTGAAGATTCGAGAAGTCGCCAGAGACGTCCAAACTCGACTGTTCCAGCTCATTGAAGGTGGAAAAAGTGCTCCCAAGAAGGAGGATGACGATGACGACAAAGAGAACCAAGAAAATGACGATGCCAGCAATCGAGAAGATGATGCCTCAAGTACCGCGCGTCGGCCCCGGTCATCCCGGGCGTCTCGATCGGATCTATCCTCGCAGCAGAGTGGAGATTCATCGCCTGCTTCCCAGTCCGGCAGATCCACGGTGACCGGCCAGACATCATCTCGCCGAAGCGAAGCAGGCAACGAGGACGATCGTGAGATGGACCGTCAATATTCCATTGCTTTGTGTCTGTGTCGTCTCCGCGTCCTTTCCAAGAAATGGTACCTCGGGGACCTGTTGGCCCAGGAAACGGCTCCAGGCCAGGACGAGTCGACCACAATTGTGGAAATGGATCCCTGTGTCCATCTCTGTTCCACTATTGCCTCCAACATCGCAAAGGAGTTGAACTTGCGTGAAATCATACTCGATGAAGCCGACGATGATAGTGACGGAAGCAACAGACTGGACATCCCCGAGTTCTGGCTGGAAGCCGATCCTCGTATCCACAAGACTGTTGCCCAATCGATCCGGGAAGGTCTGTATGTGATTTTGTCTCAGACCGCGTGGCGATTCCACAACGCCATCAACAAGGAAGAGTCCGCGAGAGACGTTCGTACGCGCAAGGCCCGAGCTGAAGATGGTGGCAGCGACGACGACGAAAAGAGCGGAGACGACAACATGGAAGTGGACGATGAGACGGCGGAGGAGCTGGAAATGGAAGCAAAAATGATTGTTCGAATGCGTGATGGTTTGGGTAAACTTTTGGGGAAGTGCTTTGATCAATTCCTCGATGAGGCAGCGAAAGAGGAAGGGCCCATGAAGGCTCATTTCGCGTTTGCAACCAACATCCAGCTCAGCGCCGGACATGTGGCTGGTGACTTGAGAACCCTTTTCCCACGGGGTTTGGCCGAGGCTGCTTCGCCACTTCTTCGATCATGTTCGCTTGCTGATGACAGCCATCTGGTGGGTGGCTGTGTCCGTTTCTTCCGGTCAAAGGAAGAGTGTTTGGATTCCCCCGTCATGGGCAAGATTATGAAAGACTCGCTGCTGCTGCCTCTTTCTCGTGGCCTCTGCTCTGCGTGGGTCGGTGGGAACAGACGGGAAGCTGGCACTGCTCTGGCTCATGTTGCCCACCCTTCCGCGGAAGTCACCAAGGCGGTTGCAGCACTATCGAAAGTACTCAAGAAGGTGGATCCTGTGCGCTTGTTGGAGTCTCACATGGCCTCTCTTCGCCAGACCTTTTCTGACTGGATGGACAGCGAACCAGAAGAACCCGAGAGCGACCTCCCAACGGAACAAGAAATGGACGAGTTTGCGGCGGCAGAAGAGGAACACGAAGAGGCGGTGAGTGGCTGTCGATGTGGCTGTGTGTGCTTGGTGATGGCGTTTCTGACATTGTCTTTTATTTGCGAATGGACAGTTCAAGCAGCTGGAACTCAAGGCCTCCCGTTTGGCAGCTTCGCTGGGAGTGGGGAAGCTTCGCGACGAAAAAATGTACCCGGCACTGTTTGGTTTTGTGCGGGAAGGAATGCGTTATGCATTCGGCAGCCCTGGTGGAGACGACGAGGATGAGAATGTTGGGAGTCGGTTGGCCTTTCTTCGCATTGTGATGAAGTAAGCAGCTGATGTCTGTGTCGTTTGGTGGTTAGTGCCTCGATTGGTTTCTCACATGCGTGCCATTGCTAATTGCTCAGGTATCTCACTTGGATCAAGCAGAAGAAGCAAAAAGTTCAGACTCTGCGCCAGTTCTTCGAGGAAAAGGAGTCAGAGCTCCGAGCCCACCCAGATTTTGGGGAGATTCGCGAAGAAGACGTAGAGGCAATTGGCTTGGTGCGGAAGAAACTTGGGTTGGACCCAGAGAAGCCCACAAAGAAACGCAAACGCCGATCGTCGGCTTCAACCCTTGACTTGGACGATGACGGAGACTCGTTGTTGGGTACGCCTGGATCTGGATCTCGCCCACGTGTTTCATATGCTGGCAGTGTGTTGACCTTCCGGTCCAGCAACTTGTCACCGATCGACGAAGTTGCCTCTTCCGGTGACGATGATGACAACCTTCCAATTGGAGAACTCAAGAAGCGCAAGACCACATCGTCGCCGGGGGCCATCCTGGAGGAAGGGAGCGACGAAGAAATGGAGGACGATCGTGTTCCGATCCAAGATTTGAAGAAGCGGTTGACCTCTCCCATGTCGCAGGCAACTATTCAAGAGGGAGATGATGAAGAGGGGGAATCCACGCAAGGTTCTGCCGCTTCTTCGGTGCCATTGCAGACACAGTAGGTCTAGTCGCGATTGTAGAAAGAGACTGGGGAATTTAGTAAACGAGACTACTGATTACTGATCTACTGCTATGTATTATTAAATTTGTGCCCGCCTTGACTGGCTCGCTGGGTAGCTAGAAACCGCATGCAATCGTGGTGGCTCAGGAACACAGCCACCGCACTAGTCTAAGATACCTATACCGCAGCATTCCCAGCCAGTACAGTAGTATGCTATCTAGCGGAACGACTGCCACCAACACCGTTCCCAAAGAGGATCCGCACCTGTTTCAAAGCGCGGATCCGCCGACTGATGACCAGGATCAAAACAATGTGCTCCATACCGATCTGTTTCAGAATCCCACCGTTTTGTCGTGGTCGGAGGTCCATAGGAAGGGCTGGCTCCAGGGTTCGATCCTCCAGCTGGTGCTTCCGCTGGGCTCCTCAGGGGTGTTCCATAATACATTGGTGGTGGTATGTCATCAGGGTTTGGTGAGATCTGCTGACTATCTGCACTGCACCTCGTCGTACCATAATGCATCGGTGGTGTCATGGCATCAGGGTTTGGTGGGAGGTGACTACTATCTGCACTCCACCGCGTCGTTCCATAATGCATTGGTGGTGTCATAACATCAGGGTTGGGTGGGATCTGACTATCTGCTCTCCACTGCGTCGTTCCATAAGACATTGGCGGCGGCAAATTATGTCCATATGGGTTGGCTGGAGAATAGCTCGCTAGTGTTCCTGCACTGGCTGTTTCATACACCGGTGGTGGCGATGGCAACCTGTGTCCAAATGGATTACCTGTCGGTGCTGCTATCGGAGTATCATCCACTTGTGGCGGATCTGATCTTGCAGAATTCCTCAGGCTGGTTTCAGCTTGCAGTGGCACGGACGGTTGTCTCCGTGTGCTTTCTTCAGCGGCTTTTGCTGCGTTATCAGCCGTGACATTCGGAAAATGTGCTTCCCTGTTCGGCGTCGCTGCGTAATGAACTGGCGGTCCTGCTTTTGTGTTTTCATTTGGTGTCTCTACTGAAGCATCCATTGCAACCCGCTGCTTGATCGCATCTGCTGCCCTCTTGAGGACTATATTCAGAACGCTGACCAATGCTGGCTCTGGCGTGACAATGTTCCGCAATGAGGCATCAGCCGAGTTGGATCTAGGAGACACGGGCAAAGGGCTCTGATGACTGAGTACGTATGGTTTGTAAACTGGCACGTTGGTACCGGATAGGACACTCAAATCCTTCGTTTCACCAAGTTCCTCGCCCTTCTCAATCACATGCTTCAAGTCTTCCAAGGAAAGTTGATTGCAATGATCTGGTGGCAGGTTGAACCCGTTCGATGGCAGGCGTCTCAAAAAAAAGGTGTACAGCAAATCGCCCATGGGAGCCTCTCTTGGGGTTTCACTTTCCCCTGACTCGTTGATGCGCTGGCAGTCATAGACTTCATACATGCCATCATAGCGGTACCATTGCTTTTTCACTTTCTGGTTTCGAAAGGCACCATACTGGCTCTGCAGTGACGACGTTCTGAAGACTCGCACAGGGTAGCGATTACAGAAGCTCTGGAACAAACTTCCACCCCCTTGCCACCCGTTGGATGAATAACTGATCTCCTCAAGAAAATCGTATTCATGAAGCTCCATGCTTTGGCGGCTCACCACAATCGCATTGCAGCCGTAAGACTTGGAACCACTTACACCACCCTGGATAGAACTGAACGCCCTGCTCTTCAAGAGGTATGTGCGATCATACACGGCACCCTCGGTTACGAAATCTCTATAAGGACCAAATGCGTATTTTTGCTCAGGTGTGAGTGGTAGTTTGCCTTCCATAGTCTTGGCCCTGAATCCGTTGTCAATTGACGTCTTGATCTTATCTCCATGTCGAAAGATCAAAGCTATCCTTCGAGCTTGAGGTTTCCCTTTGGTAGAAGCTTGAGGCAGAGCGTGGACGTAGTTCTCTTGCATTTTTCCTGCGAGGCAGAAGAGCGAACAACACTGAGCTAAGAACAACAAGGGAACCGGCATGAACTGTGCACTAAACCTACCATCCATTGAATAAGAATCTCCTGCGGAACAGTATATTTTCAGTTCGTAATCCCCATCGGCACATTCTTTCTTCTTGCGTCCCTTGGGCACGATATGTAGATACCGGATCTGTTCACATTGTGCAACAGTGCAGAAAATCGTTTGTTCTCCTTGCGTGTCGTCTGCATGATATCCAATCTTATCTTTGCCATTCCGATATGCCAGAACATCGCAACCTATGTTGAAGCCTTGCAGACCACAGACAACCGCTGCTTGTTGTGACAAATCATGCATTGCGGGATACTCCGAGATGTGTTCAAACGCCTTCATCTGGACCCCATGATACTTGTAAGAAGACGCCTCCTCTGTCATGCGCCCATTCACAAGATCATCGTCATTGCATGACAGCAGCGAATGTAGCCGAGGTTCATCACCATTCTGAATCTGGTACTGACGGAAGACTCCACATGCGGAGTCGTCAGATCCACCCACTGCTTCGCTTTCGATGGCCTGACATTGACCGGAACTTATAAAATTGGGATAGAGTATGAGCTCCCCTCCCAACGGAAGTTGGATTTTGTATCCCTTTTTGCCACCAGGTAGCTGCTCGGATTGGTCAAGGATCTCCGATGATGTCATCCTTTTCTGAACAGTGAACTGCCTTGTCTCCTTGTTCCAAGTGGACAGCTCCATCATCACTGGTCCAGTACGGCGAGGAGATGGTTTGGAACCAACAGCTGGCGACTGTTGGGGTATCGTCTTTTGCCGTTTCGCAGCAGGCATTTTGATACCAACATCGGTGGGACTGTTGATGGAAGGGCTTCGAGCTACCTTGAGTTTCTTTTCCTCCTTAGCGCCCTCAGTGGTTGCGGTAGATGGTTCTCTGGCTGGCGAATTCGAGTCCTCTGTTCCACGAGACGAATTCTCCAAGCTGAATAATTTCATTTTGTTGATCGGGATCCTCATGAGCCAACCGTTGCCCTTGTCTTTTCCATATGTGTCGGCGTATTGCTTGGCATCCGCCAGCATCTGCTCAAAGTCGGCAGTGTGGATATCCACGCAAACTCCTTTGTAAAAGACAACATCATCAGGCCAATGGTGGTATCCAATCCCCTCTCCAGAGGCCAGTTTTTTCACTTGTTTCATGACGTTTCTCACACTCGCAGGTGAAAATTTTGTCTGGAGCAACCAGCCTTGCATGTCGTCGAGCCAAGAACTGCCTTGGGTCTGATTGATTTTTGGGGGAGGAAGAGGAGAACTCTCAACTTCCGTCTTTTTGGTCTGGGTCATCTTCTTAGTATCCTCTTTGTTCTGCTTCTTCTTAGATGGACGCTTGGGGGATTCGCTTCTGGTAACGTGCGGGGACACGGTTTCTTCGCTACGAGGCAGTTCATTTTCTGTGGCACCAGGTTGTTGAAGTGGGATCTGTTCTGCATTCACAAGAGTTGCATCCACAATTTCTGGCACCACATGGCTGATATCCTGGATATCTTTCTTCTGCTGAGGGTGTTCTCCTCCACCATCAACAGCTTGGGGCCTCTGCTTGGTATTCTCTTTGTTCTGCTTCTTCATTGGACGCTTGGGGGATTTGCTTCTGGTGAAGTGCCGAGAAGGGGTTTCTAAATTTCGTTTGCGAGGCAGCTCATTTTCTGTGGCAGTAGGTTGTTGAAGTGGGGTCTGTTCTGCATCCACAACAGTTGCATCCACAATTTCTGGCACAGCACTGCTAATATCCTGGGGATCTTTCTTCTGATGATGGCGGTTGCCCCCACCATCAACAGCTTGGGACATCTTCTTGGTATTTGCTTTGTTCTGCTTCTCCAATGGTCGCTTGGGGGATTTGCTTCTGGTAAAATGCGGAGAAGTGGTTTCTAAATTTTGTTTGCAAGGCAGCTCATTTTCTTCGGCAGTGGGTTGTTGTACTGGGGTCTGTTTTGAACTGGTAATGGCTGCATCCACAATTTCTGGAACCATATCACTGATATCCTGGGGATCATTCTTCTGCTGAGGGTGTTCTCCCCCACCATCAACAGCTTGGGTTGTCTTCTTTGCAGTCTCTTTGTTCTGCTTCTTCAATGGGCGCTTGGAGGATTTGCTTCTGGTGAAGTGCGGAGAAGTGGTTTCTAAATTTCGTTTGCGAGGCAGCTCATTTTCTGTGGCAGTAGGTTGTTCCACTGGGGTCTGTTCTGCATTGGTAACCGTCGCATCCACAATTTCTGGAGCCATATCACTGATATCCTGGATATCTTTCTTCTGCTGAGGGTGTTCTCCCCCACCATCAACAGCTTGGGGCCTCTTCTTGGTATTCTCTTTGTTCTGCTTCTTCAATGGACGCTTGGGGGATTTGCTTCTGGTAAAGTATGGGGAGGAGGTTTCTACATCTTGTTTGCAAGGCAGCTCATTTTCTGTGGCACTGGGTCGTCGCATTGGGGATTCTTCAGAGGGGCCTGAAGGCACATCTTGGTCCATTGTCTGCTCTGCATCGGGAACAATTGCATCCAGATTTTCTGGTACCATGTGGCTAATCTGCTCAGGATGTTCTCCCCAGCCGTCAACGGTTTGGATATCCTTACTTCCCTGCGACGACAAGCTGGTGTCAGTGGTTCTATCAGTAGTAGAATGTGGCAGTGAAGAACCAGCTACGGGTACGCTGGAAGAGGTAGCAACTTCCTGGATGGAGAAGAAGTTGCGTACAGCTTCATCGCTGTTCTCATCAACATTCGGTACCTCGCCACTGCGGTGCGGCATGTCTTGCCCATTTTCGAGTTCCTTGCTAGAGGATGTCATGGTTTCTCTCCCCTCTCAGCTCAACACTATTTGCAGCTTGAGATTAAACAGTGCGATGGCTGCAGCAGTGGACCTCCTCAACACTTCTTGAACACTCGCCAAGCTCAAAATGGTGTGTTTTGCGCCATGGCGGCAGCCGCTAAGCCAGCCGATTGATTGAAATGGTTCGCGCTGGCTTTGAGGGAACACAAACCTCAACTGAGCATCCGGCCCATTTGAATTGCATTGGGCAAGCCACTGAACTACGTCTTGGACTCAATGGTGGAGAAAACAAATACTAAATAGATATGTTAAGGAGCGAGGGGGGGATTTCAGGACATCCAGACGTCCATGTCGAGCAGCAAGTTCACAAGTCGAACAGCCCTTTGCACAAACTCACTTCAACAATTCCAATAATTGTCCTCCTCCAGCAGCATGGGCACACCAAGAGTTATTCCACTGGCAACCCATCTCATGGACTGCCATTTGCACTGAGTATGTCAGATACCTATTTTCAGCAGCTTTCCATCTTGTATGCTTATCCCATGGGCAACTAACCAAAAAGCCATTTCAGGAATTTCCAGATGCCCATTTCCCACAGGCGTCCAACCTGTATCCACATCCCACAAGCAACTCTTTCCTCTACTCTACCGGTACCTACCGATAGCTAGCTACTGGCAGCCCCAAAATACCCGTATGACTACCGTAAGAGGTTGGCATTGGCTTTTTGGTTGGGTGGCTCTCGGCTTTGCCGTTAGAAATCTTCCACACACCGATTTACACCGATGTGGCGGATCAAGAGCGTATCTAGCTCTGTGAGGCAATCACCATGCATAACTTTAGCAAATCCAAACCTTGTGTGTATCTGGCGTAAACGGGTGATTAAAAAGGTCTTGTACTGGTACCATAATCACTACATGCACGATGTATAAACATTCACACTCTATTCTTTATGCCATAACTGTTTCCTTGTTTGTTTGATTTGCGCAGGTCTGCTGCACATGTTAGGTACTGTACGGTATCTTGTCCGATGGAGTTTCCTGGTACCTTCAAAAGAAGCTTCTCTCGTTGCCACTGGCGGATGGTTCGTTTCCATACACTCGCATCAAACGACTAAATTTCTTTGCAATGGTTGGATTTCGTATCCGACTACCGGAATCATCCAACGACCTTGTTCGGTTTCGTGGGGCTGGAGATTTGGACGCTGATCTCCGACCTCTGGTGTCGCTGGACAAACCTAGATTGCGATCGCTTTCCGGATGGTCGACGGCAGAAGCCAAACTGGTCTTCTTCGACGTAGGAGTTAGGGAAGGGGTTTTCCTAGCGTTTTTCCCTCGTTTCTTCAAAAAGTTGGCAAAAGCACGGCGACCGCGGGAGGGAGTGGATTCAGGTGCTTTGGCTACAGGAGGAGGGGGAGTCTCTTGAATGCCCGAAACATCAAGTACGTCGCCACCAAATCTAGGATGCTGTGGGTTGTGCGTCTTGGGTGGTTCATCGAACGGGACGGGAACGTCCGCGAATGCATCAGCCACATCATTTGGCAACTCGGGTGGTGGAGATCGCACCATCGTGACTGGGTTTGTGTCCTCGTCAACGAGAGTTGCAACCACCTTTGGATTTGGCTTGCTCTTAGCGGAAGAAAAAAACGTGTTCGAAGGAACGGCGACCCAACTGTTGTCGGCGTAGCTATGTGTCATTCGCTCGTCACTCGGATGGAGATCGGACCCATAGACAGGAGTCACTTCAAAGCCTTTGTCTTGCACATGATCAAGGTAGGGTGGTTCGATGGTCGAGACATCCTTCGGGTGAGACGCAAAGAGTTGTTGAGGACCGAGAGCAGCCACGAACTTCTGTTCATCTTCTATGCTTGCCCGCTGCTCATGTTCGCGCGCGATAGAGCTCTGTGAAACTTCATTCGGTTGCCTTGCTGAACGGCTTGCTTCCTCTCCATCTTGTTTCTTGTCATGAGGATCTGCAACTTGACCGCTCGTGTCCTCTGCGACAAGTTGATTTTGCCGTTGATGCTGTTGCCTGGCCGCCCTTCGAAGATCGCGTGCAGGTGACGGCTGAGAAATGCATTCCGCCTCCACACCGAGAGCATTGTCCATGCTGGTGTCACGAAAGTCAATCTTCAGCCTCGTGCCAGAATTCCAAGGGTGCGACCTCTTGGAATGTCTCGACACTGCGGAAGACGTTGTTGCAGTCGAAACATTGGCAGGGTTCACCTCACCTCCGGCACTATTGCCGCCCGTACTTTTCTGGCTTGACGGCCCGTGCTTTCCACTGACCTCCGACCTGGAGCTACCGGCTTTTGAATTGGGAGCGCTCATTTCATCCCATGCCTGTATCTTCCTCGCCAGTTCGTCGCCTGTCAGATGCTGCGTGTCTCCGAGCTCCTCGAGCGTTTTGAGAAACTGTTCGTGCTCTTGCTGCTTCTTTCGGTAAATAAACTGATCGAGCTTGCGCTCTTTACCGCCACTTTCCATTGCATATCGTGGCATATCCACATCATCGCCGCCTCCAAATGGATTTCCACCAGACCCATGCTTTAGATCATCTGATTGCATGGGTGACTTTGTCGTCTCCTTTGCCTTGGACTCATGAGAGGCATTACCTGATTTCTTGTCGCTGTCAGTGCGGCTGTACTCCATGGAAGGAAAGTCTAACATTTCCTCCTCTAGCGGGCCCGTTGGCTTGTCTTGGGCTGGGACGGCATTTGAGTTGGGCTGCTTTCGTTCCTGCGGGGGTTCCAGGTTTTGTGGTTCGGCAGCACAGGGCGTCGCCATTTCGTCATGCGGGTGATCCTCCACTTTTAGCCTACTAGTACCGGTACTTTCCGCTTGTAGTTCAGTTGCACTCTTGAGTTTGTCTTGGTGAACCTTCTTGTTGGAGCTTTTCAGTAGATTCTCCGTAAACGCCCGCGTCGCATTCACGTTGCTTCCGCTGTCACTGGCGACATTAATTGTCATTGGGGGGAGATGACTGGTCGGGTGGTTGACGTGCCCTTGCTGGTCTTCGCCGTTGCGATATCCCTTCCTAGCTGCTTGTCGTTGATGGTGACGCTGCACCAACTCAAGTCCTGAAACCGGCGGAGTTGGAGCGCTGTACCCCTGGAGACCATTAGGTCGTGGACGCCGATACAAAGATGTCGAAATGCCAGTTGGAGGAGGCATGTCATGAATCTGTTCATGCGTTGGCATGGCACTTCGGTAGGTTGGGTTTGTGATGGACGAGACGCTCGTTGCATCGTCTGACGAATCTTCAAGATCATCGTGCCCTTGCCCAGGGTTCTCTGGCATGGCAGGACCCTCCATTTGCTGGTATTGAAATTGCGTTTGATGCTGGTGTGGAACAGGCTGCTGCCCTGAAAACGCTTGATGTTGATGCAATGGATATTGTTGGGGCGGAGAGTCGGCTGGCTGCGGCGGGAGCCGCTGATACTGCAGTGGCATTCCTTCTACATTGGCGCCAATACGTTGGATTGGATCACCCGAACCGTTACTTCGACTCTCTGCCCGCAGAATAGAGTCAATCTGTGCCAATGCAGCATGGGGATCATCACGTCTCACGGCACTAAGCTTCGCCATCAACTTTGCAATGTAGTCTTGGCCTTCTTGCGGCGATGCATCTTGGAAGGGAGGAGGTGGGTAAGATTGTTGTAGGGAACTCTGTTGATGCTGTGGTTGCTCAAGTTGTGGTTGTTGCTTCTGGGAAACCTGATGATTCATTGGTGGTGCACGCTCCTGTATCGGGATTTGCCGAGATCGCTGTGGTGAGATCGAATTGACTCTGGAATGTGTCTGTTGATACTCATTGGGAGCAACCGGGGTAACCGCGGGTTCTGGCTCTTGCTGACTCGGACGAGGCTGCGGTGTGGGATAATCGGGACGACTAGGTGCTGCCGACGATGAATTCAATCGTTGAGAAGATATATTCAAGGAGGAGGATGCACTTCGAGGCCTCGGCGGTGTTCCGGGATTGGTCGGGGCCGCTCCTGGTGGTGGCTGCTGCTGTGCAAATTCCGGACGGGGTCGTGGTGGAGTGTTGTTTCGGTGTGCTGCCATGGCCGCTTGGAAGAACTTGGATTTGAATCCTCCCACGTTACTATTCGTAGAAGAGGCAGCCGTTGTCGTGGCTGGCATGTTCCGTACTACACCACCGGTCGAGTGCCGATGTTGCCGGGGCGACAACGACCTCCCTTCGCGATGACTTTCCGAAGCGGAATGGTCCAATGACAAATTTAACTTTTCATCTTCTGACCACAATCGTCGTTTCATTTCCTGCACTCGACTAGGAGAGTCTGGCATGCTATGCCTATGTTGTGGCGGGTTGGTCACAACTGGAGTATCTTCTTGTGGTTGCTCCTGTCGTTCAGGCTGTTGAGAATTGTAGGCCGGTTGCTGCAATGGCTTCCGTCTTCGAACAGGCGGCAAGCTGGTACTGTGCCTGCTTTCGTCGACACCACCTTCTGTATCCGACGTGATGGGTTCATTGTTATTATTTGTTGGTCCACGGCGCACCGAAGCTGGGACATAATGATGATGGTGTTGCTGCGACTCATTATGGTTGGGAGTGGACGGTGACGACGATCTTGTTGTGGAAGGCTGCTGCCCTCCTGCTGAGTTCCTTCCAGCACTGCTAATAGGAGTGGTGGTTGATTTTTCATACCGTTCCCTCATGTCTTGCTGTAGCTGATGTACACTGTACCGTTTATCGCCGGATTGTGGTGTATTCTCTTTTCGTCCTTCACTACTGTACACGGATCTGGATGGCTGTGGCGGGCCCTCCTGATGGCTGCTACTTTCGTCTTCTACGGCGGGTTCTGGATCGGGATACAGGTGATTGTTTTGACTCAGTAATCGAATCCGTTGGGAAACCGACATGGGGGTGCTGTTGCTGCCCGGTGTTCGTGGTTGTTGGGATGTAAAGGGATTTCGATTGGCTTTTGTAGGAGTGGTTAGAGAAGCGTTGTTATTGTTGTTGGAGGTTGTTGGATATCTAGAAGAGGCGGCAGCATAAGCATCCCGGGACGGAGGTATCAATGGTTGTTGTGATTGTTCTTCCAAGGATGTGTTGACTCTAGGCGCGAACTTTCTGTTGTGATCCGGTGTGGTGCTGGGAGTGGCACTGGACGAATAGTGATCAGAGAGTGTGTAGTAGGAGTGGTGACTAAAGGACGTCCCCCCTGGTTCACTCTGAGTAGTGACAGTATGTGCTGCAATGCTACTCAGTTCTGTCACCGAAAGGCCATCCTTGAGCCGACTCCCGGCAGAAATGTCACTGCGATACCCTCCCTGTGGTGTTTGTGGTGGGTTTATTTGCAGTGGCCGGCTCCGTGCCGGTGATGATTGTTGTTGGTGTTGTTGTATGTAGCTAGCAGCCGCCGAGGAAAAGGCAGCCGGAGCCGAAACCTCCGAGGCAGTTTCTTGTTGATGATATCCCGCCGCCATGCGACTGCGATTGATGAGGTTTCTCCTCGCCAATATGCGAGATGGGGAAGAAGATTGTCGTCGTGAAGGGCTACTAGTGGAGGAGGATCTAGGAGTACTTGTGGCGGGGGAGGCGTGAGTTCCAACCAGCAGTGCCGCTTGCGATCTAAAACTGCCGGCTCTTCGGGACGAAGGTGTCGATGGTGATTGTTGTTGGTGCTGATGTTGACTCGTGTCCACACTACTACTGCCTGCAACAATGGAACTGGCGGAAGCGGCATACTGAGTGGCTTTGGATTTGGCCTTTAACTTGGAGCGAGCAGCAGCACTGGCTGTGTTGGAGTATCCCTTGGATGTCTTGGAGGAAGTCCTTGTGGACTCTGCCGTGGATGTCGATGTGTCATACATTTGAGGAGGAGGGGAAGTAGTGCCAAATGCCGATGATGAACCACCAGACCCTGATGATGAATGCCCTGGATGAGTGGAGTAAAGGACCATACTCTGATCTCGTTGACGTGTTTTCGCTCAGTTCAACTCAACTTGATTCAGACTTGAGGTGTACCCAGACCGTAAACCTTGTCTCTCCCGCCCTCAGAGGGTTCTTCTTAGCCTGTCTTTGGTGGATTGTAATCCTGACACTGCCAACACAACAGCACCAAATTACTAATGGGCTTTCCGAGTCGAGTCCAATGCCAGGAGCAATGATAGACTCGAAAAGAGATTGAAAATCACAAAATCACTACTAGTAGCTCGCCTTAGCCTTCGCTCATTCCAATCAATCATTCGGGTTCTTCACTTGCTTCTTTGTTCCAGTTCAAACTGACGCCCTCTTTTCCTGCCTTCAGCAATGACACCTAATCTAAAGCAAGGCTCCCCACAAGGCTGTATAGCCACCGCAACCAAGGACAGCTAGAGACAAAGCCTGGCTAACCTATAAGCTAAAAAGTTTTCCTGTTGTCACTCGTTATATTATTGTTCTTGCGCCAATCGATTGTCGACTGGCTGCTTTGTTGTGCGAGAGCGGCACATGAACGAAACACATGCAAAGCCTCTCTTGAACGACCCGTCGCCCTAATTATGATACTAATATTCAAAGTGGGCGGGATATTGCCGATGCGCCGCGTGCGGGAGTCAATTTCGCACTTTTTAAGTTCCTCTCGAGACGCTACGTGGTACTAGTACATGTACTACCGGTAGCTAGAACTGGCTACCGATAGCTATTCATGATCTCTTTTATGCAAGGGTTTGTATGTAGTTTAGAACCTTGCGAAAGATAGTTATCTACACCATTTGTTTTAGAGAGGAGGATGGCTCAAGTATTTATCAGCTTTGTTTACGTTGGTGGCGAAGGCCATTCTTAGGAAACCCAACAATGTATTGGTACAGGTGCATTCGAGTTTTGAATGATGTGTCTATCATCTCTCACAAGCTTTTGGTCTCTGACTATGCATAACTACTTTAGAAATAGTATGACAAATGCGGATGTGTTTCGTAGTTTAGCGAAAATGACAAGTCCAGAGTAAAGTGTGCTAAGCTACTTTTATTAACATGCATTCCTTTATGTATCAAAAGAAGGCCAAGGAACCATTTCGCCCATTGCTGTGTTGCCTCCAAAACCTATACCACGAAGCTGCGAGCGACAGGAAGAGCCACTAGCTAATAGAGAAATGCCAACAGTGCCGTGCACCCCACCAACATTACACTCTCGACCGAAACAGCCCAAGCCGCACTACTCTGTGCATTCGCCTCAAAAACCTCGGAACCACTGCCACCAGCACTGATATCCACGGATCCACCCCCATTGTTGACGGCATCTACAGTCGCACTTCCCACAACTCCAGGAGCATCTTCAATCACCTCATAGTCCGAGCCAGCATCAGCAGCACTGGCCACACAGATTCCTTGCTCCTTGTTGCAAAACAAACTGTAGCAATCGGATGCTTCATCACAGGGTTTTCCCAACCATTCGGGCTCGGTACAGTTACGTGCCGGAGCCACGCCTTTTTTAATTTTAATAGGTAGCAAGCAAAAGAAATGGAAAGAGGTATGCGAGGTAGCAGTTGTGAATTGGAAGGCATCAGAGTGCCATTTTTTGATAATCATCCGACACGCAAAGAGAGAGAAATGTGAGAAGCTCAAATTGCGTACCTCAACGTTTCCCATTTTCTGTTGATGCGTTTTAAAAGGGCACGACCATATATAGATAGATAGATAGATACGTACCCTCACACCGAAGAGACCAGCAGTCAGTGTTGTCGTTACAAAAGTGTTCATTCCATTTGCGATCGTAGCACCGGTTCAGCCCTCGATCCTTCTTGCAGCGTTTCATTTCACAATCGTTATCTTTGCCACAAATCTCTCCATCCTTGACGGTAAAGGTGCACTTCAAGGGATTTCGAGTGCACCTTCCACTACGGCATTCATGGTCTCCCAAACAATCAATCTCTCGATCCTTCCATGCCAAGCAGGTGCTGGATTCTCCACAATACCCTTCATCGCAATCCTCATGGACGGCACAAGGACCACCTGCGGGTTGTGGGACTTGGCATACCCCACCACTGCAACGTCCCGAAGCACAGGCATCATGAAACTCGCAGGTTTGCCCCACGGCCCTCTTGGTGTCACACTGGAGTGTGCTATTGCAGTACTCGCTCTCGCATTGAAAGATTGCTCGACAGGGCCAACCAACTTTTCGGTAGCCTTGTCCTGGAGAGGCTAATAATACCAGAACCAGCAACAGAGGTAGCAAAAGCGTCGGAAGCACTGTCATCATGGTCGTTCTGTTCTTCTTTGTTTTCAAAAAAAAGATCTTGGGAAAAGTGAACCCTTCGCGACAAACTGGGAAAGTCCCTTCAGTCATTTTAGATTGGTAGCACATTGGTTCTATTAGGTTTGTTAGCGGTGTTTGATCGTGCGATCATCAAACCCAGCAGTTTGGTTGTGGCCCTACCGACATCCTGAAGCAAGTGTGGAAGTCCTGCTCAAGCTCTTCAACCGTGGGTTTGTACGATGGAGACAACCGGAGGGTGAGTTTTAGTGATAATCCTAACTGATACTACAGTAGCGAGGGTAGCTCTCCACCTTGTTATGTTTCTCATGCAACCTACAGGTCATTCAAGTACGTGGAGGTATTGGGGGAGCTCCTGGGATTCTTGCCCCTTGCTGCCGTGCTGAGTACTGTACCACCCAGCTCTCCAATATAGTTGGAAGTACATCTGCCTTTGGGTGGATATGCAAACATGGACCATTTATAAAGCTTAGTGTATCTTTCTCTCTGCTACCGTAGCAACCAAACAAGAGATCAAGTCTTTCTTCCGTGCCATAAAACGCACACTCTAGGGAAATGGCTGTGAGCCGGCTGCTGGCTCTTTCTTTCTTTCTCCACAGTCCTGGGGAGTGACAGTCGCTTATGACGGACTCCAGTTAGATCTAGGGCTCAATATCGGCTTCGAACTCGCTCCTGTCAACTCGTTCAAACAGACTTGAAGCGGATCCAATGTATAGTGTTTTCCCATCTGCCGTCGATTGCATGGTACGGTAGCCAAAGAGATGGCCAGGTTGATCCTCGTGAGGGACCAACGTCCAGGTGGATCCATCGCGTGATGCCCACAGCTGAGGCTGGACTCCAATCAACTCTTGTGAATTCAGGGAGATACCTCGTTGCGAGACTGTCATGGTTCCAAGCAAATAGACGCCATCAATCTCTGCTGAAGACCAGGGATATTCGTTTCCAGAAACACGAGCTCCAAGTTGGTCTCGCTGCTCTTGGGCAAAACCATCATCGGTAATAATTTCCCACTCGTCGTCCCCGACGCCCAAGACATTCAAATTGCTGGTTCTGAACAATGCAAAACCGCTTGGGAAACTGAGGAGACCCACGTAAAGCTGGCCTTTGAAGACTCTCAGCTCCATGACTCCGTGTGAAAAGTGACCCCGCACTATGAAAAGGAAGAGGGGGAAGAAACGAGGTCAGCAATGCATCATGGTGGCGCCAATGGCGTGTGACTAGACTCGACTCGGCTATTGCTCAAGAAGTGGGGAGCTGTGCAAGCAACTTACTAGCGGGAGTGGCCACCTGTGTAATGGCATCATCATTCATTTCGTCAATGACGTACAAGGCGTGTCCCAAGCTTTGCCAGGTTCCAATCAACATTTTACCATCTCCGATGTAGAGACACTCGGAAACGGCAAGCTTACAGTGCTCACCAGTCTGCTGGATCTTTTTGAAGGTGTTGAGGGCCGCATCGTAAATCACCACCTTGGCGCACTCGTGCGTTTCGGTACCAATAAAGAGACGATTGGTGTGCTCGGAGACGCACATTTTTCGAATCGACTTGTCGTAAGCATCGAGGTTTCCTTGGTCATCCAACATGTGGTAATCTCCGCCAGCGTTGGTAAAGACCTGTATTGCAGAAGTGAACAAGGAAAGATTGCTTGATGAGGACGGCCTCAATGTGTCCCTTCAAGGGCCTGCTAGATCTACCGGTGCGCACCTTTGCACCAACTCCTTCTCCATAGAATTCAAAATCGTAGCGTGAAATGCCATTGGGTCCATCAGCTCCGTTAGCACTTCCAGCATAAATGTCTCCGTTGTAGTTGACCATACTCCTGAACCCAACAAAGTCTTTTGGCGCATTGAACTCCAAGGTGAAACCTCCCTCTCCATCGGATTTGACAATTTGAGCTCCATTGCTGTCCATGAGGGGACCACCATGGAACCACCGCAAGAAACCATCCACAAGGGCTTTTCTCTTCATCCCCAATGGTGCTCGTGCGATGGCAATGTAGAACTTGATCGCGCTGTTATTGGGTTTCAGATTCGAGTCGAGTCGAGTCAAGCAAGCAAAGCAAACACGTAGACAGATTAGATGGCGGCCTGACGACGAAGCAGCTCTGTCTTCCACCATGACACAGACAGACAAGACTCACTTCCAAAGATTCAGGTTGGCATTGAATGTTCCAATGTAGAGTGTTTCATCGTTGTCAAGCGCCGAAGACCAAGCGTAACGGTTCCACTTGTCACCAATGAGCCCGTTTCGCGAAATTGTTGTCATTTGCAAACTCTCTGCAGCAAAGGAGTTTTCCACCACAGGGATTGAATCTAGAAGCAAGCAAAGAGACAGTGTTGCGTTAGGAAGAGCTTGCACCCATGGTCTTTGGTCTCGGATTGATTCGACAGGCTTCCCACAGCCAGCAAAAGATCTTTGCCTTACGCACCATTGAGAGTGACTTTGAAAACAAAAGCGCCCATATCATCAGGATTATTATCATCTTCCTTCCATGCATTCGAGAATTTCGAAAATGCTCCATCGAATGGTCTCCATTCAAAATTGCCGTCTCCAAAAAAGACATTCCAGAGACTGCCCCAAAAACCTCTGGATTCCTCGTCTTCACTCAGGTGTCGTCGCAAGCTGCTGGGTTCCGAGGCTGCAGCCATCGCCGCGCCAACAGACATCAAGAATACTAAATGCAAAGAGAGCCTCATCGTGGTTGCTTTGCTTTGACGTCGGGGTTTCTCTTGGATGTCAAACTTTCCTTTGCAACAAAAGTAAGTCGATCATCGGATGCGACCGAATTGATGAAAGATGAGTGAGACTAGATCTCCGGCACAGTACCGTTCGGTAGGTGACGGTACCACATGTATCCCGCCTCACTCCATGGGCATTGCCGTTTTATCCTCGCCGATTGCAATAGGCTTATGAAGAGGCACGTCTCAACGCCACAACCTTCATCGAAAGAGCAGCTCGAACTGGCCAAAACGCACCTCCAAACCAACATGGGAATATTGTTGCCCACCTGGCTAGCTAGGGTGAAGCAGTGGATTTGATCTGGTTGGTGGCTCATTGGCAAACCATACCGAGCTGCACAATGGTACCAAAGTACTCCTAGTCGCGCAACCGAGCAGCACGATGATGCCGAAATAGAATCATGGCGGATCTTTCAAAAGACTCATTTGTGCTTGTCATGACTAGCTAGCTAGACACAGAATGCGCAGACGGTACCAGACCCGTGAGCCCTACTACAGTACTGCTACGATGTAGCACCTAATCAGGGGCAATGGCCGAAGATTGTGTTTGGAACCTGAAGCAAAGCTGTCAAATTTCTGGCCAGCCATCCTCAGGACTCCCACTCCCACCATCAACTCGTTGGGTTTGGCCCTCCCAGCTTGATTGTGTGGGAGACCTGACCTACCGGCAGCTAGCTAACCGATTGTTCCCTTGACCAGCAACGTTTGCCCGATGTTTCTGGAGGGGGCATCATTCTGCAACGTTTGCTTCCGTCCTGGTGTTTGTTCGCGCTCGCCATGGACATGGTACGCGTACCGGTACTTCTCTTAATAAGTGCAGCCTCATGGGGCTGATGATTCGATGCTAGATTGGTTCTTCTTCCTCTACATGCGGGAACACGCTGTCCACGACATGCTAGGAAATGATTGCGGTAGATAGTGGGGATGCCACATTGCTGACAATGCAGCTTTAGCAGGCCTGACCCAAAATCTGTTGAGGCCAGATATTGATAGAGATTGCACAAAGCTCAATTTAGAGCACATGTACCGTATGTAGTAGAAGAGTATAGTATAGTAGAGGCTGACCGATTCCCTACTTCTAATAATTTAAACAAATGAAAGTTGGGATTGTTCTCGTAGCATTTGAATCCAACTTTGACGCTGAAGTCAAGCAAATTGTCAAAGAGTTCTGGCTAACACGCAAATTTATACACGTACTGTAGTGAACAGGCGAGAGAGAGCATCAAAAAAGAAAAACCAAGCAAGAAGTGAGATAAAACAGTCAGGCAAAGACAGATACACGTTGGCTCGAACACCAGTGTTGCTAGCTGGCTGGCTAGCTGTCACGTCACGTACATATCTGCAGTTTGTCATTAAAGGCAATCGACACCCAATCCGGTTGTGTAGCACTCCATTGCAAATTGTTGACTTCTCCTTCGGCATTGTACGCCAAGATGGGATCATCCACCGGTCGTTTGGGCATGGCCGACAAGTCCCAAATCAGTGCTTGCGAATCATCTCCCGCGGTACAAATATGACAGGAGGAATGGGGTGCCCACGCCGTGGCATTGACACAACCCAAATGTCCTCCCAATTCGGCGACGGGAATACTGGGCACTCGAATATCCAAAATGATGGTCCGTCGTGAATCGACCATGAAGGTGGCTAGATAATTGGGATCTTGCTTATTCCATTCGAGCCGCAGCAGTGGATCCAGATTGGGACTTTCGTAAATAATGGTGGAGTGTTCGAGACTGCGCAAATCAAACATACGGACCGATCCATCCGCCCCCACCGATGCAAAGACATCTTTGCCCCGCGCAAATGCCAAATCAAAGACTTCTCGATCATGCGCAATGAGTTGTGTGCGTGCGGTTTGTGTGGCGACATCCCAAATGGTACAGGTCGTGTCGATACTGGAAGTTCCCACTATATTGGGATCGGTTTCATTCCAATCAAAGGACGTGAGTGGTGCACAGTATTCGCTCGTCTTGTTGTTATTCAACAGCGCTTCTTTTTTCACAGAGAGGGTCCCCCGACCACTCCCATCGTCCGTGACATTCCAGACACGCAAATAGTCTCCCGTAGTGGCCAACAAATCCTTGCCGCCGTAGTTGCGACTGTCGGGACTCCACAGAATTTTCGTGCACGGATACGGATGATCGAATTCACCCGCCTTGTACAGAGACCCCAAATCATCCGATTGGGGCAATTTCTTCACAATGTGAACGGCATTCGAGTACTGTTCCACGTACGAACCAATGGCTAACCGAAATTGAGAAGTCGTATCTGGTCTATTATAGTAGCAAAGAAGAGGAAGAGTCAGGAGGAAAAAGAGCCATGATTTGGATTGGATTTTGGAGGAACCCAGAAAATTTCTCACCTTCGACTCCACGCCACTGAAAACACGGTCCAAGGAGCGTTGTACGTGTAGATTTCCTTACGAGGAGGACCTGCGTCGTTGACACCGATGCCTGTGTGATGTGCATGTCCGTGATGGAGGTGTGGGTGGTGATGATGGTCGGCCATGGTCAGGATGGATGTGTTGGTCTGTTGGGATGGTGTCTCTCTTGCATGTGATTGCAAAAGGCCAACACGCGGATCTGGCGACAGCTGTTCGCTAAATTGTTCTACAGTAGGGTTGAGGAACAAATTGTCGTTTTCGGAACCAGAAGTGTGCCCGCACCCCACACGAGACCGTCACTCATCGCGGTGCTGGCCTGGTGTGGAAGCACAAGGGGTCTACCGTAGCTAAAGTAATAGTAAGGCGGTTAGCTACGGTGTGGTGTTGGTGATCGACATGAAAGCACCGTGAAAGGAAAGCCTTTGGCTGGCGCTGCTAGCTACCTAGCTACATGTAGCTAGGCTCCAAGGACAGGAACTCGAATGGCCGAGAAAGCGTTCGTTCCATGACACCATTCGAGGAGTCGAGGCAATGTCTATCACTAGCGGCTAGCTAGCTGGATCGAAGAACCACTCGGCCAACATCCGAAGGACCGAAGGAACATCCAACAGGGGCAGGATTCCGTCGCAAGCGGCTGTGTATCAAGCAAGCCGACTCGACTCGAAACTAGCTAATTCGTTGCAAGAATAAAAGAGCTTTGCCGAATGAGATGCGCTCATGCTTACATCCGGTACTTATCTTTTGGCACGACGCTCGACCGAGTGCTCGGCTGCAGCCATGGGCACGGAACACCCTTGATGCGAAAAACCTCACGGCTCGACGCACATTCCATTCGATTATGCCTTCAAAATACGATTTCTTTTTTCTCTTGCGCTTTTGAAACGCGACTATGTCGATGCGGGGCACGATCGTAATGCATGCTTCGAGTGTAGAATCGTCTAAGATACGTACCGTGCGGTATGATGAATGTGAATCTAATATTCATATATTTAGCATGACAGTGCACAGCTTTACAATGACTTGGCTACTGGGTGGCCTGCACGTCAAGCCCAGACGGAAACCCAACAGCAACGCTTCTCCTCGAAGAAGTTGCTCGATAAGTGGAAATCTGTGATCGGACCTCATCAAGGTATCACAACGCAAAATTCCCGTGCCTCAAACTCTGCTTCAGATGAGAATGACACTTCGCTTATTGATCCGTCACCTTGGAAAAAACGCACACTTGTCAATCCATTTGTCCCTGATCCATTATGACCAATGCACGCAGTGGATCCTGAGTTCACAGAAACCACAAGGCCGTCATTACGGTTAGGGCCCCAAGTGAGGGAACTCGTGACACTTCCAGATGAATAGGACGCCTCTCCTGTGTCATCCACCAACACAAGACCAGTTGCTCCGGTGGTATAAGCTGATGATTGTCCAGCAATGCCCCCAGATCCTCCAAGTTGGCCATACACAACTACCAAGTACATGTTCCCCCCTCCACTGTCCACAATGGCAAGTGCCATTTTTCCTGCGTTGTTATTTTGCATGCCAGCCTCAGAATGATGATCATCATTGAATCCATTATGGTACCACCCATCCGACGTACTGATATCGTGGCCAGTAGAATCAGCCCAAGCAATGTTTGGGCCGTGGTTAAATGTAACTACATTACCAAAACTCGGAGAGGTGGAAGGTTCAGCAGATGTAGAAGGCACAGAAGACGGAGCATTGCTGGGGTTCGAGGATGGAGCATTTGAAGGGCTGATACTAGGAATAGTGGATGGTGAATCTGATGGGCTTGTGGAAGGCACAGATGATGGAGAATTGCTGGGACTTGAAGATGGAACATTTGAAGGGCTGATGCTAGGAATCATGGAAGGTGGATCTGATGGGCTTGTGGAAGGCACAGATGATGGAGCATTGCTGGGACTTGATGATGGAACATCTGAAGGGCTGGTGCTAGGAATCATGGAAGGTGGCCTTGATGGGCTTGTGGAAGGCAGGTATGATGGAGCATTGCTGGGACTTGAAGATGGAACATCTGAAGGGCTGATGCTAGGATCCATGGAAGGTGGATCTGATGGGCTTGTGGAAGGCCTGTATGATGGAGCATTGCTGCTGGGACTTGAAGATGGAATGTCTGAAGGGATGATGCTAGGAATCATGGAAGGTGGATCTGATGGGCTTGTGGAAGGCAGGTGTGATGGAGAATTACTGGGACTTAAGGATGGAACGTCTGAAGGGATGATGCTAGGAATCGTGGAAGGTGGATCTGATGGGCTTGTGGAAGGCAGGTATGATGGAGCAGTGCTGCTGGGACTTGAAGATGGAACATCTGAAGGGGTGATGCTGGGAGGCATGGAAGCCAGAGCTGATGGGCTTGTGGAAGGCAGCCCTGATGGGCTTGATGATGGGGACACAGAAGGCACCCTAGAATGGCTAGAGCTTGGATTTGTTGATGGGATTGAAGATCTCGATGGACTACTGCTAGGATTTGAGGTGGGAATGTCAGAAGGGTTTGTGCTAGGGAGCTGGGATGGCATGTATGATGGTCTCAAGGAAGGCATTTCAGATAGACTGATACTTGGACTTGATGAAGGCAAGCTTGATGGACTTGTGCTGGGGTTGAAAGTTGGGATAGCAGAAGGACTGACGCTATGTTTCATGGAGGGGGCATTAGATCCCATAGAAGGGGCAACAGAGAGATTTGTGGAAGGGGAGTTTGAGGGGTGGATGCTGGGGATACCCGAGGGCACATGTGATGGTACTCCTGAAGGAGTTGAGCTGAGTTGCATGCTGGGAATGGTTGATGGTCCATCACTTGGCATGGTGGATGGTTCTTCAGATGTACTAACACTTGGGCTTCCAGATGTGGCTATCAGGGGGCTCTTTGAGGGCAGCATACTTGGTGCAGAACTGTGACTTGGAATCACAGAGGGGCTAGTGATGGTTGATGGTGTGGATGAAGGGTGGATGCTTGGCACATTGATCTGGCTAGGATTCTCTGATGGGCTTGCTGATGGAGTGCCAAGTGGTGACATTGATGGATTGGTAGATGGTGATATAGAGGGCGTTTCTGATGGCTCTATTGATGGGCTTTCAGATGGAGATGTTGATGGGATTGCCTTGGTTGGGCTGGTGGTAGGATTCCCTGGTGTCACCGTTGGTCTGGATGAAGGTGATGATGTTGGGATGGTGGTAGCACTGCTCGAGGGGACAGCTGAAGGATGTTCACTTGGTAATATTGATGGATTGATAGATGGTGGTACTGAGGGCACTTCTGATGGCTCTTTAAATGGGCTTCCAGATGGATATGTCGATGGGATTGCCTTGGTTGGGCTGGTGGTTGGATTCCCTGGTGTCACAGTTGGTCTTGATGAAGGCGATAATGTTGGGATGGTGGTAGGACTGAATGAAGAACTGCTTGAGGGGACAGCTGAAGGATGTTCACTAGGGTGCACTGATGGGGACATTGACGCTATTCCAGCCACGGGACCTGCACTAGGCATTCTGGTTGTTGGAATTCCTGAAGAGACTGTTGGGGTGCCACTAGTTGGACTTCCAGTGGTGGGAGAGACAGATGGACTCCCCGGGGATACGGTGGGTGTGCCACTGGTAGGAATGATGGTAGTGGGGGAGACAGAGGGACTTCCCCGAGCCACTGTGGGTGTGCCAGTTGTTGGACTGCTGGTTGTGGGAGAAACAGATGGACTCCCCGGGGTTACCGTGGGTGTGCTACTAGTAGGAATGGTTGTGGAGGGCGAAACAGAAGGACTTCCTTGAGCCACTGTGGGTGTGCCACTTGTTGGACTTCCAGTGGTGGGAGAGACAGATGGACTCCCCGGGGATATGGTGGGTGTGCCACTGGTAGGAATGATGGTAGTGGGGGAGACAGAGGGACTGCCTGGGGTGACAGTGGGGATTTGTGATGTAGGGGGCTGTATAGTCACTTGGACTATTCCTATTGCACTGACACTTGCACTGTTGAGGAATCCATTGAAATATTGTAGGAAGGAATTTGTGTTGTCTAATGAATCCAAAAGGTTGATGCCATTTGGCTGATTGCTGATGACAGCAAATTCAATTTCAGAAGAAGTTTGCAGCTTCCTGCTTGTTGGGTTTCTTTGGATTGAGACATTTTCAATAGTTGGAGAGCAAGGATTTTTGGGCAAGGATTGGTAGCTTGACTCAAAGGTGCTAACCAAGGAGACATCTGATATTGATGCAATGTCTCCAATGAAAGAGATTAAAAATGATGACTGTGAATCAAAAGTGGTCAAGACACAGCTTGAGGATGGGAGCCAGGATGGTGGAGCTGTTGGGAAAGATGTTGGAGAAGGGGTCCGTTCAACAGTTGTCTCATCTGTTGTCTCGTCTGTTGTCTCAAATGTGGGTGTGGTTGTTGGAAGTTCAGTTGTCTCCAATGTTGGTTCAATTGTTGGTTCTGGAGACGGATCATATGTAGGCTCCTGTGTTGGCCATGGTGGTGGGATATCTGTAGATGATATAGTTGGAAACCCAGCGGTTGGAACACCAGGAATGCTGATGGGTGCTGCACTAAGGGCAGGAAGGGTAATGGGGGTATCCATTGTGGGAACAACTGAAGCATTTCCAGGTGCTGCTTTGGGGGTTTGATTTGGACTGGCAGTAGTGGGTGCCAGGGATGGGTTTCCAGGAGTCACTGTTGGCGCTCCATTTGTTGGACCATCACTGGGAGATATAGAAATTGTGGTAGGTTCAGAATCAAGGGGATTGGAAGTTGTGGGTCCCATTGAAGGACTTCCTGGGGTCACAGTTGGTGTGCCTGTTCTTGGACTGGGAGTTGTTGGACTGGCACTGGGAGAACCAGGAGTTACAGTGGGCACATAATTCACAGGACTGGTAGTGGTTGGTGCCATTGAAGGACTTCCTGGGGTCACGGTTGGTGTTCCAATTCTTGGACTGGGAGTTGTTGAACTGACAGGGGGGGAACCAGGGGTGACCGTGGGCATGGGAGGAAGAGGGTCAAAAGTAGTTGGGGTCATTGAGGGACTCCCTCGGGTCACAGTTGGTTCTCCAGGGGTATGACCCTTGGCAGTTGGACTGGCACTGGGAGAACCAGGGGTGACAGTTGGCATAACAGGAAGAGGGCTGGCAGTGGTTGGGACCATGGAGGGATTTCCCGGGGTCACAGTTGGTGCTCCAGTGGTAGAACTCTTGGCAGTTGGACTGACACTGGGAGAGCCTGGAGTTACTGTCGGTCCAGCAGCCATAAGACTGGCAGCGCTTGGTGTCATTGAGGGACTTCCAGGTGTTACTGTTGGGGTGCTCTCGGTTGGTGTTATGGAAGGGCTTCCTGGTGTAACAGTCACTGGACTGATAGTGGTGGGACCAACAGAGGGGCTCCCAGGAGTAACAGTTGGTGTCCCACTTGTTGGTGCGCCAGTAGTTGGTTGGATGCTGGGAGAGCCTGGAGTTACAGTTGGACCTGAACCAAAAGCACTGGGAGTGGAGGGTGTCGGTGATGGGCTTCCAGGTGTAACAGTGGGTGTTCCAATGGTAGGGCTTCCCAGTGTTGCGCTGGCACTGGGAGAGCCTGGAGTTACTGTAGGTTCAGCAGCCATAGGACTGGCAGTGGTTGGTACCATTGAGGGACTTCCAGGTGTTACTGTTGGGGTGCCCTTGGTTGGTGTAATGGAAGGGCTTCCTGGTGTAACTGTGCGACTGCCAGTCACTGGACTGATCGTGGTGGGGCCAACTGAGGGGCTTCCTGGAGTTACAGTGGGGATGCCACTAACTGGACTGTTGGTAGTGCGTGAAGCTGCAGCACTTGCAGCTGGAAGATTCTCTTCGGCTGGAGCTGGATTAGCTGCATTTGATGACTCTATCAAGTTCAACAGCATCCCTTGGCATTCTTCTGTTGACGTCGGGTTCTCGATACATTCAACCACAGCTTCGTCGGCAACGTCATTTGCTTCCAGGACACTCCTGCAGAAGTCTGACTGCGGTGATGTTTCAATGCATTCTTCAATATCTGAGAGTACATCCCGGACAAATGGGACCCTTATTGTGGCATTGTTTGCAACCACCTTAGCAAAAACGACGGCAATCGCTTCATCGCCAATGGATGACACAACAGCTGACTCATTCACCCCACCAGCAGGGTCCACTGGCCTTGTTGTACCGAACACCACCTCCACTTGTCTGGTACCATTGCTATTATCAGACAAGTCAAAGGATATCTCCTCGCCCTCGAGGAGTACTGGTTCGATGTTGTATCCAAAAGAAGCTGCAAAGAGAGGGAAAAACTCGGTTAAATCAAACTGCAGCAGACGGCGCTGTCTCCTCTTCCCAACCAAAGAAGCATCGTTGCTGTTCTGTCCTCCAACTTCGAATAGCGGCTCGTGATCGGGACAGCCGTTACAATCAACGACTGCTTCCCAGTATGTAGTCGTTATGCTGTTGGCAAGGGCTTGCTCATAAGCCTCCCGCGTTGCATTGCTGGTATCCGTGAAGTTGGCGATTCCCCAATCAGTTTCCCACTTGTAAACTTTGGATTGCTGCAAGACTCGATTGTACGGATCCAAGCACATTCCAGTAATCTCATTGTACAGATTCCGAAACAAGTACTCCATTCTGTCTTTCTGTTCCTCCAAAACAATCGGAGGCAAAGCTTTGATTTGCAACTCGACGTAGCCAATCTTTGATACCGACTCGGCGGAACACACAGGAGGAGTGAAGCTATCAATCAAAGATGGAATTGGGGCAGTCGCACTGTTGGAAGTCTGAGACAGTGTGACTCCCGTTGAGACCGCCGCTGCGGTGATGGCCACTGTCAAACATAAAAAACTTGTATAAGATGCTGCCGTGGATGAGGATGCTATTCCTGAAATGATACCCCACTTACCAACACTCACTCCCAATGCGGTGCCAGCCTGTGAAAGAACGGCCGTCCCAGTCACCGCACTGACCACAGCACTTGTCATCCCTCCTATACTCCCAGCTGTCGCCCCAGCCGCTCCAGCAGCTGCAGCTCCACTATGATCGTAAAGAGAAGCCGATGAGGGGTCCAGCTAGCAAGTCCAGCTTGAGCCAACAGTTAATCCACGTACCTTGCTGTAGATACACTGGCCGTATTGGCCTGAGGATCGTCAAATAGTAAGGAAAGGAGTCTCGTTAAGGTGAGTGATCGCTTCGAGTGGACTTCTGTCAGAACTGCTACCAGTAGTAGCTTCAAGTTTGTTTGAACGCACCGCTGACACCGCCATCTCAGCAACACCCGGGGGCGGCATGGGAATGGGCGCACCTCCACCTCCGCCTCCGAAACCGCCACTTTGAACGCTCTGTTTGAGGGCCGACTGCGCCCCGGCGTCCGCAAAGTCCAAAAGCTCTCCAGCTACGTCTTCGGTGCCCTGAGCACCGTCGTCGCCGGAACTCCTTCCAATTTTCTTCGTGAAATATTCCCACAACTTGGTCAGCCAATCCATAGCTTTCTGGAAGAAATCGTTTTGAAGGTACCCACAGAGGAAGCCCAAGAAGCCATCCCGAATCGCCTCCTCTTTGGCTGCGTCGCTATCGCAAAAAGTAGCACTCTCTTGATCTTCACTATCACTGTGACCGTCGTCATCTTGTCCGTCGTGAGCAAGCTCTCCTTTGTCATCATGTTTGCACGCGAGGTCATTGTAGTCGTCCGTACCTTCCGAAGCTCTGACGTCTTCTTCGTCGCAACTGGTCCAGTGACCAGAACTTTGGTGGCCCTCGGGGTTCGAGTTGGCCTCGACATCTTGGATGGAAGACGATAACGACATGTCGTCTCGGTCAGTCGCTTCCGATTCGTCGGACAGGAAAAGATCCAGAAGGGACGATCGTCCACTGCGAAAGGAATCATTGGCTTTTGCCTCGTCGCCAACCGTCTCCTGGAGACTGGCTGCCGTGGTGCGGGCACCAGAAGCATCAAACGGAGGACTCGGCATTGAAGCAACCAGACTGGGGTCATTCTCAATCTCGGTTAAGGAATCCTCCGAGTTGAACGGAATGTCACCTCGATTTGGAGCAAGCAAATTGGTGCTATAGGCCGGTGCCGGCGGTTCCATTTCAGCTCCTGTTGCGTTCGGACGCTTTGATTGAAGCTTTGAGGAACCTTGTGTCATACTTGGAGATTCGAATGTCATGGAAGAGCTGCAGCAATGCTAGAAACGCAAACCGAATGTAAAGCACGATGTTCGACCAACCTAACTGGAAGAATTCCCAGCAACCAAAGCAAGCGCAACAAAGAGAGAAGTGTTAGAACTTTGGGGAGGAAAGTTGATGGTCATGCATCATTCTACGTACCGATCGATCAAAATTATTATATGAAAGCTCACCTCGAGTGAAATACAGATCCCAGCGGGCGCACTAGTCTGGCTTGATTTGACTGGTAGCTAGCTGTATCGCCTCGAATGATTGATTCTGATTCAATCGTCACTCAGTACAAAAGCCATTTTCGGGTCATGCGTGAGCCCAAGCTGCAGCGAAGATTGAAATCCTGTCTCTTTATCTCCTTCTTCACTTTCCTTTTAGGTCAGCCCCGGTCAGCCAACCTGGCAGCCCTGTCCACCATCGATCACCAACTGGGATTGCCAATGACGCTTTACACAACTATTTCCATCGGCTCCCTTCGGCTCCCTCCCGATCGGAGACTCAAAAGCTGGGGAATTTTGCAGCTTATCTACTAGTACGGTACATACGTGTACAGTGCCGTACGCTACGCCAATCGCTTATTGACCTGACCAATGCATGAATGACTGAACTGTCGCTCGAAGCTCGAGGAACGTACCTTTCAGTTCTCCAGTAGCAAAGCGTCAAAGCCCTTCTGCTCTCAATTGGACTACGGAGCGGCACATCACTCCTGCGGAGACAAACTTCAGGAGTGGGACTTACTGGGGTATGGGGCAACTTCCAGACTCGACTCGTTGAAATTGTGTTTCTTTCTATCACCACTCCTTCCGGTCAGTTCAGACGTTTAGACTACCAGTACGCTTGCAAGCCACCAAGAGCTACCGATCTACCGATGCCCTTTTGGGCTGGTTGACTGCGTGTCCGATCCATGCAGTTGCTTATAAATGTTACGTGTAGATACGCTCAAGTAGCGCATCCTGTTGAAGGCTCGTTGGGTTGTGTGTACTCGTAGTGTAGAAACGATACATTATTACGTGCAGTTACGTGCCATTACGCAACGTAATGTTCCACTTTCGGTGATACCGTAAATTGTAGTTTTGACAACGCTCTTTGCTTTTAAAAAATACCGTACTGTAGATCTACATATGGGTTGGTATCAAGTGAGAGTTTTGAGCTTGGGATCTTATTATAGAAATCACAACCAGAAGGAGTTTGGCCATTGGAGGTGCAGCGTTACTTGCGCCTTGCAGTACTCGAACTAAAGCTGCCGCTTGGCTGATCAATCCATCTGGCCCCGGCTGGCTTCCGTAGAAAATCTCCTTACTTTAGAGACCCCCTATTATCCATCTCTTGTTGTTTGTTGCTTGCATAAAACCCCAAGATCAACACCAGCATGCTGTTTGTTGTCGCTGCTGTTCCCACGTTCCCACCACTTTTCATTTGTCGATCTTCGGTTTTTTCGAAACAGAAGCATGACTCAGAGTCAAAGCGCGACTGAAACTTAATTTTACGTAAATATCTTCAATTAAGCTGGGACTGATGCGCTCTTCAAAGATATATTGATGGGTTATCCCAACCGGCACCGGTATTATCCAGTTGAAGATTTAACTCTCACTTGATCCAGGTACCAATTGCGCGGGCGACGAATCCTAAGTTCCCCCATACGCTAGCCTTGAAAGAGTGGAGAACTCTGGTGCTAGTAAAGAGCTTGTGAAAGCAGTCTTACTGGAACAAAAAGCAGAATCGCTAGATAGCTGGATTTAAATGACAAATTGATCCAGGCATCCAGAAAGCTCCTGCCAGTTTATCTGGTCATTGAACCGGTTCCTGCCAGAGCTCTGCCAGTACATCTAGCCCCTGTAAAATTACAATCATCTTTCCGCCAGTTCGCCAGTTCCCCACTTCGAGGTACGTGGAGCACTTGAGTACTACACGCATACTAGTACCTCATCAATGAGATACCTATATATTCTCTTACCTCATCAATAAGATACCTCTATATTCTCAAGTGTGAGTGAGGAGTGTAGGTAGCACAATGTCATACTCTAGATCTGGAGCAGCTATTAATTTGAAATAGATAAATAGATGTACCTCTGGCTATAAGTTGTACGTGTACTCTACCGCACCGGTGCGTAAAACAGGAGGTTAGCAACAATCAGAGATTGACATACATGTACTCGTACATGTATTTTATTGGCTTGGGAAGTCCGGATGTGGTTAGCATTGGTACTGACGCAAGCTTGGATCAACTTGGAGCTTGGACGATCTGCCGCGTCCATCGCCGGTACATAGTCTGGTGCTGGCTACTAGTGCAGCAGTCTTCCTACTAGAGCTAGCTAGACATGCAGTCATGGACGATGGAATGCAGGACAGGCTTGCTTGTGGGACATGTTTTCGTTGGTCACGGTTGTTCGGTACTGTTACCTGGAACTTCAACGTAGGAATTTTTTCTGTTTCTGATGTTGGAAAAGAGCAATTTTGTCCTCTGCGCATGCATCATCAAGATCCGTGAGTTGGAGGCAGCTTTGGCTGTCGCTGGCTAGATTTTGGCTCGAGGGTACGGTAGTGCTGATAGCAAACTAAGTTACCTACTGCAATTTCTTCTGCTGTAGTACAAACATTCTTGCAAGCGGTGGAGAACAGGTGGTCCGATCATGGCATCATCATCTCCAGAGCTCTGACGCCTGACCACAAGCGAAGAGAGGGGAAAGCAAGCAAATTTTGTTCAGCTAGCCGAAGTTATTTATCAAATGCAGCAAAAAGTGAGAATACTAAATAGTTTACTGGGATTGACAGAGCCAAGCCTTCAGGCTGGAGTTCCGCAAAAGGCCCCCCAACGACCTTCTCGGTACCATACCTGGTAGACGTTTTGAGCAGCCCGGCCTTCTCTGGAACGTTCTCAATCATTTTTGAAGCTTTTGATTTGGAAATTGTATCAAATCGATCTACTGTGCTGCTAATTATTGGGTCCTTCTGAGAGAAATTACATTTCTAAAACATTCGTCCTGTAAAATGTTCAAAACGGAAACTTACTTGTTGTGGAGCCTTCGGAATGCAACCACCCTTCTTCGTTGCCTCGACTGGCCAAACAAACAAGAAGGATTGGATGCGAACCTTGTGACACAAATTCGATCAGGAATGAGGTCATGCTGGGCTAGAGCTAGTAGTTTGCCCCCATAAAACAAGAAACAAACACAGCATCCAGTCGATCAACTCCCAATCTTTACTAAGCTAAGCTTCATTCAAACAACAATCGTCATGGAGGACGTGAACGTTGTCATTGAAGAGTCCAACGACCGGCTCACTGATGGCCCCATGAACGAATTCCTTGGCGTTTTTCTCTTTGTGATGGCAGGGTTTCTCCTGTGTGTTGTTCTGCTCGGATTTGCCTATTGGCGACAGCATAGAAACGGAGGAGGGCATCAGATTGCACATTCCTCAGAAGAATTCAACGGTAGGTTCCCAGAGTCGCTGCTTTGGCTTCAAGCTTGTTTTCCTCAGTGCTGCCCCTGATGGCCATGGAATGGACCCCTGTGCCTAACTCATTCGTTGCATTGCTTTGTATCATATTCCAACTCAGATCCTTCACATGAAAGTGTTTTGAAGGGACTTATTGTCTTTGTGAGTTTTGCGAGAAGGACGCAGCGTGTGCCATAATCTCATCATCTGCTTCCGAGCTACACCGTAACGGATCCTCACTTTTCTGCTCGCACCACTTTCCTTTCGTGTGCCGTTGTTGCATTAATCAGAGATGGAATGCGAACAGCACGGTAGAGCTGGGACAAGAAAGCTCAAAGCCACCTGCCTGTGCTCTGTGCTCCAAGGCATTCCAACGAGGTGAAGAGATTGGCAAGTCCAACAATCCAGATTGCAATCATGTGCATCACGGAGATTGCCTGGTGCATTGGTTGCAGCTGCAGAACACATGCCCAACCTGCAATAAGCCATATGTTCTCATGGAAAAGGTATAGAGCATTTGGACCAGCCAAACATGGGGATCAGGGTGTGGCCAAACGATTCGAATCGATGTACCCACTTGAGTTTTGACAACTGTCCTCCGTTCTAAAGCCAGCATACATACATCAACTTTCTGTGCCAATAGCCAGCAATCTTCCTACTGTCCCAAGTATCATTAATTCATGTCTGTATTCTACTAAAAGAAAAAGACTGTGCGTTCATTCATAACAGACGTTTGTTCTATGAGATAAGCAAAACTAGCTCAATAGCGGAGAGACAGCTTTTGTGGTGGAGAGCTTCTCCAACACAGCTTCCAGCCGTTTTGCAATGTCTCGGGACTTTGGACGGTCCGATGGGTCAGCCCTATAACAGTCGAGCATAGCATCTCTAATGGCTGCGACCTCAGGGTCGGTTGTTTTCCTCACGGAATCAGGAACAAACGGCATCTGACCTTGTTGCACCTTGGCATTTACTTCCTCCTTGGACGGCCTACCACCAGGTTCCAACTTGTTCCACGGTTCATGGCCACAGATTAGGCGAAAGAAAATGTGTCCCATAGAAAACACATCCACTTTCTCGGTCAAGTTCTTTTCATTGCGGGCTTCTTCTGGAGATCGCCACTGAAAATTTAAACGGTCAAGTGAGTAGCGCGAAAGGAGTGCTCCCTGGAATGGATAGGTCATCCTTGACTTACCTGAGGATTGGGATATTGTGCTGGAAACCCACACGGTTCCTGCGACGTAGTGTTCCATCGTCGAATGATGCCAATGTTGAAGTCATTGAGCTTCAGTGTTCCTCCAATGCTAACGACATTGGCTGGATTGATATCCAAATGCACAAAGGTGGCATTGTTGCCATCTGCATTGTCAATGCCGTGAACATCCGCGAGACCGTTGGCAATGTCTCGGGCAATCCTTAACCTTGCCAAGGGTTTGGACTTGGACTTGTCGGCTAGCTCTCCCAAGCGGGGTCCGTTGGCGTACTCGGTCAATACCGAGTGGCCACAGAATCCAAAGGCATTGATCACGTGGGGCGAGGATGTTAACCGCTCCATAGCCACCGCGTCAATGCGATCGTGCTCGAAATGAGCATCTTCAAAATCATGTCGGAATCTTCAAACGAAACAGCATGTAAGCAAGATCAAGTCAAGAGCAGCGAAGGACAAACAAACAAACTCTGTCAGTACTCACTTCAATGTCTTCAGAACGACTCGATCCCCAAATAATGTCTGTTCGTCATTGTTTCCGTTGCTTTGTTTCATTTGTTTTCGCAAATCGAGGCGCCATGCGTACCGCCAGTACCCCTTGGTTCCAAACAGCTGAACGTCGGTTTCCGTGGATTCTTCGCCCAGATACTCCACTCCCAATTCATGCACGCCATTGCAAGACGGATGAAAGTTCGTTTGCCAATCCTGCATTGGAACACACTCGCCCTGGACGTACGGTTCGCGCAGCTCCATTTTGCGCAAGCGCTCATCCGACGAGTCCAGCCGCCCATAAAACTGCGTATTGTCCGTGAAATCAGCAGGATATTGCTCTACTGGACCATGCTTTTCATTTGGTTTGCCAAAGTCATCGTGAAGCATCACAACTCGATGATGTGTCGAAGATGATGGCGTGGGCGACCCAAACATGGACATATCGTGAAGCTCAAACCGGTAGGCATTGGCAAGTTTGTAGTCTGTTGTCTCCAAGGGTGGCGGTCGGGCAACAAACGACACTCTCGGTGACTTTCGAACTCGGTTGTATGTCATCTTCTTGTCCTTCTTGACAACGGTTGACGTCGGTGCAGTGGTTTTTCTCTTGTCCTCCTTTTTCGGTTTGGCTGTCTTTTGTGGATTGCGCTTCTGCTTGTCAGTTTCCTTTTCTTTCTTCTTGTCGCTCTTTTTCTTATTTTTGGCATCCTTGGTCTGTTCCTTTTTGCTGGTAGTGCTCTTTGGTGGGTCCTGCGAACCGGAATGAGATGGCTGACGTCCGACGGTAGCCAGCAACAACGAACCCCGAAGACCACCCGTGGGAGGACCCACTTGTGGATGGTGCATACGGGGTGATTGCCGACCGCCAAAATCAAAACTGTCCGTCGCCAACATTGCCGCCCGACCTAGAGAAGTGACGCCAACTGCCACCAGGCCCCAGACTAGAGTCACCAAGCGCACTCGACAGAGCACAGCCCTCCATGAAAAAGGAGGTGTCCGAGTTGCTGCTTCGACCTGAATGGCATTTGCAGTTGTCGCAGATTGCGCGAGGCGATCTTCTAGTATGGTGGAGGAGAGATGCTCCATCTTTCTGGACGAGTGTCGACCTTGCTTCTTTTTCCATCGTTTCGACTTGGAGTGGCTGTTGGGAGGTGCTTCTTCCGTGTAATAGTACTGTTGAGAATGCTTTCGGCAGCGGCCATCCTGTTGCAAGACCTTAAGCTTGTTACCTCCCGTCGAATTGCGACGTCGATGTTCGGGACGGCATGTTTCGGCTGTCACGGACCGTCTGGATCGTCGTGTACGAACCGGTTCCTCCTTGGTGGACGATGACGCATTGGAGGCACATTCAGTGGGGGAATCACTGATGGACCGGTTGTATGTTCGGCGGGTCTTTCGGGTGTTCTTGCAAGCAAAGCCGGGTGCCAAGTTTTCCGTTTCTTCTTCTGGAAACAGCGCTTGTTGGATTCTCCAAGTTGGTGACCCTCGTCGAACGGGAGTGTCTTGCATCGAGTGGTCCTGATCATGGTTGCTACTGCTATTGTTGTCCACATAATAGTCATCTGAGTCTGACCAAGAGCCTTGATGCTCCACAAACATGCGGTTATCACTGCTACTGAGAGATCGGCCTGTGGCCAGTGGCGTCACACCAAAGCTGGGAGGACTATCATCCACAACGTGCTCTCGTCGTTGCAAAGGAGTGGACGATAAAAAGGCCGAGAACATGGAATAAGGAGTGGATAACCCATCTCTACTTGATGTAGCCGTGCCTGCAGGTGAAGAGGATGATGATGCCATGGATAAGGAGTTGGGGTTGATGTTGGGAATGTCACTGGCAAACGGAGATGGTGTCCTGCTATTAGTGCCATGGGTGGAGGTTGTCGTGAGGGAGGTAGCATCCGAATCATCCAGCATGGCTGCTGCTTTGTAGTCGGGAGAATGATCGTTGCTGTGGATTGCTGGTGTGGCACAATCCGTGCTGGACGGTTGCTGAGGGTGCATCATGATCGCCTGCGCCTGAAAAATATAATGACGGTACTGCTACCCGTTGGCTACTACAGTATGCTACCCACAGTTCAGGATCCAAGATCGATGATGAGAATTGCAATAGACTCCCAAACTCTGGAAAAACCAATCCCCCGTTATTGATTGTGTGAATACTTTTGCGGCCGTGGTCACTCTCTTTGCTCAGGTCAGCAAGGTGAGTGGAAAATTCTCCGATGCGCACCGCTGTGGTCGTCACCTGTGTTAGCCACTCCGATGGTATCCCTACCAATAGTAGGGTCTTGACGCTATTATCCGACACAGCAATGAACCGACAAGCAACAACTCTGGTTGTGGGTTTGTTTGTTGGTTGCCCTTGCTGCTTGCTGATGAGAGAGTAGGCCAAGGGTATGGTAGGCAATGGTGTGACAGCTGATGCATGTATTTTTGATGGTACCGATTTGCAAAATGTGACGAGTTTGAGCGGGTTCTTCAGTCTTACGCGGCAACGCTTAGAGAGGCCAAACGATTGGGAGGGTGAAGACAGAGAGCCCCCCGGCGATTAATATGCGAACCACATGCAATTTAAAATTTGTTTCCTCACAAGACCGCCTTTCATTTGCCGCCATCAAAATAGCGCTCTTTTCGACCTTCGAAAAACACGGAATGAGGCGGGATGGTAGATAGAGTGTGCCGATACCGGTACTGCTGCCGATACCATAGGTACGGTACCATGCGTTGATAGGGTAGCAGAATAGCTAACAAAGCTTGCCGGAACAGAATGAGTTAGACTACTGTAGAAGTTTGAACCATCACCACCACCGACCTACACAGGAACAGATTGATCTCCTTTGTATGGGTCAATCTTACTGGTACCGTACTGTAAATGTTCCTGAAGCTTGCTTTGGACAGTATGCCGAGTTTGTATAGTATTCCTTAGCTTCGAATGAGGATCTATCGAGGTGGCAAAGCTACTTTACTAGACTACTAGTACTACCGTACCTGGTAGTATTGCTTGATCTTGCGGTACGGTAGTCTGCAGCTGCAGAAACTTCTATTCGTTGTAGAATCTTTCCGGGCGTGGTCATGGGGTATTGATTGATGAAGTGATGAAGGCCTACATGTATCCCCACATCATGTTGTGTTTGCAGCGGCGCTGCCGGTACCGTACACGTGTACCGGTACAGGCACCGCACCTCCTCCTCCAAGATAACAAACCTATTTTTACAGCCTTGCAGGTTTAATTAGTCATGATTGATCATACACAGTGTAGTGACGTCGTTTTGCCGAGTTCATCATGAGAAGCCAACAAGCAAATTGCCGAGGATCTTTCTCGCGACGAATCTACTTCGTCGGTGGCGGAAGGATTCACAAAACCAAACAGCGAAGGACGAGAAAAGAAGATACCTATTGGTCTCCCATCCATCAACTCGAAGCATCTCACAACCAACAATGTCGTCTGCTTCTACTAGTAGCCATAGCACTTCCACACTGGCTGTGACAGCAGCAGTAACAGGAGTAGTTGCTGTTAGTACCACTGCCTTGATCACGTACCTTGTCACAAAGCGCAATGAAGAGTACAAGCATCAAAAATTCCAGTATGAAACCTACCAGCGTGATTTGATGATCCGTGAAAAGACCATCTTGGCTCGAAAAGAGGCAGGAGAGCCTCCCACAGGAACACCCATTGATGTTCGTGTGGATCGGGTATACCTCTGGGAAGTCGAAGATTTGCGCAAGCGATTTCCTGGTACCAAAATTGAAAACAAAATGAGGGTTTCCAGCTCGACACTCAAGACGAGGAGCCCCATGATGCGCAGGGTAGCTGCTGCCGATGGCGCTGGAGGAAAACGTGGCTCCTTTACCAGTGGTGAAGGATATCAGATTACGGAATACAACAAGTTGATTACCAATCACGAGTGTATTTTGGGCCAGATTATTCGAAAACCCAACATGGCAGTTCACTCGGTGGGTTATATACGAGCTGGGCCTAGACGACACCTACACTTTGATCCCCGTCAAGTCAGTGCTGCCATTGTCACTTGTGGAGGACTCTGTCCTGGACTCAACAACTGCATTCGAGAAATTACCAAGACATTGCACCAGTTGTATGGAATTGGGGGCAAGGTTTATGGAATTCAGGCCGGATATCAAGGGTTCTCTGCCACAGAACCACATTTGCAACCCCTTGAGTTGACACCAGAACTGGTGGAAGATATTCATCATAGTGGAGGTACAGTCTTGGGATCTTCTCGTGGAGGATTCAATTTGGAGGCCATTCTGGCATTTTTGAAAAAGAAAGATATCAAGCAGTTGTATGTTATCGGAGGTGATGGAACCCATCGTGGAGCCTTTCGCATTCATGAAGGTTGCATGGAACATGTAAGTGATGCTGGTTACAATTATGTGTGAGGGCCTTTTTTTTGTTTTGTGGGAAGAACGCGTCATTGACTCGATGTGAATCCACGATTCCCCTTTTATGCAGGGTCTCAATGTAGCAGTGGCCGGAATTCCGAAGACGATTGACAACGTAAGCAGTTTGTACCCTTCTTGCAGTTTGTGGTGGAGTGCTGCCATCCAGGATAGGACGGACATTTTACTCGTGGAAAGTGACTTTCTCGCTTACTCTACCATGACATTTCTTCTCGCAATCCGCTTGAACAGGACATTGACCACATTGACCACACCTTTGGATTTGCCAGTGCTGTGGAGGCTGCCCAAGTTGCCATTCGCTCTGCCAAAACAGAAGCAGTCTGCAATCTACCAAATGGTAAGAAGGCTTCATTGGGATTCTTCCCCTGTAGAATTGATTTGATGCCTGCGTTGAGCCCTATGCAAACAACTCTCAATACATAACAACAAACTGCTATTCTTGCGATTGCACCTTCTGACAGGTGTTGGTATTGTGAAGTTGATGGGACGCTCAGCTGGTTTCATTGCAGCTCATGCCACCATGGCATCTGGAGATGTGGATCTTTGCTTGGTTCCAGAAGTCCCACTTGTGCTGGAAGGTGAGAATGGTTGCTTGCCCCATTTGTGGCGCCGGGTCAAGCAACAGGGCTATGCTGTGGTGGTAGTTGCAGAAGGAGCTGGAGAAGAGGTGCTGGGGACCTCTGCTGAAACTGATGCCAGTGGCAACAAAAAGCTCCCCAAGATTGGTGAATACATGAAGAAACAGGTGGAGGAGTATTTCAAGAAGATGGGAGAAGTTGCCACAGTCAAGTACATTGATCCTTCCTACACAGTCCGCTCTGTTCCAGCCAATGCAGCCGATTCCTTGTACTGTATGCAACTGGGCCAGAATGCTGTCCATGGTGCCATGGCAGGCTTTACAGGTTTCAGTGTTGGTCTTTGCAACAATCGAATGGTCTTTCTCCCCATTCCTGAATTGGTAGCAACTTCGCCCCGGAACATGAATCCCAAGGGTCGCACTTGGGAGCGAGTTTTAGCTTTGACTAGGCAACCCAACACAGTGCCAGAGGATAAGGAATTTGATCATACAGAGCCTACCTTGCGTTAAAGTGCACAAAACACTGTGGCAAAGTGCACAAAACTCTGTGGCTTCCTCCATCTACCAACTCACCCCTTTGCACTGAGGCATGATCAGAGAATAGTGGAAACAGCCCCAGGCAAAAGGCACCGGCAGCCAACGGGAGTGGCAACACATGCTCTTGGAAGAAACTTTCCCCCAATTAGTTAGTCAATTTTGATTGTTGAATTCCGCAAACCTCACTTGTGATTCTAGCTTGGTACGTGTGGACTGCCTTGGCCTACTCGGTTGCATAATTCTCTGCCGGTGCCGGTACATGTTGCGACCTCCTTTCGCTCCCAGCGTAGAGCTTGTACATCTGGAACCATCGGTGTTCGCTTGCGTTTCGTCGTTTCGTTGACCTTGGCGGAAGGCTGGGAGGCAAACCCAACGTGTCCTCTCCTGCACAATCGTAGTCTTCCCACACGAAGTGCTCGTGGGTCAAACTGAGACAACGCGCTGGAAAACGTCCCATGTCATCGGTGGAGTTCTCTCGGACAAAGAACCTCGGTCAATTGATCGCTTGTGGCGTCAGTCGGGCGCTTTGATTTGCGAATGGGTTGCTATGTGGTTAAAGTGAGTTATGGGTGGGAATGGACACCAGAGGCAGGGCAGCAGTGCAAGGCAGGAGGGGGCTCGCAGGCAAGATCGAGCAGACCGAAGGAAGAGGGGAAGGAGATCGTGCAAGGAAGGAGGCATGCAGGACACGTTTGAGTTCAAGAACCCAGCCCAACATCTCTCGTCGTAAAAACTCGTGTGGCCACGGCATTTCGCGAATATGTTCAGGGTCCATGCCATGCCCACCCCGGAACAAAGCCAGTTCACGACAATCTCAGACTCGACTCGTATCGGTCGGATGTGCCTTTGTAGTTGCTTGATTTTACATGGGACAATTCGATGACAAAGCCATCAGCAGCATGAGAAGCTCTGGATCAAACCTCTCTATTGTATCCCTTGCTTGCACTGATGAGTCGAAGGAACCAAAGCAAGGAGACGAAGAAGCAGCAGTCTCATTTTGAATACACAGATCTTAGCTACGACGCTTTTAACTTGGCGCGACTTTCCGGACATGTTGCCAGAGTCCTGTCCCCGCACCTCTAAGAATTACAGTGAGATATGAAGACAGCATCTGGATCCAGGCCTTTCGATGTTTCAATCTAGCTGCTTGAAATTCCCAGCGCACGTGCGTCCCGGTATCGAAAGGCGCTCACCCGATGACCACCAGCCATAATTCAGCATCAGCCGAAGTCTTGACCATTCATGACCAAATCCTCGAAAACTAACACTCGACTATTCTCATGCTGCCATTTTCATCTGGTAGCAAACATGGCACCGGTACAGGTAGCTCATCAGAGGTGCTTGTTGTGAGCTCAGAGGATTGTCCTGTGGCACCACTGTGGTGGCTACCACTTAAGTTCTTGACTGTCAGCCAATAGGTTGTCATTTCGCCCTTGCCTTGTACAGATAGGTGTCGTAACAAGGGCATTTTGAGCAATGAATTAGCTCCCAAAGACCAAAGAGCCTTGCTCAGTCAGATCAATAGACATGAAAATGACATACCTTTGGCCACAACCTTGTTGGAGCGCTTTGTGGTCCAATCAGACTTGCCAGCTTTGACAAGCAGCTGACAAGTGTCGTGGGAGCATTGGATCGACCCTGGCCGCCCATTGCTTTCCATTCTAGATGCAGTATTGACTGTGTCAATGAAGCAATGAAGAGAAGGTTAACGAAGGTTCCGTTTTGTTGCAATCAAGCTCCAATAGCTATCTAGCTATCTAGCAATGGTCATACCTGTATCTCCAAACAACTGGAAAGCCAAGATTGCACAAGCAATTGAGAAGCCCATCCTGTACAAGCTATATAATAGCAGCAATTGTAACCTACCTGGAACCGGCCTTTCTCTCCACGAAGAACCCCAGCAGTGACTGGACCCTGCAATTCAGGAGGCACAGCAGCTGGGTAAGATTCTTCTTCAAAGGGTGCACCGCTGGGCCTTCTAAAGGGAGACACTTACTGAATGCAACCCAATCCTCACAACCAGATCTCTGGTATCTGGACCCAACGTTTCTGCCAATGCATTGAATACTAAGCTGCTTTTTCTCAGGCAATCCCAAGCAAAGCGAGTTGCAACCACAGCATGGTCTCTTCTGGGCTCTGCAGAGCAAAAGAGTTTGAACAGATTTGCTTTAGCATACCCATTCTCAAAGATTAGGCAGCCATGGTGAAAGAGCTAGATAGAAGAAACACGTACTGGGTAGGCCCACCACACCAACATAACAGTCCCCCACTGTTTCCACTGTGGTTCACAGAGAGCATGTTAGGCATCAGATAGGCTTCTGCAACACTTTTTTGCCGTCCTACAATCGGTTACCTTTGAAGACACATCTCCTCCTAGCAATTACATCAAATTCACCATACAAAGTCTCCAAAAGGACAAACACATCATGTGGAGTGCGACTGCCACTCCACTTGGTAAAGCCTGCAGAGGAAGGCAAAACTGGAAGGGTCAGCTATGGGTTCTACCATCTACGGTTGCCCAAACAGCATGGAACTCACCCACTAGATCACCAAAGAAGACAGTTGTTTCTGGATGCAGAAAAGCCAAAGCATAGTCAGTACAATTTCACTGCATATCTCACAAAAGGTGGCTCTGTGATATGCGATCTCTTACCAGGGTAGTGATCAGCAATGGGAGCATCCTCCAAGATCTTGATCCCACCAGCAAGCTGCCCTTTCCTTGTGGTTGCTGAATCAGCAGTTACAGTGGCCATCTGTGTAGTGCCAGGTGTGCCATAGTCCTTAGCACCTGAGTTCAAAAGACTTTTCAAATTGGACCTATCATCAACAGAGCTTCCATTCCTTCCTGCCTCCATTTCTCTCTGAGCCTGTGACTCAGCTTGCTCCATAATCCGATCACGCACGGCATCAGGGAACAGCTGTGACACAATAGCAGTAGTCCTGGTAGCAACTGTCATGACCTTTTGCTGTCGTCTCTGAACAAACCAAACAAAGACGAAGAAGAAGGCACCCAAGGCTGCAAAGATGCCAGCAAGAAGCCCCACAAACTGTGCTGTGCTGTTGGAAGAGTAGGTTTCTTCAAAAGCCTTGGAAGGGTAAATGGCTAGACTGTAGAGGCACTGGTTGGCCACGGCAGATCCTTGCTCTGGTAGAAAGATAGATCCAAAATCCACCACTTGGACCATGTCCGAAAACTCTGGGTCGTGCAAATCCCCGTCACCAAGGAACTCAGCATGAGGTCCTATTAGTTCAAAGGAAGTGGACTGCTCGCATGTATTTTGGAGGACAACTATAATCCCAGTAACTCCTGGTGGCAGAAGGTCGGTTAGGTAGAACTCCCATGCCAGGATACCATGAAAGGCACCAACTAAGATTCTGTTGTTCTTGTCAAATGAGTCATAGATTGGAGCCATGACAAGGGAATGTGGTCGAGCCATTGCCCAAGAGAGGTTGGGGAGAGAAGAGGTTTCGGTCATCACGCCATTATGGTCATTGCTGTCCGTGTCATGATCATCATGAGAATGATCATCGTGGCTGATAGTTTCATTCAGCCTTCTATGTTCATGATGATGTTCATCCACATGGTTCATCTCGTGCCCCTGGTGGTCGTCGCCATCCTGGTGGTCGTCGCCATTGTCGGCCCCTTGGTTATCATGGGAAGAGGGCGGGGAAGGTAGTACCGACTTTGCATCATCATGGCTGGCATGATGGCCGTGACCATCATCTTCACCTTCGCTACCATGTTCAAAGTACTTGTGAACCGTAAAACTATCCCAGAAGGCTTTCGATATGGTTGCATGTTTGTTTGTTTGCATCTCCTGAAAGGTCTCACGGTATAAACCTTCAGATAGCAGGTCGAAGTTGATCAAGGATGCATCACTGGGAAGGGGTGACATTTGCCATGCTGGTAGAAATGGGATGGTGTGTGATGAATGATCAGCAGTGCCTGTGGCATCATAGATTTGAGGGGGGATGTTCCCAGGAGCGCTCTCTGTGCCTTCTTTCAACCAACCAGTGTTGTTTGGGGAAGCACTGTATCCCTCCCATTTCTCAACATGTTGGCTTCCTACGACCGGGGAAAATCCAATCATCTCGAGATAGGCTGATTTGCGAACCCTGAGAGCTCTCTTTTCAAAGTCTGGGATAGTTGTGCAAGGCCACTGGTAGCCCAGCTTCTCTCCCGTGAACGTCGTAAAACTTGTAATGGAAGTTGACATTGCATCCAAGGATTCCACAACTTGCATTGCATGGTAGGAGGAAGATTCAGAAATGACTGAGGCATGTTGCATGAACTAAAGGTATCCATACATGTGGAGCAGTGAGGCCAGAACGACTCGCACAACATCTTCGAAAGAGCCAGAAGCACAAACTTACTCCGTGTTGAAAGTCTTCCTTTTCATCTCGTGAAAGAAAGGCAAAGGTCAAATCATCACAGCCGCAGTTATGGCAATCATAGTCATTACCACAAGCATGGAAACAAGCACATGAGTGGAATCCCTCTTGGCTAAACCATGTTTGGCAGCCTCCTGTTGATCTCCATCTTCGTTATCGACATCCATGCCGGAGTCCACCAGCGAGCCATGGCTACAGTTCCACTCCTTGAAGTCCGTCAGGCTCGTCATCTTCTGGTTCTTTCTCGGGGGTGCAATTGTAACTTTTGATGCGTTTGCCAGCGTTGGTATATATATTGAATGATTGAATGGTCAGACTTTATGTTGTGGTCTTCATCGGTTCTTCAATCTTCAATCACTGCCGAGAACCGGGGACACCAAGCACCAGAGGTCATCAGATTCTAGCTAGCCAGCAGAGGGACGGAAGGGGTACGGGTATCAGCCAATCGCTCAGCCAATACTCGTAGGCTTTACTTTTTTTCTTTTTTTTTCACTATCGCTGACAGTCTGTTCCTCAGAGTTCGTCTCCCCTCCCTTCACATCTTCACATTCACCACCGCCTACTCTAGCTAGCTAGCTAGTAGACTAGCTACGGTACTCAGTAGTTCTGCTCGAGCTCCTGTCTCCTGTTCGTGTTTGCACGGTAGCCGTACTGTACGGTATGCGGTACACACGTCCATTAACGCGATACTTAAGGTAGTCTAAATAAATGATTGATTCGACTATTAATAAAATACCAGTACTTCTCCACTCTAAAGCCCTGTCCATGGGGGGAGACTACAATGTTGTTACGGTCAGGAGTACTCATTACTATAAGCTACTCAGTAAGCATTGAGCAGCTTCAACAGCTATCTTAAATCTTGAATCTAATGGAGATGACAAGACTAAGTCATTTATTTGTTTTGACTACGTGTAGCTAGCTAGCTAGCTAGCTAGTCGATGAATCTCCAATTGCGAAGGTAATGGTGCAGATGTTGCGTAAATAATGGATCATCGCAGAACGTCCTCAGTACATACTCCAGTAAATATTTAAAAACATCCTCGAAAATCTTACTCAGTAGTCTAGTACATTGAAACATGCAAGCTTGATACGATTCCGATGTCAGAGAAGATAGATGGCTACCGGTAGGGCGTACTGTACACAGTGTTCGCACAGCTTGCAGCTTTCACTCCCACTTTAGTTTGGCAATTTGCCACGCTGTTTTGTAACATCATGACATTGTAAACCCTTCTTTTGTGTCCACGATCTTTGCAGCTGGCTCGCTGGCTCCAATTGCCAAAGGAAACCCGATCCACAGTCGCTTTTACCGGTGTGGTACCTAGTCTCCTCCTTCGGCTTTCTAACGGCTTTGGTCTGCTTTTGACCTCAGCTCTGGGGTTTCCTCTTGGAGTACTCTTGAGTCGTTTTTGACCACTGGGGCGCCGGTGTACAGGGCTAGAGAGCACTACATACAGCCTGTGCATATGAACAGGGAGGAAGCCCGCAGATTGAGAGCAAGGCCAGCCATTTTTTTGGCCTGAATTCAAAAATGTCCATTTCCTGTGCAATCGAACAGGATAGCGACGCCTGTTCAATTGCACAGGGCCTGCCTGTTCATATGTACAGGAGGCTGTACATATGTACAGGAGCTCGACGTCCTGTTCAAATGCACAGGAAATGGACGGCCTGCCTGTTCATATGTACAGGAAGCTCGACATCCTGTTCAAATGCACAGGAATTGTGACGTTTTTTTCTGGGTAGGCTTTCTCATTACTCAACAGTAACAAATAGATCTGCCATTACGTTCAGCATTACAGTCAAGCATGTCCTCTGCGTTTAGTCAAGCTGATGATCAACTCTCCTCTGGAGCGTTCCTCAATCGTGCATGACTTTAAATCCGACCCTAATTTAGGGTCGGTTTGGGGGAATCCGTCCCTAAATATAGGGACATTTTTCAAACCCGACCCTAAATCGAAACCCGACCCTAAATTAGGGACGGTTTTTCAGAAACCGTCTCTATTTTTAGGGTCGGTTTCGAAACCCGACCCTAAAGGGAATCCGACCCTAAATCCGACCCTATTTTAGGGTCAGTTTCATGCACGATTGAGGAACGCTCCTGCTATCTCGCAGGTTGAGGTATGGACGTCTCCACGCGTAATCATTCAAGTAGCTGGCTCTCTCAAAGACGATGGAGACAGAAAGGAAATCAATCTTATTCCAACACTCGGTCACAATACTCGCAACCGATCGGAGCCCAACACTGCTATTGTGCACTGGCTCCCAAAGGAATTCTCCACCAATACTGCTGAGTTTCGCACTAAAACGCTTGCACTAAAACGCTTGCACCATATTTTGTCAACGCTTGTCGTGCTTCTGGCTTTGTTGTACGACTCAGGGGTTTCGGGAAATCAAAAGATATTGCTGCCTTCAACCAGCATGCAGAAGCACGTCTGATTTCCTGTTCAATTGAACAGGAGGTCGGATCCTGTACAATTGCACAGGAATCTTGTCGATCTTGTACAATTGCACAGGAATCACGTCGCCTGTAAAATTGCACAGGAATCGCGTCGCCTGCCAGGCCAAAATTTGACTGCAGGCTGGCTCTCTAAAAATCCTGTTCATATGCACAGGCTGTATATAGTGCTCTCTACCCCCTGTCGAGTATAAGTACTGAATAAAGAGCAGTTGTTTGACCATTAATTAAGAAGACGACATTCTGTGCAAGCTATGATGAACAAAGGCAAAGAGCGCAAGTGCACTACGCTAAAAGCTAGTGTAAAGATCTTTCGAGTGTTTTGAGTTTGAGAGAATGAAAGTTATGAGAGAGATTAGAAAGCTATGAAAACTAATCAACGAGAGAGATCATCATCAAGGGATCGTAGATCTGGCTTTCCGCGGGAGACTATAAAGTGTGATAGAGTAGGTTGCGGTAGTAATCCTACGTCTCTCCACGATCCTAAAACGGAACGCGTGGAAGGTTTGTCTAGCCTGGATCTAGTAGCGTGGAAGTACTCCACGCTGGCTAAATATCTAGAGCGATGTTTCATCATCAACCTAGTATGACTAGCGCGGTCATTGAGAACCCTGTCTCAAATGACTATTCACGAGAGACTCAGTCATGAGTCGAACTCAAACCCTATCTAGGATCGAGTCGCGAATAAGGCTAAGAGCCGTGTATTGCATTCGCCCCCTGACAAGGGTCACAGAAGGCGCGACAGCAGTCGGACAAGGAGAACATATGATTTAAAGTGCGGGGCACTCTCATGAGATTTGGATGTAGACATGTGCATCGCACGATGGCAATCCTACAAGGGGATCAGGCCTTGTATGGGTGTGTATACCTTATGTTCCAAGTCTGGTAGACTGTGCCGCCGTTGGCGGTAGCATGTTGGAGCCGTACAGTGCCATTGTCATTAACTCGGTCTATAGTGTAAGGACCTTTGTACTTTGGCTGACCGTACTTGCGGTGCTGATACTGTTGAATCATCACGGTATCGTTGACATTGTATTGATGAGGGACACGCGTCGCGTTTTCCCTGTCGTTGTTTTGTTGGATTAGTCGTTGGCGACGTTCCTTAATGTACTTCCAGTTGGCTTCGAACCGGACATTGTGAATCGCGTCACGATTGAACACGAGCTGTGCGGGCGTTGCGCGCAAGGTGGTATGAATCGTGGCATTCATTGCAAAGCGAACCGCCGTGAGGACTCCATCCCAGGATCCATTCACGAGGTCGTCTTGGCACTTGATGTTTTGAACAGCGATCAAGTTACGTATGGTTTGATGAGCACGCTCGACCATAGAGTTGGCTTGAGGTTGCGCGTAGTGATGAACTTGCGACGAAGTCCATATTCATCCCGGAGTGTCTTTTCGACTCTGCGCGGAACTCGCGTCCTCTATCCATGATAACTCAGCAGGCCATGGATACCGAGTAAGCCCACATTTTGTTCTAGGACGATGGCTACTTCGTCTGCTGCCTTGGAGCAGATCTCTGCAATCTCGAACCATCCGTTACGGATCAATCATTGTCAAGCAATGAAGTGTGCAGGAATTCTTTTTCTTAGGATCCCGACGTTGTAAGGCCTATCAGGTCAATACATAGTCTTTCCAAGGGATCTCCTCGCAAGTCTTTGGAGGCATCAATCCCAGCTTACGCATCTTGGGTTTGTTCATCTGGCAGCTTTGGCAACGCTGACATACGGCCTGCACAGTCTTGCGCGTCCTTTCCAGGTGTAGTTTGGCTGATGGTTAGTTCTTGCGAGTCTCGCCAGGATGCATCAGCACACCATGGTACCATTCAACTAGCTTCTTCTGCATAGTTTTAGGTACGACGATCTTTATCGTCCTTAACTACTAAGTCGTAGGACTTATCCCCTCTGGGGAAAGATTGTTTCTTGTGTCGTTTGGCTTGTCCCTGAGGAGTTTCTGATATCGTTGTCGTCTTTCTGACGATGTTCGATTCGGGGACGAGAGAGGGAACTCGCTAGGGAAGTCCTCTTCGTCTGCAGCCATGAGTTCAGCGATCTCGCTGGCGTTCATCTGTTCTGAAGAACCGTCGTTGTTGGAGTGTTAAGTCTCGACAACGCATAAGCGACGATGTTCTGTTCGCCCTTGTTGTACCGTAGTTCAGGGCCGTATTCTTCCAGAATAAGGCGCCATCGCATTACGGATCTGGTATGAAGTTCTTACATGTAAGATTCTTGTGGTCCGTATGTACAACGATCTCTGTCCTAGAAGAATGTTACGGAACTCTTTTAGAGTTTCTACGATACTGAGAAGTTCCTTCTCGGTAACTGTGTAACGTGTCTGAGCAGGGTTGAGCTTCCTGCTGTAGAAACGTGATAGTTTTCCCTTCTGGAAATTACTGCACCTAGTTGAGTATCACTCGCATCCGTGTGGATAACGAATGTATCGTTGAGTCAGGGTAGGCGAGCAAGGTTTCTTTGCTGATGATCTTCTTCATCGGCTAAGGGGCCTTGTCGTGTTCCGCTTTCCCATTTCACTTCGTTGTTTTGGAAGTCAATGAAGCGAGTGGGGCAGTACATGTGATCGTCTAATCACACATGTCTCGATAGTAGTTCACTAGTCAATGAATCTTACGAGGTCTTTTCCTGTTGCTTAGGTGGAGCGATATCTGATCGCGTCTATTTCTTGTTATAGTTTGATCCCATTCTCGAGTAATTCGAGTACCTAGGTATCAAGTTTTTCCTCTTGACGAAGAAGGATTGTAGCTATTGACTTAATTCGGCTTCT